CAAGTTTACAAATGGAAGAAATGTAGGAATATAAAAGACAAATTGTGACATCAGTGTATAAAAGCTCTATGTGATTTATACAATTCATAATTTGTGATAAAATCAGTGCTTGCTCATGTGGAAATGGTGGATATTTCAATTTGTATCTATTTGGCAACCTACATGTATATTCCTTGAAGAAGTTACGGTAGTAATTATAAAATTTACAGCCAAGAGGTCAAACCATGAGTCAACAATGTGTTTGGTTTTAGTGACTGTGCATGTAACTGAGGTGACAGTCGATCATGAAAAAGACTATACTTCGGAACCTGTTGAAAATCAACATGGACAGAAGAAAGATTTGTAGAATATCTTATTGTAAATAGTCTTCATTTTTTGTTTAATGCAATCAATGTGACTAAAATAATGCAAGCGAAAAAGAGAAATGATCACAAGACAGCAAAACGGTTGGTTTCATGCATCATTTGAATCAATGAACGTGAATCAGCTCAACGCCAAAGTATTGCGGTTCAAGGTTATACCATCAAGAGATATGCTGCCTGTAACTACTTTGTAGTTTGAAAGGGTGTATAAAGGAATAAGGATACAGTTGGGCAGGCGAGTCTTTCTGTTGGTCTATTGTAAAAAACTGGGTCAAATTTTTTCCAATTTTTTTGCAAATTGTAATAAAACTTGGTATACCGATTGACCCGAGGGTGTGCAAGACACATTTGTTGTGTCTGTCTGTTAAGGTACCTCCATGGTAACCAAGCTTTGCACAAAGAATACAATTTTGTTTTAATAATCTTGTGGAGCATATTCTTTCCAAGTTTTAGCAATTTTATAGTTTTGGTATCTTTGATGAGGCATTATAATAACAGTATAAAACTCAATGCATGTGCAGTGTGTAAAATAAGTATGTGAGCAAACTATTGGAAGTAGTTTGATCGATTCATATGAAACTCAGTACACACAACGCAGAATTGTCTTTTGTGTGCGTATAGGACATGACCAGTTTTGAAATGTCTGTGCTATTTTTTTGAAAAACCTTATGTTGGATGTTAATCACTTGAGGTGATATTCATAGTCGAGCATTAGGGAAGATGAAAGACATATATGTACCTAACTATACTTAATTTTGTGCTGAAACTGATATGATTCAGGATTTGAGATCGATATGGAGTATGTATACATGTATACTCGTACACATTAAGGAAAAGAATCACTCAGACAATTTTTAAAGCATTTATATATAAAGTAAGATGTGAAACTTAAAAGATAAAACCAGTTATGGTCATGCAACTGCATTGTGAAAGGATTGTTGTGGAATCGATCAGAAAAGGTTGATCATCTAGCATATAAGTCTTGGTGTGTACTGCAAGGTTCTAGAATCATCGAAATGATAAAAAAATTGGCCCAGTCTTGGTAAAGTTACAAGCACTGTACACAGAAAGATGTATATGGGACTACGCACAAGTGCGCGACACATGCGTTATATCTATCAAGTCCAAATAGATATAATAATTTACCAAATATATCAATTAGTAGGCAGTTTCTCGGCAAAATTTGTATGATCACGTACTAGTCAAAACATTGTGTGCGGGCAAGCACTGAATCAAATGACCGGGGTAATAGTATATTTGTCAAGCGCGTAGAAACATTACTGTTATAGATACTTTTCTTTGGTAAACTTATCTACACATTGCCTATAGAGTATGTCAAGTTTTTATGAAAGACACAAGATAAGATGTATATAAATAAGCAGTAACTAATAAGTAACAAGACATGGTGGTATACAAATAAAGTATATTGCTCCTTCTTAATGACGACGGTTAAAGTTGTCATAGCGATAGATGCTAAATAAAAATGTGCCTTTTTTAATACACATGATCTGTTTGTATGCAATGGTTGAAATCAACATCACGTTTAAATATTGCCTTCATTACAGCAATTATAATTTGTATTCATCTCAATAATGTTGTGTAAATTTAACTGTTAGTTATGGCCGAATAAAGCTTTCAATGTACACCATAAAAATATGTTATGTATCTTCATTTTAGCATTACTATAATTATATTAAAATCTTATGTCTTTACACATTTACAAGTTATCACGTACTGACGTAGGTCATGCAATACACAGGCACTGTAGAACACAACTTATTTACAAGAAGTTACAATCACTTTTTTTTTTTAAACTTTACAATTGCATGCAGTACCAAAATAAGAATACTGAAAAACACTGCATTATGGACAAGTATGAATCAAGTAAGATGTTAAATTAATTCACTACTGTTATTCATTATAGTATACTGATACAACAATTTTTAATATTTTTTTTAATTTATTTCTTTTTATTTCTCCACTTTCCCTTTAGCCATGTACCTTCATGTTCATATGTTAAAGGTGTCGCTCTGGACCTATAACATATGATAAGACAAAAAATCCACCAGTTATTTCTGATTTCTATCAAATTTTTAGATTTTGTGTTGTTGTTGTTGTTTGGTATTATCGGCGTTTCATTCTTTTTTAGAATATTTACGCCTTTCACTTTATTTCTTTTTTTTCTTCTATTTTTGGTACTATTTGTCAATTCATATTCATCTCTTTTTTTTGGATAATATAATCTCAGATCTACTGGTCCATGAAAACCCCTCACCGCAATTGGCACCTTCCTGCCAGACCGGCGCGGTACATTGCGCAATCTTCTCGGCCATCATTGGCCTAGGCAACTCTGGTGCCGGTGAGAGGATTCTGGGGTAGATCTTTTGAGTCTCTTGTTTGGGGTTTACCGTCCTCAATCCGTCTTTACTCTTTCTTACCTTTTCTCTTCTAGTATTTTTTCATTTTGTAAAACCTTATTTTTCTATCAAACTTCAAAGTGGGTATCAACATCTTAGGGCATTTGGTTGTCGTGCGATATGTGCCAAAAAAAAAATGTGGATTTAGTAATTCCTTTTTGAATGAAACATGGATTTAGCTTCTTTTGGAATTGAATGGATTTATAATAATAATAATAAAAACGTTACTTATAAAGCGCTTACCACCGAAGTCTCTAAGCTCTAAGCGATTTAGCTCCTTTTGGAATGAAACTGTAATAATGTTGTTTACTTTCTTTTCGAAAGGTTATATTTATGTGTGATTTTACTATTATTATTTAAAAGGAAAGGTTTGCTGCTAAATTTGAATAAAATTTCAGTGACTTTATTGAGAAAATATGATTTATTTTTTATTTTTTAGGTACAATAACATGTTTCATTCCAAAGGAGCTAAATCCACGAAAATAAAAAATCAAAAAATTTAGTAAACATCAGAAAAGCCGAAGGGAAGATTTTTTCTTATCATTATTGGCAGATAATCAGGTCCATGCAGGGTGACACCTTTAACATATATAACAACATGAAGGTATACATGGCTAAAGGGAAAGTGGAGAAATAAAAAAGGCAATTTACTCAGAAGTACCCAAAGTGGATTTGGCTCCTTTTGGAATGAAACTCTTCACATATTATAAAAGGAAGACAAGTAATATAATGGGGGGGGGGTAAAAGACTAATGGTAGAAGTGGAAAGGAACAATGATTCTATAATGGAATGTTTAAAGATGAATTCATGAACTACGAAACGGGAATGTGAGATGGATACAACGTCAAAAAATTCTGCAATAAATTCTTTTTTTTTTCTAAATTGGAAGGGAAACACAAAAAGTAAATGGGGGCAGGAGTTGAAGAATAGAAGAAAACGAGAAGGAAATCATAATGCTGTTAAAGAAATTCTTCAGTAAGATTTTAATAAGTAAATAATTTCATGAACTAAGAAATGGGAAAGTGGGAATGGTAAATCTTACATCATCATAATTTTCCTTTAATTATTTGTTATGTTAATATTTTTGTGTTTATGTTTGATTTTAATCACATGTCTAATGTGAGTTATGATTGTCACCTGTGTCACTAGCCTATTAGATAAAATGAAAACATATATATTCACACGCCGCACTAATGCAATTAAAACAGAATATTTTTATCTCTGAGTCAGTATAATTTCTTTTCTACGGTGTTAACCTTAAAGTCCTTTTCATCAGTTGTTATTCTATTAAAATAGTGTGACGATTTTTTTTAGTTGCTCAGTTTTACCTCCTTCTCTCTTTCTATTTGCTATCGGGTTTTTTTTACCCCAAATATCACTTCCCAATTCTCAAATGCAATCCCGATGGCAATCATGCACTAAAGACGAGAAACAGAAAATCCAATCTGATCCGTACGCATGAACATCTCGATATTGATAGCAAATAAAGGAACTTATTTCGACCTCTTTATGTTTTCACCTTTGAGTGATCAGTAATTTCCGAGGAATTTAACAATGCCACAATGATGTCTTTTTTTAAAATCTTTGGATGACTCATGCTCTATTCCATTATAAGCGATCACATCATAAAGGATGAATACATCCATGTCCTAAACGATCTCTATAAAGTAATGGATGTTTTTTTTTCTTTCAACGTGCCCCGGTGAGAGAGAAGCTAGCTATCTTTGAGGAAAATCTATATTTTATATTCAAAGAGCGCGTTACGTTATTATTCCAATCCGCTGGGAATTATGCACTTTCCTCTTATGTGTACATTCCCTGGAGTGAAATAGTATATTTGCATTTTAATTGATTAGAGAGTGAAAGTATTACTTTTGAATCATGCCAATGCTTGCCAGACATAGCGACAACCTACAATCTATGTATGCAAAGTGATTTTTTTTTGTCACATATATGCTATTATGTATACCAAGTGAATTGAACTAGGGATTCTGAAGAGAAACACGCATAAATAATTGAAATACATCAGTAAATAAACAGATCCACTGCGTCAGAGGTTTGTCAAACATAGCGACAACTCATGAAACTTGTAAGCAAAGTAAATTCCTTCCAAATATATGCTGCAAAGCCTGCCTGCTAGTATGCATATGTCAGGTGAATTAGGCTGGTAAAAATATATTAGCCATTAGCAAACCGGTAAATCCAAATTCAAACCACTTACCTGCACTTCCAATCAGATACTCATCTGTTCATTAATAATTTCGCTCGCTGCTGGCTGAATGTATCACCTGTTTTAAAGTCCCAGCTGCTGTATTTTACATCCCAGCACAGAGACGAAAACTACAATAACAATTTATCTCGCTGAAACAGTAAACGATTTCAATAATACAATCCACGGGATGTATGGACGTTACATTCCACGCAAAGAACAATCGAAGTCAAATGATGCAGCGATAGCTACCAGAGTATGTAGTCTGCTGTCGCCTCTGCTCAAACGCGGATAGCACAACACGGCGTTTGTCGTAGCTCACTTAGTTACTACACCACATCTTTAAATAAAGAGGCACCCATTTGTCTTTATTTTGCTCTCCGAAGTGATCCGAGCTTTTCCCGTCTTAGGTGGTGCGTGTCAAAGGTTCTAAAGGGTTTAATAAACACCTATTGTCATTTACAAAGGCGCATAGGTCACTGATGAATGTAGCGGCTTGTACGTAGAGAGTGTGTAACAAGTAAACCGGCACCCGGCACGTGAATGGGATGCCAATCAATAATGATAAATAGTGACGATGTCTGTTTTCCAACCACCGAACGAGGCACGATCAAATTGGCAACGCCAAGAGAAAGGATGTTCCTACTGATCTGAACTGATGGTGTTTCGTCGTTCTTTACCAGATTTCGTTCTGATTTAGGCCTTTAAATACGATTGGTTACCTGTGACGTTCACTTCCATATAATTTTTTGTATAAATAAATCTGATTTTTTTATTAAAATCTAGTAAATGCATGTTAACAAATTGAATGCAGAAAAATGAAAATAATATTACTATACCTTAGTTCAATTTGATACAGATGATACCTTTATATTTGCCATATATAGTGGAAGGTAAACGGTTTATTGATGATTTGAACATACTTCCTTTCTGTCAATTGTCACTTGAATTAATTCATCCTTGTTGATTCATACTATATATATATATATATATATATATATATATATATATATATATATAGTACATATATGTACCCAAACAAAATTGAAGGCCTAGAAAATACGAATTATGTTCGTTGCTTTCTACCTCATTTAAGGCTCAGTAAGCTTTCCCCTGAGCATCCGTTTTTTTAATAAATAAAAACAGCTTGTCGAGTTGAAGGGTGTGTGTGAGTGAGAGAGAGAGAGAGAGACAGGCAGAGAGAGACATAGAGAGAGGGGGAGGGAGACAGAGAGAGAGAGAGAGGAGAGAGAGACAGACAGACAGACAGACAGAGAGAGAGAGGGGGGAGAGAGAGACAGACAGACATAGAGAGACAGAGAGAGACAGAGAGGGAGGGAGACAGAGACAGAGAGAGATCAGAAAAGAGAGAGAGAGACAGAGAGAGAGAGAGAGAGAGAGAGCGATGGAGACGACGTTCAGGGGATGGAATACACAAACCCATTCAAACGGTTTGTCTCCCACGCTCATGCGCGTGTGGTATACTACGGGACTCTATTATTATGCTAATCTATTGATTGCAAAGCATTACAATAGCATCCCCAAAACAGAATAAAAATATAGACGATGGGAACCGTCGAGGAGGCGAGAAATTGTTCTGGTTCAGTAGCTACAGTTATGAATGGAAGACAGTAAATTCAGATATGCAGAATAATTCCCTTAAATAAAGTCAGAAGTCGTGTGAAAATATTAGTTTTCTTTAAAAAGTAAATTTGCTTCATGAAAAAAGAAATCGGCTTTATGTTCTGGACATCGACTTGACACCTCATTTTATGAAATGTAATTGATTTAGCTCTGTCCATTATTGATATATTTGCCGCACAAATTAACATGAGAGAATGAAAAAAAAAAATTTAAATGATAATAAAGAAGGAAGAAGAAACTTGACGAAATAAAGAGGGGATCCGTTGGATCGCTACCCGACGGATATCACCTAAAACTAAATGATGTGTCAAGTGTCGAAATTGTGTCTCAGCAGACAGGGGACAATAATTTGTACGATGATGGCGCTCTTCAAAACAATCCTACTTGAACATTGGGTTTTTGTGATCGTATTCTGTGTTTTCATTAAAAGAATTGAATAATGGCATCAGTTCTGAAATTCCTCCTCTCTTTATTCAAAAGAGAGATTCTAGATAGTAGAAGTGACGTCACTAACCAAAATATATAACCGACTCTTAATTCCTGTGTATTTGAGAATCCATCAAGTCTGGGAGTTTCGACATTTTAAAGTTATATAGATGTTTAAGTCAGAATATGTCGGGATTAATCCACCCCCCCCCCCCTTCACCCCCCCCCCCCCTCCAATGCACCAACTCTGTGTAAAAGAGGTATGAAAGGGATCACTAAGATTTGTATTTATAAATAGTAAAAAATATTAGGCAACGTCTATAGATTTGTGCGTCACCGTTAAAGATAAAGGTGAGTTCTGGTCATCCGATTGCATTGTAAAAGAAAAGGTGTGGAATGGATCAGAAAAGGTTGATCATGTAGCATGTAAGTATTGGTGTGTACTGCAAAGTTCTGGAGTCATCAAAATCATAATAAATTTGGCCCAGTCTTGGTAAGGTAACAGGCACTGTACACAGAGATATGTATATGGGACTACACGCATGGTGTCGGGGCTACTTACCTTGATGTCCTAATCTTTCTATGCTCATTACTCAGCCAGTATGAATTTTTTCTACCAAAATTGTTTGGCAATTGGCATTTATTTGTAATCTTGAACATTCAATGTATTAGTTTCGTTTGATTCTGTCAAAATTCATTTTCTTTTTTTTTTAAACCAGAACTCACCTTTATCTTTAATAGGGTTCGAATATTGTAATGACGTTTTGCATAGGCCTAAAATTATAAGTCATCTAAATGTGATTTCTAAAGGCGATACAATAGAATATTGAAATTGAAATTAAAATGAATTGATCCTTGAAACCACAATCAATCATTATCGTCATTCGTTTTACCCCTTAGTACAACTTCTAAATTCCTATGACGTCATGTCAATACAACAACACACAAGAACAAACTGAGAAGGAGAAAAGGTACTTGACATTCATTTTTTTTTCTTCATTCTTCTATTAATCAAATTTGTTTTATAAGCATCAATATATACAACCAAGCTTCACAATAATTTCAGTGATTTTCGCCCCATTTTAGGACAAACAATAATTTTGACATCCAACTAATTATATATGCACTTTCGTTACGTTTATCGTTATTAATATAACTAATATTATTATCATTATTATAATTATTATCATCATCACCATTATGATTGTTATTTTATTTTTGATCAATGAAATCTTGTTCAGTGATTGGTCAACATAGCATCACGTGACCAAACATAACATTGCTATGATGTAACCGTGACGTCATCCATGGTATAGTGCACTATACCATAGCACTATACCATGGATGACGTCATATATATGCAATCGATGAAGATCAATGTTCTATCGGTCGCGGTCGCGCCTCTGCGCTGCTCTCACTGCACTCTTCACTACTTCAGTGACAGTAAACATTATTATTATCATTATTATTTTTTGGAGGTTGGTTTGAAAAATATAAACAAATATATCATGCACTATTTCAAGCCACTAGTGAAATTATGGATTCCTCGGCGACATAAATACCATTATTTTCTTCGGGACTACGCCCCTCAGAAAATAGTGCTATTCCTGCTACCTCGATCCATAATTTCAACTAGAGCCTCTCAGTGCATTATATATTTGTTTATTATTATCATTATTGATATTTTTATTATTATCATCATTATTATCACCATCATTATTATTGTTATAAATATTATTGTAATTGTCATTGTTTTTGTTGTCGTTGTAGTTATTATTGTTATTATAATTTATTCGGCACTATTACAAATCGAACAAAATACTGGCGGAGAAACTTTTCTATTTCAGTACCAAATGAAATTCATTCTTTTAACATGCTTAAGTTTTGTACAGAAATTAAATGGTATTATACTGTGGCTATTTTTGCTCAACGTCATTTGTGTTTGTGTGTTTAATTGACTTATCACAGACGTGCATCATTTAGATATGATTATTTACGTTCGGTGACCAACCTTTAACAGGGACTTTTAGATTCGCACGAAGACAATAGGCCTATGCTACGATCGACGTCCTGTTAATGCACTGCCGTGAATGGACGTCATACGTATCAGTCCACGCAAATCTAAAAGTCCCTAATGTCGCCATCCGAACAACGTTACTCAGTTTCGTACCAGGGTCGTCTGAGCATGGACCTATTACGGATGGACATTCAACGTGATTCTTTCTTTGATCCAATGATAGTCGCCGCCTTCTGATTATGTGCATCTTAATGAGAACATTCAGCTGTTATAACAACGACTGCGTAAGCATTTTCAGTCATTGACAAAGGAGCAGTTTCCCTCTCTTGGGTTTTGTTTGGATGGTGTGCTCTGTAAGAGTGTGTCTTAAATAAAAGCATCCTCAATGGGGAGCAGCAAAAATGAAAAGCAGACGATTTTGGTGATATGAAATGTATTATTACTGATTCGCAAACTTTCGCGCACACCTATGACCTTATAAAACAATTAGAAGGCCACGATCTGTATCAGCCCTGTGCGTTGTAACTCTGGAATATTATAAAGAAATAGGGGGAAACGGGATTTTAAATAACAACCAAAAAAATCAAAAAATAACCTCAATCTGGTAATATCAACATGTTTTTTCCAAAAAAAATACATGTACAGTGCACGGAACAACAATTTCCGATTATAAACCAGAACTGCACATCGATTTTCCATGATTTAAGTGAGTTATTATCTTCAGAACTGCGCATGAATAGTAACATGTGTAAAATCACTATCTTGATTCTGTCCCAGCTTTTTGCCGGTGACCATGATGAGACAAAACAGAAGAAACATGTACGGAATGTTATTGAGACGACATTGACGAAGACAATCACAATGAATTCATTAAGAAAACGATGAATGTCCATTCGTAATAGGTCCATGGTCTGAGCCAGTATTTAGGCGAAGACAGAGAGCTGACCAAGTGTAATAATCTTCACATATTATTCTCAGTGGATATCATCGATTAACACTTTGTAAAAAAAGCTGCCGAGGTTTACAACTTTATATCTGAACTATATAACAAATTTCCATTTGAACATAAAAAAATCATATTGCAATATCTTAGAAAGAACACATCGTACGAAAAAGCTCCCAATGTAAAGTATTGACAATTTTGTAAATTTCTACAGTAATTTATATTTTTCAGCGTTTAGAAATCATTCCCACAATATTCTCCGATCTCTGTGATATATATATAAACTTTCCTACACCAACTTAACTTGGTTTTATTTATTAATAATAATTATGAGAAATAACACCAAAAATAAGATCTAATTTCAACTCTCGTTGGAACCGAGAAATAAGGACATAGCCGAAACCCTAAATGGAGAAACCTTTATTGCTCCTATGACCATACCCAAAACTAAATATTATTGTGTGAAAAGGGGGGAAACCATTATTTCCTTCAGATCAGATCAAAGTGTTACGGAATTATATTTCCATTCAGAGAGTTTTCTAATTTCTTTGTTAGTTTTATTCAGGTTTGTATTTTTCGTCATTCCGTAACAAACCTATTAAAAATTTTAAAGTCTCTAAATTTGATGAATGGTTGATACGACACTCAACTGTTGTAGAGTACCTCACCTATAAAGCTGATAGATTATATAACTGTTTTGTAGATTTTATCAAAATGTCGATAATACTCTCTTTAAAAGAAATTCTTGAAATGTCGTTCCGTAACGCTTGGACCTGCCTTTCAACTTCTTCCGCCTAATTCAACAGGTTACCATCAGAACAGTGGGGTTAATAGTCCTGAAATATTGGATTGCACAATAGAAGACAAAAACAACAACTATTTTCCTTTAGAAAAGATGTCAATATGATATGAATACACGCGCTTAAAGATTTTCTTTCCAATTAATAATGAAGGGCGAAATTGATGCCACCAGTACAAATGAACTTCATTTTCTTCTATCTCTTGCTCCTGTTCTCTTCTTCTTATCTTCTTCTTCTTCTCCTCCTCCTCCGTCACCTCCTCACAACTTCCTCTCATCCTTCTTGTTCTTTTTATTTTTTTGGTTTGTTGTTGTTGCTCTTCTTCTTCTTCTCTTCTTTTCTGTCCTCTTCTCCTCCCTTTCTTCTCTTTGTCATTTTCCTTCTTCTTTCATTCTTCTTTCCTTCTCCTCCTCCTCCACCTCTTTCCTTTTCTACGTCCTCTTTTTATTCTTTAATACGTTCACACCAACGATCATTAAGGCATACCTCAAATCGCTCCGATAAGTTCGATTTTACGGAGATGCGGGCGACCCACTGAATACATCTCCGAGATGAAGGATTTGAATGACAAGGACCAAGATGGCGCCCACTGTTTTCGCTTTTCAATGAGCTCAATCAATGTTTGCATTGTACTTTAGTGTCATCACATCATAGATGCACTCTTCTTGCTATAACACCTCCATTTCTAAATGTGGAGCGGTGCCAGTTCTCTTGTTCTCCTTTCGCTCCTTCTCGATCTCCTGCCGTCGTCGTATCACCGCTTCTCTTCTCTCAATTTCCATCTCATCGAGGGGTTCGTTGGGTTGTATCTTATTAGCTTGAGCGACGGGCGAGTGCGGGTATGGCTGTTTCCGCCGGGCCACAGCAGCTTTAAGCGGATGCGGAACCCTCGCGGATTCGGAATCGATCGGCTCATCGTCTTCGGTTCGGAAGGCATCCATCAAGGGTCCAGCGCACTTGGTCCATTCGTCTTTCCAGGGGAGTTCGTGGATATCGACTGAAATCTTGGTGAATAGAGGAGTCAAATCGATGTTTGGTTCTTCGTAGTTTATGCTCTTCAGGCCATCTGATTTCATGCGTTCCATGCTAAAATGGAGAAGACAAATCCTGGGTAAAAGAAAGAGGAAGAGACAAAAAGTAGTCATACCATCAATGCCTTTGAAATGATTTCCTCTGCGTGAATTACAAATGAAATCAGCCAGCCACTCCACATAAACCCTCACCTTTTTTAAGCTGCAGGATGAGGCAATTCGGAAAAAGCAATCAGGTCACAAGTCACAAGCACAAAGCCGCGGCATCTTATTATTGGGGGGGGGTATTATGATGCAAAGTGTAATAAGCTTTACATTTATGTTTCACAGAGCTAAGTGAATACGCGCAGTTGCGACTCATTTACACGGAAACAAGTTTAAGTCTAACTTCCAGTGTGAGTTTCTATCTTGTGTCATATCTTGAGTTTGAGTTTTGATTTTTAACGTGACTCACCTTTCCCTTTTCATCTGATTTTCTGTTAAGGTTTGTGTCTGAGCTTGTGTTTGGTTTGAGTCTAGCCTACAGCATGATTCTCAATCTTGTAGGTTGAGTTTGAATTTTGATTTCGGACGTAACTCATCGTTTCATTTTCATCTCCTTTTGTGTTTAGGTATGTGTCTGAGCTTGAGTTTGGTTTTAGTCTAGCCATCAACGTGAGTCTCATCTTATGTAGTAGATTGAGGTTAAATTTTGATTTCGGACGTAATAACTCACCGTTTCATTTTCATCTCCTTTTGTGTTTAGGTTTGTGTCTGAGCTTTAGTTTGGTTCGATTCTAACCTTCATTGTGAGTTTCAATCTTGTGTCATATCTTGAGTCTGAGTTTTGAATTTGAACTTGACTCACCGTTCCCTTTTCATCTACTTTTGTGTTAGTCCGTGTCTGAGTTTTAGTGTTTAGATTGAGTTTCAATCTTGTGTAGCATCTTAAGTTTGAGTATTGATTTCGGACGAGACTTACCGTTGCTTGTTCATCACCTTTTTTTCTCCGTGGTGATTTATGGTGTTGTAGAATCCAAATGATCCTACAGGTCTGCTTCGAGGGTATCCCTTCTGTTGTATCCGCCTGTACATATCATCATCCTCACCACCCCACCCCCAGTACATGTTGGAGAAGCCGTTCACACTGTGCATCTGTGATTTCGTCAGGCCGGTGACTCCACCGAAAAGATCCGGGTAGAGAATACTAGTTTAGAGATTGAAGAGAGAAGAAGTGAGACGGGCATAAGTATTATTGATCTTGAGTTAATTTATGGATTCTGTGAGTTTAAGGAGACGAAACAAACAGTTGCGTACTTAAAAGCACACACATGCTTTCTTAGCAGTCAGGTTAAACAACCCACCCAACCATAGATGGACGGGAGATGGACCGGCGGATTTAAGCAGTTAAACTGGGTATCACTCGTCTCGGCTCATCGTAAGACTCAAGATAGAACACTTTGGAGAAACAAACATCAACAGGGTCACAAATAGTCAGCATTCACTCAAAGTACCACTACGACGACGACGTGTCTGACAGTGAAGTCTAGAAAGTAAACGGGTTTCCCTGCATAATGTGAATTCTAGGACACTACTTGCGTTTAAATTTCACAGGTAGGACATATACGTGACATATTCATAATTTCTGCTAAGTTCTACAGAATGTGATGTCGGCTGCAAAAGGGATACACTACATTTAAGGCACAGCAAATAAAGTGCCCTCATCGTTCAATTCGTGACAGTGGGTAAAAAAAGGCACAGGGTAAATAATCTATAGTCAAACCTGCAGCTGTTGATGCTATATATCTTTAAGAAGTGCTGTGGATACACCTATATGTTAGCCATTTGAAAGGCATCTTTACATAACTAATCCTTTGTGAGTATTTAAGATAATTTGACCCACAGCATTATTTTTAATAAAAAATACATATCGACAACATGTTGATATTGGACAATCTTCCCCATGTAATTTATTAACATTGACTAGCACTGAACAATGAGGGCTCTATATTCACTGTGCATTGTTCGCTTTTTTCCGAGTATTTGCATGTTCTCGGTTTTCCTAAGGTCTGTCTGACTGACTTACGTGTATCCCCAGATGTCGTCGCCAGATATGAAATGTCGTGGCATGAAGTCGCAACCGTAGTAGTTGTTGACGTTGAGGGCTAAGTGGTCGACGTCGTGGAAAACGAAGCAGTCGTATCGGGTGAGCTTCAGGGCTTCGAGGAAACCGACGTTGAGTAGCATCGCCCGGTTGAAACTCATGTTATTATTCTAAAGGGGGAGACATACAATGTACTCGCGTCTGTTTGGAGCCAAAAGTGTGTTCACTCCAGGGGCGGATCTAGCTTTTTGCAAAGGGGGGGGGTCGACCCAGTGGCGTATCCAGGATTTTCTCAGAGGGAGGGGGGGCGAAATTTTAAAATCGCGCCGACCAATATCCCCCCCCCCCCTTGATCCGCCCCTGTACTCATACGGAGAGAACACACTTCTGGCTCTGATGAGATTAGATTTCAGTTTTAAGTATAGTTTGATTTCCATATTTCACATCACCGTCACTAAATGAAATGGGATCATACATGTACATCATAATGTAGGAGTCAAATACAATACTTTGTCGCATACATCAAATAGAGAGAGAGAAATACAAACCCAGATCATATTATAATTTACTTAAGGTACATAAAGCAAATTTGGGGCGAAATATGAAGGAAACTCGTGAAAAGCAGGGCTCGTATAATATAGATAGATTTCGTGATGTAATTATGAGATAAGAAAGATTCATATCTTTGTTTCCTGTACAGCTTTACCAACTCCAGATGCTAAGATTTGTGTTTGCATATTGTATAATCTAAATACTGATGCAAATATGTTGGCAAAAAATAGACCTCGATAACAAATTAATAAAACGACTGGTGAACCTCCCTAATATTTTTATTAGTTTTATTCGACTTCGCTTATGTAGGACTATTACTTGGATAAAATAAAAAGAAAATGCAATAAATTTTCAATAGTTGATTGTATTTTACCACGGTTCCCCACATAAAAAAAATCCTCTGTGTGCCCATGCCTTGAGCCATAATGCATGGCCGTCCAGAGGATTTTTTATGTTGGGGACTGGGGTAAAATGCAATAAATTATTGAAGATTAATTGCATTTTCCTTGTTTTTTTTTTTAATTTATGGAAACTGCCCCCTACCGTAGCCCCCGCTGCGTACAGTCATGGTTCAGTGACAAAGCAATGGCCTCGTAACTGTGAGGCCCCAGGATCAAAACCGTGTCGATGCGCTATATAATTAGTGCCCTTTTGTTGGGCATTAATCCTCATTACTGTCATTCAGTGGCGGATCCAGGGGGGGGGGGGCCCCGGGGGGCCCGGGCCCCCCCCCCCCTTGAGAAAAAAATCATGTAAAATCACGTGATTTTTACCTTTTTGGGGGTTGGACCCCCCCCCCCCCCCCCCCCCCCCCCCCTGGCGCTCAAGGGGGGGTGCAAATTGGGGGGGTGCGAATTTTTGGCCGGCGCGTTTTTCAAATTTTCGGGAGCAAAAAAAAAAAAAAAAAAAAAAGATGTGCTCTGTACCCCCCCCCCCCCCCCCCCCCCCCCCCCCCCCCCCCCCCCCACTGAGCGACTTTTCGGCCGGCGCGATTTTCAAATTTTCGGGAGCAAAAAAAAAAAAAAAAGTTGGGCCCCCTCCCCTAAGAAATCCTGGATCCGCGCCTGCTGTCATTTATGACTTAAGGGCATAGGTCCCCAAGTTGATAAGCATAGTAGCATATACATGCTTTAGGAGTCACGCATAACACACATAACACACCGAGGGATGATCCTAGAATTTCTTGTTGTCGCGGGCAGCGTTGCCTGCGAGTTCCAAGATTTCGGGTGTTCTTATAGATGAAACCTTGACTTGGAATGATCATTTACACCAAGTTACAATGTGCATTTCCAAAAGTATTGGAATAATCTCCAAGTTAAAGTTTCTTCTACCCCATGCAACCTTATTCCTTCTATATAATTCGCTAGTTCTCCCGTATATAACATATTGTAATAGCGTATGGGCAAATTGTGATTCGACAAAAATTAATTCTATTTTCAACCTGCAAAAGAAAGCCACACGTATTTGTACAGGTTCGCATTTCTTAGCTCACACTGATCCTTTATTCTATAAACTTAAAACACTAAAAAATTTCGATCTGAACACTACTCAAGTAGCAGTTATTATGTTTAAGTACATTAATAATCTGCTTCCACCATCCTTTGATAACATGTTTAGGTTTAATAATTCCGTTCATTCATACTCTACTCGCATATCTGGAAACTTCCATCTTACAAACCCCAAATTATCAATAACACACAAATCTGTTAGACATTCTGGCCCGGACATTTGGAATGATTTACCCGACAACATAAAGTCTTGTTCAACCATCTACTCCTTAAAAGCTACACTTAAACGACAAATAATACAATCATATGCTCCCCTCTCTTTAAATAAGTATAACAAAACCGTGACTTATTTATTCTTTATCATGCAACTGCTCACTGCACCTGCAATTGCACCGCACCCTCTTGATCACTCAGTTTTTCGAAGAGAGTTATGTCGCCAATTCTTTTTACGAGGCCGCCATCCATCTCCAGCCTAACCGCTCACGATGGTGGTCTCCTGCGTTCCAAATTACCTCTCTAATTTATTGAAAATATTTCATTTTTCTTATGTTATTGTATGCTTCGTACATGTTTATCGAATGATATAATTGTACATGATTTTTCATTCAATTACTTTTGTAAACATTGTATTCATTGTATTTGTTATTGTTCGAAATTTTGTACTTTAACTTTGAATTTGTATATTTTTGAACGCAGAAATAAAATCAATCAAACAAACAAACAAACATTAGCAAATTATTATTCAATAAAATCTGAGAATGTATACTATTATCTAGATCTATTATTTTTAAATTATTTTTAAAATAATTCCATAAATTGGGGTAAAACAAAAATATTCCAACCTTATGAACATCAAACCGGGATGGGGGCGCATATCAGCTGTCTGACATATAAGACAAAGTAATCGCCAAAATGACAACCACTGGCGACCGATAATAATAGGGACTTTTAGATTTGCGTGGACTGATACGTGTGACGTCCATTGAAGGCAGTGCATTAAAAGGACGTCGATCGTAGCATAGACCTATTGTCTTCGTGCGAATCTAAAAGTCCCTAATATCAAAAGAAGTCCGATAGAAGCGCATGCATGGAGACCCATTATATTATAATACGGTATGTGCTGTACAAGAACGGCATATTAATGATATTTTAACGAATGTTAGCTAATGTTAATGTAAATGTATGCGTATTCGTTTATCAGTTGGTGAATATGAGATGCAATTAACCACCACCGTTATGAGTATAAACTGACTTAGTTTTTGTTTTTCGATTATTCATAATTTTGCCGTTTGAGTATTTGTGTTTTATGAGGTGCAGGAGGGTCAACATTAAACAATGTAGAATCTTCTCGCCTTATATCATTGGTTCTAGTATACCTACCCCCTGGACATCCATCCCCGGGTAACCACACCCAGTCAACTTACCCCTAGGACAACCACCCACTAGGGAAACTACCCTCTAGGACGACTAACCCCTAGGACAACTACCACCCGGACAACTACCCTCTAGGACGACTACCCTCTATGAGTCTAGGGCAAACACCCTCTAGGACGACTACCCTCTAGGGCAACCACCCTCTAGGGCAACCACCCTCTTGGGCAAGTACCCTCTAGGGCAACCACCCTCTAGGACAACTACCACCCGGACAACTACCCCCAAGGACAACTACACGCGGAAAACTAACCCCCGGACAACTACCCCCAGACAACTACCCCCTACGACAACCATCCTCTAGGACAACTACCCCCGGACAACTATCCTAGGGTAGTTGTCTGGGGAGGTAGTTGTCCGGGGGGAAGTTGTCCGGGGGTAGTTGTCCTAGGAGTAGTTGACCGGGGGAAGTTGTCCGGGGTAGTTGTCCTAGGGGTAATTTGTCCTAGGGGGTAGTTGTCCTGGAGAGTAGTCGTCCTAGATGGTGGTTGCCCTAAACAGAAGTTGTTCTTGGGGGTAAATGTCCTAGGGGTAGTTGACTGGGGGTGGTTATCCGGGGGTGGATGTCCAGGGGTAAGTGTCCGGATACGTATATCATTATTATATTTTTCTCCACCTAAGACATAACCTTAGTGGATTACCTGTTCGACAACGAAGATGGAGAATTCTAGTTGTTGGGTCTTCAAGAGTGGGATCATGTGGCGAAGAAAGATGGCAAGATGGCCGATTCGATCTCGAAATGGCACCACAACCGCAACCTAATGAATGAGGAATATAAAGGGCATGGTCTATTGTAAAGTAATAAATGAATAAATGAATTTATTTATTAATTAATGAATGTACTAATAAATAACTAGATGAATAGATAACGTAACGAGTGCATAAATGAATAAATGAACAAATAAGCAAAAATATTTAATTAATTAATTTATAAAAAAATTAAAAATTATTAAATTTTTAAAAATGAATGAATGGATAAATATATAAATGAATGAAGACCAACAAAAAATAGGAACAAAAAATATACAAATGTAAAAGGTAAAATAAAGAATACGACACAAAAACTTTCAAAAAAATCAACTTAAGGGCGATGTCGACACCATATCAATCATGTTAGGATTATATAAAATGCCATTATATAAAATTGCCCTTCAATATGCTAATTACACACACAAGGATAATGAAATAGCTATCGGTTGATGTTTTTTCAACATTTATTTCGAACGTGTTACAGAAAATTCATCGCGAGGCAGGGCTGAAGCATAGCTCGTATAGAGTATAGAGATATTTATGTCAACGGAAGTTGAGTTTGCTCAGAGATTAAATTTATAAAGCAGCAACATCCCATAGAGAATGTACTTGGAGGAGGAGGAGGGGCTATTTTCAGCTCCATGAATAAACTCGTCTGTTGGAATCAAGAATGACATTATCTCTATGTGAAGTGATATGATTTAACGCCCTTCTGGCTCCAAACAGACAACCAGACCTTTGAGTGTGTGCGGGAACGCGTGTCCCAACCATGTCTGTCAGTACGCTATGATCTTACCTTCCATTTGGGTGAGCATCCCATAGGTTTCCAGTGACCTCCTGGTAGATAGATGTACCCATCCACGTCTATCATCAGGCCTAGCTCATGGAATACCTCATCCACCGTCTGGTTCCTCTCCTCCAAGATGGCCGTCTTGTTCACCTCCTCCAGAATCTTGTTGCTGAGACGAGAGAGCCGTCCAATGGTTGACATGTTATCGCCGAAGGTCTGCCAGCACAACTCGTCCAACGTGATATAGGAAACGTCGGTACGCAGTCGGGCCGCTGGAAAGAAACACGGTACCGAGAAAACATGGGTGACTGACTACTCTGGCAATATGGGACACAGAGGTGATCCCAGGATTAATGTAACCTCCGACATCACCGGAGTTCCTAACGTCAAGCTTGATAGAATCTGGCGCTGACGGTTGAAGGGTAGAGGAAGAAGAACTGGTTGAAAGAGAGGGGAGGGGCATTGGGTTGAACTGATTGAGGAGGCAAATGCCAGCGTTTCCTGGGGGTACTTCATGCGCGTGTGGAGAGACTGGGCGCCGGTGAACTTGTATGGAGGGATAGTATCAGGTGGGACCCCAGGATTACTGGGGAAGGGCCACTATAACATCACGGCAAACAAATAGAAATCAATAGCATGAATATGTGATTAGGACCATGAGATATTAGGTCGGAATACTATAAATTTGGGCCCTGAAATATTTGGTGCCACGAGTTATTGAATGTACAGTTGAGTATTAGTGAAACTGTCTGAACGCATTTGGGAAAGGTTGAGTATGTAGTTCATAAAGCCGTCAGCCGTCTGGTTGCTTACTTACAAGCATTTATGCTTTCTTCGCAGTCAGGTAAAATAAAAACCAATAAGAATTGATGTAAATTGTAAGGTTGATGGAATGATCAGAATCAACTGCTGAATACTGTACGCGCAAAAGTCTCGCGAGTGAACATACTGAACATCTTTATTAGTCAGTGAGAATTTTTTTTTTTTTTTTTTTTTTTTTTTATCGACGAACAAACCACTTATTAGTATTTTTCAAGTTCAAGCGTGATTTTCCATCCAGTGTCATATTCACGGAAGCCTGAAAAGAATATATTGCTGAACTTTTGTTTGACTTTCAACCAATTATCTTGATTCAGCTAAATCCTCATGTTTGTATTTTACACAACATTATGGTCTGGCTGCTATTTCTTATTACGGAAGGAAACAAGCAGGCCAGTCCCTCAGATCTATTAGTGTATTTATGTAGTATTGCCTATATGTAATAGGTGAGTTTCTTAGTTGTGCTTACATTACATTTTAGTCAAACAATTATGATGACAGAATGACTTTAGCATGGGCTCTTAGTCTTAGCCAGTTTTTCTTTCTTGAAAATCAATACAAGAATTTTCCGTGAAACTATTTCTCTCTCTCTCTCTAAGTGCCATATCGATTGACTTTGGCGATCATGCTGTTCCACAACCCTCGGTTCCTAGCCTTCTGTATTAGTACCACTCCCAGTTCTTTCACTCCTCTCTCTTCCAACAATTTCTGCAGACTGTCCATCCAAAGTATCCTCCTTCTTCCCCTACTATTTAGGTCTTCCTGAGAGAAGAGGAGGGAGATGGAAATTCGCGACGCATATTAAAGTTTAGATTAGGCCTTGCTAAGGATCCGCGTAGACAGCAGGCATACCATGCGGACATCCGCGGCTATCTTGAAATTTCCTTCAAGTCATCGTTGCTAAAAAAGGTTGTTTTTAACTACTTAAAGGGATAGTTGAGTTCTTTTTTCTGACCGCAAATGCATTAAAAGTGCATGGTTATTGCTCTTATTCTGATCTATGACATTTCTAATGCCCTTTTAGGACCTAAGAATGCTATGAAAGTAATTTTAGATCCCCAAATGTGTGAAATTTAGCCAATATGATCAAACCAATTCAGCTCCACTTTCAAAAAAATATGGTGACCGTTAATTAATTAATTAATTGATTAAAAATAGCAATACATAAGCCGGCTGGTTATGCGTAATATAGCCAACACGAAAATGCCAACAAAAAAGCCAACATCGGCATTGGCTGAAATATTTCGATTTTTCAGTGGCTTTTTCAAAATTATCTAATATTTTGTGGTGGTACACAAGTATTAGAAATCGTTATATTTCTGGATATTTCAGCCGTCTCTGCACCGATTTTGATCAAACAAAGATGATTTTGTCACTTAAATTATATGTTCTTGCAAATTTGACACACATTTTATCATTATCTCACAAAAAAATATTTTGTGTAGCGCCCTCCGCAACAGAACTCAACTGTCCCTTTAAACCGAGGGCGTTTACAGAGATTAGGAAGCGATCTATTACTAGGGTTGATGATCGATGATAGATTCATGTCTGAAATTAATATACGGCCAGGGTCCATATTTTCATTGTAAAAGTTTCTTTGAATTTTATCAGGTTCTTTGATTAAGTCCATAAATATTGTATCTTTTATGGAAAAAATCACAGAACTATCTCTCCTTGGAAACTGTTCAAATAGTGATATTTCAGAATCTGTTGAATGTTATAATTCTCTATTAAGAACTGTCCTTGATGAGTATGCTCCTGTGAAACAGAGATGTGTCACAGTTCGTCCTAACACAAAGTGGTACTGTCAAGATATTGCAAACAAAAAACTCCAACGTAGGAATTTGGAGCGCAAATGGCTTAAATCGGGCCTTGAGTCTGATCGTGTGAAATATCAGAACCAGCGTCAGTTGGTGCAGTTAAGTGTTCGCGCTGCCAAAACGTCATATAACTCTATGCTGGTTGAAAGCTGCACAAGTACAAGACAGCTGTTTAGAGTTGCAAACGTTTTACTTAATAGAAGTAAGAAATCTCCCCTTCCTACTTATGCGAATCTTGCAGATCGTTTTAACAAATTCTTTGTGGAAAAAATTCAGAATGTCAGATCAGCTCTTACTAATATCGGAGGGTTTGAAATTCCTTTGATTACAGAGAAGACACTAGATAAGCTATCTCCAACAACACCTAATGAGATTAAGTCGATCATAATGAGTTCACCTTCTAAATCTAGTGAACTTGACCCCATACCAACATTGCTTTTGAAACAATGTCTCCCTGCTATTATACCATCAATTGTAACTATAATTAACACAAGTCTTGGTTCAGGGTTAGTTCCTGACAGTATGAAGATTGCAGCAGTGCGCCCCACCTTGAAAAAATCCAATTTGGACAGTGAGTGTCTTCAGAACTATAGACCTATCTCAAATTTGTCGTATCTGTCCAAACTCACAGAACGAGTGGCTTTCTCACGTCTTCGCACATATCTTATTGAAAATAATTTAATTGATAATTTTCAATCTGCCTACCGGCCACACCATAGTGTGGAAACTCTGCTAACTAATCTTGTGGACTGTGTCCTCTCCGAAATGGATAAAGGTAACATTACTTTTCTTGTGCTACTTGATATGTCAAGTGCTTTCGACACTATTGACCACACAATACTTGTTAAGAGACTACAGTCTCTTGGGGTAACAGGCACTGCGTTGCAGTGGTTTTCATCATACATTCATAAAAGAACCCAGTATGTCTCTGTAAATAACTCCCAATCTGACAAAACTTATCTTTCATACGGTGTGCCACAAGGGTCTGTTGGTGGCCCGTTAATGTTTTCTGTTTACCTTGAGCCAATCAGTACAATAATTAGAAAGCATAATATAAAATATCATTGTTACGCTGATGACATTCAGCTTTTCATTTCTGTACATCCTTCCTCAGATGCAATTGCCGATGCTAAGAGAACTTTAGAAGCCTGTATTCATGACATGAAAGGCTGGATGGATTCCAACGGTCTTAAAATAAATGAAAATAAAACTGAGTTTATCATTTTGGGCTCTAAGAACTCTTTACTGAGAGCAAATCATACTCATTTAAGCTTGCATCTAGGTGACAAAGTTCTAAAGCCAGCCTCAAAGGTCCGTAACCTCGGTGTGATATTTGACAATAATATGTCATTTATTGAACATGTATCTAGCATATCAAAGTCTGTAAGATATCAACTGCGGAACCTTGGGTTCATACGAAAATCTCTGACTCAAAAAGCATGCGAACAATTAATCCATGCATTAATCTCATCCCGCTTAGATTTTTGTAATTCTATTCTATTTGGACTCACAAAACAGCAGCAAGACAGACTGCAAGCCCTCCAAAATTCCAGTGCAAGACTCCTTACTTTCACACCAAGAATGTCTTCTATTACGCCTATATTATGCTCTCTTCACTGGCTACCTGTCCAGAAAAGGGTCCACTTCAAAATTATGTTACTTGTTTATCGGGCTCTCCATGGAATCTCGCCACAATACATTAAAGACTCACTACACTCCTACAATCCAACTCGTACCTTAAGATCTGGAAGTGATAATTTGCTGCAAATTCCCCGTACCCGTCATTCATGGGGATACCATGCTTTTTCGCATGCAGCAGCCAAATTATGGAATAAGCTTCCCTCATCACTTCGCTGTATTGCAACATACTCTGCCTTTAAAACTCGTCTTAAGACTTACCTATTCCATCTGTAACCCAGTATTTCCTTAAGTTGTATAAGTTTATTTTACTAAATCAATAATTGATATGTTATTTGTATATACATTTGAAATTAATTAGTTATCACCCTTTAGTCTCATTGGCTGCCTGTGTGGGGCCTGTTGGCCTCAGATGCTAGAGCTTCTGTGAATAATGTGCTGACTGGGCTAGTCCCTTAAATTGTCAGTGAACGGAGCAGCTGGAGGGCACCGGGCCCCATCAGGCAGAGCTGAGGATTGAAATGGGTTATAACAAAATATCGCAAAAAATATTGCAAAATTATTTACTTTACTTGTATCAAAGAGAACTGTTGCTGAGCTAGCGCCATGAGCGTCCCTGGACGGTGTGTGCGCTCTATATGTTTACACTATTATTATTATTATTTTGGGGGGATACGTGGTCAAGCGGAAAGTATGTCAACACAACAAGGGGTGTCGCAAGACAAGTGCGTGTGTGTGTGTGTGTGTGTGTGTGGAGGGGGGCGTGGATAAAAAATTACCGACGAGTTAGGAAGTTAAGGAAAAGTAAGCATGCTAAAAGATGATTAAATTGTACTTTTTTTTTCGACGTGGAAATAAAGATTCAAAATTTACCGATTTGACAGAATTCCTAATCAAAGATTTTCAACGGACTATTTGCATTGGGCTAAAGAGGGGGGTGTTAGACCTCACTCCAACCCCTGAACTGACTATGGATTTACGAATCCAATTCATTGATCTCTATTACAGTCAAACCTGCTTTAGTGACCACCTGTCTAGAAAGGCCATAGTTCGAGTTCGAAATGGCCAAGCGGCAAACCATGCAATGGTATTTTGTCAATAAGATCGCAAAAACTTTCAACTTCAGGTCATTTTGTATAACCGTGTTGTATTGCCTTATAAATCACGTACAGGGGAGTGTTTCACAAAGACTAAGATTGAATTTAAGTTAGACTTAACTATGGCAGGCCGTTCATGCCAATGTTTGCTCTCACCATTATAATCTTTAGATAATATTTTTTCCTTCAATAATGAATTTTCAAAAAGTCTAAATTCTTTAGATGTATGACCATGATTTGTACGTCCCTTGAGAGACCAATGCCAGTGAATGGTGAGAGCAAACAGTGGCATAAACGGCCTGCCATAGTGAAGTCCAACTTAAAGTCGATCTTAGTATTTGTAAAACACCCCCCCCCCCCCCCGATTTAGTAATAATGCCATCGTACTCATTGTAATGTTCGCAGAAGGTTCGCAAAAGGTGATGCACAAAGGATATCAAATGTTTACAGTTTACGTTATTCTACATTGTCTATAAAAGTAAACAAAAATGAATAACTACATTCTATATCATGAAGTAAAAGGGAAAGATAATTTGTTGTTATAACTGATACTTGCACATGGGACAAAACCATGGCCACAATCTCTTTAGCTATATAAAGCCATGCTTGGCCCTTCTCCAGGCTATCTAAGCCACGCATGAGTTTGTATAAAATTATCTGTCTCCATGTTCCGAAGCGGTGGATTTAGGGGAAGGGGCCTCATGGGGTACCCGCCCCTCCCCCTTTTTTTCCAAACCAAATCTGTCATAATATGTATACACATCAAACAGTGCAAAGCTGCTTTACTAATGAAAATATTGTCTAGTGCCCGCCATTTTGTTGTTGTTGTTGTTGAATACTTGCTTCTTAATTTATTTACTTCAATCTTTGCAATTTGATTAATGTATGTACAATGATTGTATTATTGAACGGGGACAACATTGACTAACTTTTGCTAATTGTTTGCTCCATGCATTTACCAAATGTAGAGTCATACTAAAAATACAATGTATATGAAAGGTTGGTAATAACTTAAATGAATGAATGTCATTGTATGAATGTATGAATGAATGAACGAATGAATGAATGAACGAATGAATGAATGAACAAAAGGATGAATGAATGAATGAATGAATGAATGAATGAACGAATGAATGAATGAATGAATGAATTTACTTATGTATTTATGAATGTACGTAGTAATTCAAATTGTATTCCCAGAAAACAGAACCTTCGTAAAAATGACTTACCAGAGGTATTTCTGATGACTGGTGGTTGGCTGCAAGTAAACGTTGGAGACGCTGTCAAGAAGAGGCAGAAAAGGAAAAAAACGATAAAACAAAAATAATGTGATTAATCAATGATTTCCTTACACCACCAACGATGTTCTTGCCTTCCAATAATGTACATCCAAATACAAATATATTATTGATTATAGAAATGTTGAGTCAGAAACAACTAAATGTAAAACAAAAGGCCCAGTTCTTGTAAATAGTTGCGATTGATCGTAACTGAACTTGAAATTGATATTGACCGCAACTCTGCAAATTTGAGATTGATAGTAGGGCTTGCGGCGGTCGATTTTGTCCAAGCGCAACATTTTATAAAAACGAGAGCAGATATGAACTTCTCATGAAAGAGTACCGGGCTAGCTAGGAAAAAATGGGTGAAAAGCATGGGAGGGAGCTAGGCGTGGGTTCGCGTATTAAACTCGTACGACATCGTACCACTTCATATACTATCTCGTACTCCCTCAGATAGTCATAAGTCAGCAGACGGCTCCAACAGGGAAATGGTGTTCACCTTTATTTAAATGTGGATTCCTAAGTAAAACAAAATTCTAAATAAAAATCGGTGCCCAAAGTGCCCAAATGCTTTAGGGGCCCACCAGTGTTTAATGTATTTCAGAACACTTTTGGTGTAGAAAACCAACGATGAGCAATATACTGAAATATGGTATAGGTTAAGACACATGGAACACCACAGGGGCCCTTAAGTTGCTCCAAAAGGGCCCTAAAGACCAGCAACTCTAAACAGTCAAGAGGACTGCTTTAAACTATTTTCTGGGGTAATAGGTTCACCGTATATCTTTATTTCCGTATACAAATACAATGATACACGTCAATGAGGCTTGGGAAATATATGTCTCAGGTACCCAAATGTAGCATAAGTGATTCAAAGCATCAAACTAAGATTAAACTAAATATTGTCTTTTTACATACATTTTTATATGTGTAATACAAAATGTTAATTGTTAATTCAACCAATATGTCATCGTTTTCTTTGGGGGCACATCAGGGGCCAAGGGATACCTGAAGCTATTCATCGCGGCCAAAAAAAAAAACTTATGGATAAAAAGCCATATTTCGAAATACGACAGAGAAATAGCCAAAAGACTTGGACCAAATGTTCATGCAACGTGTATGTGTAGTCCCGTATACCCAATTCTGTGTGCAGTGCACGTGACTTCCATTCAAGATTATTCGATTTCTTATCAATTTTAGGATTATAAAAGCTCACAATATACACCGATTGTACCACATAAGCAACCTCTCAACAACAACAAAATATCCAGAATGTAATCAAGTGACCAGAATTGAACTTTATATTTAATGAATGGAAACTGAAAATAAGCATTTTCAATCGAGGATTATGTAGATATAATTCATACAGTGCGACCCAGAAAATACGAAACCGAGAATTATCGATGTTTTATCATAACTTAATCATAATTAAAATTAACAACTGACACATATTTGTAAAGCTTAGATCCTCCTCTTTTATTTGATGCAACGCATATTTCACGCATGAGTGATTAAAAGCAATTTGAAAGAAGGAAACCAAAAAGTCATTCAGCGGGCGGTATCTGAATTTCGAAGAAAAAAATTCACCTTTCTAGAAAGTTCATTTCTCTATTCTTCCATATGACACCTTAATCAGGAAAAATGAGCAAGGAATAACAAAGTTCTGTTTGTTTTAATCACTAATGCGTGAAATATGCATCATATGAGTAGCATCAAATGAAAGAGAAGGATCTAAGCTTTACAAATATGTGTCATTTATTAATTATAATTGTGATTAAGTTATGATAAAACATGAATTCTCGGTTTCGTTTTTTCTGTGTCGCACTGTTTAATGATGTACGTCTTGTCAAAACAAGGTTTTGAAATCATTGAACCAAAAGTTATGGTGTTTTTATGAGACATTATGGTATCATTTCTGGGTTAATGAACGGAAACTGAAAATAATTATTTTCATTTTAAGTTTTGAATAAAGTGTTTACTGGGAAGGTTGTTTTTGATGAATAACTCTTAAAAAGGAAGCCCTATTTAAAATCATAATGAAATCCTTATAACAAATGTTAATAATTATCTTTTGTCAAAGCACATGAAATGCTTTAAATTAAAATAAGTTGCATTTACCATGACAAAAAAGAAATTCTTCTAATTTTGTAAATACTAAAATGAAGTTTTAAACAAAATCTGCTTTTATTGAAACCAACTTTTTAAAGGGTGGAGTACCCCTTTAATAAACAGGGGTAATTTTGGGGTGTAATCGTCCTAGAGGGTATTTTTCAGGGATGGGGGTAATTGTCCTTGGGGGTTAAAAACGCCATCCTGGTGCATGTAAAAAAAATTGGAGGACAGTCCCGCGCATTGCTTAATATGTATGCTCCGAAGGTCCGAATTATAAACATTTAAACGATTAAGTACTTATAAACTATATAAATAGGATTATAGTTGCCTGTAGTCAGTGACCACCTGGTCCTAGTGAAATTATTTTTAAAAATTTCCGTTAAAGTCATTCAAAATATTTAGAACAAGACAGACACCTATTTTTGCCCCTTTAAAGAGTAGATTTCGTGCCCATTATTTTCTTGGTTTAATAAATCATCAATACCTGGTAATTTCACGCTTTTTATGTCACTGTAAACTAAAGAAGTTCTCAATTTTTGCCTAAGGACCCATATTCTGAAATCTATATCCTACTGTACTGCATACATAGTATCCTGAAATGTAATCCTACTGTACTGCATACATAGTATCCTGAAATGTAATATTAATTTTTTTGTCAATTTTCTATTGATAACACAAGCAAATTTTCAGAGGAGGAAATACTTATAGTTGAGAAGGAAATACTTATAGTCGAGAAGGCAATATGATAAGCACAAATCGGTTTCCCAGGTTCGTGTACATGCATATAGGGTCTGGTTGCAAAATGTTTCTAAAATAAGTTTACACATTTGCCGGGTAGTGTGGTTTATTTGCAAACAAAAATAATGCTCATAATATTCAACATATCACCAAATGTGAGTTATAGGCCCCGAAGTTAGTTAAGCTTATAATATTCTTTAAAAATAGTTTTTAAAATGAGAAAAATCTCTGTTGGCCATATTAAAAAATCAACAACTTCTAACCTTACTCTTTTCGCACATTTCTCAATTAAATGAAATATATAAGAGTTGCCAGTGTGAAGAGGAAAACCTGATCATTTATTTAGCCCCGTAAAATCACTGCCATATCTGTCTTGTTATTTTATTCCTTTAATTTAAGTCCTTACTGGTAGGATGACAGCTGTCTAATGAGCCCACTGAATAGGGACATTTAAATTTGCGTGGACTGATACGTGTGACGTCCATTCAAGGCAGTGCATTAAAAGGACGTCGACCGTAGCAATCCACATTGTCTTCGTGCAAATCTAAAAGTCCCTAAAAGACGTCACACGTATCAGTCCACGCAAATCTAAAAGTCCCTAATGAAAGAAAACTGGCCCTGTTGTCAATTTGAATAAGAAAAGAAGGATTTTGCCCCGTCAAATTACCGTCTTACTTCTCTTGATAACGTATCCATTTAAAGATAAACTTGAGTTCTGGTTTAAAAAATAACGAATTCCCACAGAATCAAACGAAACTTACACTGAAGGTTCAAGATCACAAATAAATGTCATTTGCCAAACAATGTTGGTAGAAAATGTACACTGGCTGAGTAATGAGCATAGAAAGAAAAGGAAATCAAGGTTAGTAGCCCCAACACCATTTGTGTAGTCCCATACACGTCTTCTGTGTACAGTGCTTGTTACTTTACCAAGACTGGGCCAAATTTATAATGGTTTTGATGACTTGCAGTACACACCAATACTTACATGATCAACTTTTTCTGATCCATTCCACACCTTTTCTTTCACAATGCAATCGCCTGACCAGAACTCAACTTTATTTTTAATTGGTAGGATGACAGCCGCACAAGAATCCCTCTGGATTTTAAAAAAAAACTAGCACTGTTGCCAATTTGGAGAAGAAAATCTGGGCCCTGTTTCATAAAACTTGATATCCAAAACAAGTTACAAGCTACTGTTATAAGCTACTGAAATCATGGCATCTGATTGGCTGAGAGCAAACTTGATATCAATAACAAGTTACAAGCTACTGTTATAAGCTACTGAAATCAAGGCATCTGATTGGCTGAAAGCAAACTTGATATCAATAACAAGTTACAAGCTACTGTTATAAGCTACTGAAATCAAGGCATCTGATTGGCTGAAAGCAAACTTGATATCAATAACAAGTTACAAGCTACTGTTATAAGCTACTGAAATCATGGCATCTGATTGGCTGAGAGCAAACTTGATATCAATAACAAGTTACAAGCTACTGTTATAAGCTACTGAAATCATGGCATCTGATTGGCTGAGAGCAAACTTGATATCAATAACAAGTTACAAGCTACTGTTATAAGCTACTGAAATCATGGCATCTGATTGGCTGAGAGCAAGTTTGTCATAGAAATTTAGCAGTTGTTATAGATAACAAGTTTTATGAAACGGGCCCCTGGTCCATTATTTAGCCCTATAAAATGACTGTCTTACCTTTCCTGATATTAGATGAGTTGGACTGGTAGGATGAGATTTGACCAAGCTTCCCTCTTAAACCAGAATAATTTCCATCTGTGAAGAGTGACAATGCGGATTTCTTTCCGTGTCCGGGGCGAACTGTGTAATATAAACAGAGATTACATCATTATATCATTTGGTATATGTCTAACAGGCGCGAATCCAGGATTTCTTAGGGGGAGGCCCAATTTTGAAATCAATTTGAAATTTAGTGTGCTAAAATTTGGAAATCGTGCCGGCCGATATTATGTGTGTGTGTGTGAAGGTGGGGGGGGGGGGGGTGGGTAGTGAGCACTAATTTTTCTTTTTTGCCCCGAAAATTTGAAAATCGCGCCGGCCGATAGTGAGCGTTTTTCTTTTACCTAACACCCCACCCACACCCCCCTCCCCCCCCCCACGCCCACATTGTGCTGGCTTACTATGTTTTTTTCCGACAAAAATAGAGAGAAAGTGCATATTATTTTGTTATATTATACTTTTTGAAAGGTTACCCAAGTGACTCGCGGGCACCCCAATATACCTGTAGGAAAGAAACGCACTTTTTTGAAATCTTCACTTTTTCATGCAAAAGAGTATTTTTGTCTATGCACGCAAGTCAGTTTGAGCGGATGATACAACATTTTCATATAGGGCATCTTCTCTTTGTTTACCTATTTTTGGGGGCCAGGGTGGGGGCCGCCCCCCCCCCCCGTCCCCTCCCCTGGATCCGCCCCGCTCTGGGCATACATATTCGGCTACAAAGGGAGCAGTGGCGTAGCTACGGAGGGGGAAGCACGCCCACCCCCCCCCCCCCCCATTCGAATGGCAACAAAAAAGGTGAGATGAAGGAAAAGTAAAAAGATCGTGAGATACTTTGCTGGAAAATGCTCTTTAAAGTATTATCATGTGAATGCACCTCTTACAACAGATAATGTACAAAAATCACAACAACAACAAATGTCATGAGTCAAATATAACTGAGAGGCGATAATGTTTTATCGGGACATTTTAAACAAGTGACATCCATGTATGACCTCAACCACACCAGCAAGACTGACACCAAACCGACAACTAACTGAACAAAAAGTACATTTCCTTTCGATTGCCAAGAACACGACAGGTTGGAATCGCTCCGGAGTCGGGATTAAGGTATGGCTGGGGCCTTACCAACTCTTCGTGTAACCAGGTAATGACTGAAATTAATATTTCCGGTTTTCACCAGGATACGGTCAATAATATAAGGCTCACACTTTCTACGGTTATCGACTTCCAGGACAGTGCTGACCGGATATTTGCACTAGGGTGGGTTTATAGTCGGATCTTAATCGGACCACACCCTTGTTGCAATGGCGTAGCGTTTACCCAACCATTAAGGGACACTGGCATTATGAATGGGGAGGGGGAGGGAGTGGGTGGGGCACCAGATCTAGTAGGTACTAGAGATGAAATGTGACTATTTAATGCCACCGACCAGGGGTGTCCTATCATCATATCCTTTCTTTTGTAATGTCCCCTTTCTCACTCCCCATTCTCTCTCTCTCTCTCTCTCTCTCTCTCTCTCTCTCTCTCTCTCTCTCTCTCTCTCTCTCTCTCTCTCTCTCGTTCACCTTATTTTATGTTTGCGTCGTTTAACTGTGGGGGTGGTGTGCCCTTAATATTTACACCGATGCCAACTGCGCTATCAATTCTCTGCAAGGTTATCTAGTGTTCAATTACTAGCTTGGTTTAGGCTACATTTGCTTTTTTGTAATCATTGTATTGATTGGTACCGTACTATTTACATTAGGCTTCTGATCTAAGTACTATTTTTGTATATATATCCTGAATCTTGATATTAATAAACTGTCATAAGATAGAGATGTCGTGGTCTAGCGTATACGTCACCGGGCTGTCGGTCACAGGGGCGGATCCAGCCGGCGTCGAGGGGGGGGGTCCAATTTGTGAGAAAATATTGAGCGGCGCGTCAGCGCCGCGTTCCGCGCTTGCGCGGACAGGGGGAGTCTGAGGGGGGATGTGTCCCCCTGAAAAGCTGAAGAAAAGTCGTATTTGTAAACTCAATTTGTGCGATTTGGTGTTTACTTTTTGCCAGGATATCATTTAAAATTTGTGACTTTTCCCAGCATAAATTTATGATAGGAGGAAAAGACTGTAAACACAAGAAGTGGGACTATGTGTGCAGTCCGCCCGTTGTGAAAAAAAGTCTTTAGGACACTGGTATTCATGGCACCGGTACCTCTAGGCAGGCGCGTACGCAGGGGGGGGGGGTTGGGGGTTAAACCCCCCTTTAGTTTTTTTATGTGTATATTTTATAACAACCCCCCCCCCCCTTCGGCGATTTTTTTTTTTTTTTTTTTTTTTTTTGGCCCGATTTCAAAATGTTAAACCCCCCCCCCTTGAAAAAATCCTGCGTACGCCACTGCCTCTAGGTGTAAGTGTTTAATATTGATATATGTATAACTAAACACAGCAATGATGAAAAAAAAAATTACATCTTATAAAGAAGAAAAAAATCCTGATGGGGTTTTAAGCATAATCTAATCATGAAAGACTGAAAAGATCTTTAATATGAACCATAATCATATCAACTATAAATACGAGCGAGCGTAGCGAGCCACACTTGGGTGAAATTAAAGAAAAGTTCCTCTTAATCCCTTTAAATTAGGAGCACTTTTTATAGGGAAAGGAAAAGGGGGCACATATCCAAAGGGGAAAATGACACTTATTTGAAATGAAAAAGAGCACATGTCAAAGTAAAAAGGGGAATTACCAGAGGTGAAAATGGGGCACTCCTCGCACTTAATAAGGGGCACTCACCAGAGATGAAAATAGGCACTTATGACAACGGAAAAAGTGCAATTTTCAGAAGAAAAAATGGCACTAATCAGAGATAAAAGGGGCACTTATTACAGAGTTAAAGGGGGCACTTTTCAAATTTTAATAAGGGCATGCACTCATCGGAGCTGAAAAGGGGCACGTATAAGAAAGAACCAAATCTCACGCACAAATTGTGCAAAAGAGGTGAGTAATTACGTCCTGCAGGACACAACACAAATCCCAGGTTGGTTTCCGGAAGCTGGAGAAGAATCATTTTCGCATCGTATAGTGATTTTAATTTTTAATGATTTACGCATCTATCCAATCTGTCCATATAGTGTAACAGTAACAACCCATCTGTGACACTAATAAACGATCTGCATGAGACTAATCTTATTCGGCATAATTTACATATAATAAATATTATGGGCAGATTGAAAAAGAAAAATTTAGACTGACAGGTCGTCTTCTGTGCACCTGTTCAACTGAATGCAGTGTTTTTACCCAGATTTTGGTGATAAAAATGGGTAATTTTCTGAATAAATCAGGCTTTTACGACCACTTTTACGGAACTAATTTTATGAATCCGCGAACTGCCGAATTCGGAAGCTTTCCCGACATGCTTCACGATGCCTCCGTGTTTTTTAATTTTCGCATTTGCTATTTTTTCGTGCTTTTTTCCTTAATTACGTTTGCTAAGTCGCGCTTTTATGTAGATAAAATATGTAGTCTCGTATTTTGCAGGGAAAAAAAAGTTTTTTCCGGGGCCTTGCCCTTGGTTGGTTTCTTTCTATTTCTCTTTAAAATACTTTTTCAAATAAGAGGGGGGCTCGAGCCCCGCCATACCGCGGACCCTGTACACTGTGTAACAGCATGATGATTTGACAGATGGACCTGAAGTTAACCGAGTCCTGAAATACTTTTGAACGTTGTAACTTGTACGCCCTAGTGTAGAGAGATCATCGGCATTTTGTTTCTATCATAATATATAGGCCTAAAACACGAATTAGGGCTAGTTTTGACCTGAAAACAACCCAAAGCTCGGTGCATGTCCAGCTGAAACGCGGGAGCTTGGCCTATATACGGATAGGTGAGGGCCCTGGGTCCACTCCTAACTCGTGTTTTAATAGCCCTTCTTTCTTCCCTTTTCCTTTCCATTCCTTTCCTTTCCTTTCCTTTCCTTTCCTTTCCTTTTTTTTTCGGGACGGGGGGGGGGGGGGGCCGGGCCCGTCGGACCCCCCCCCCCCCCGTGGATCCGTGCCTGGTCGGTCACATGGTTCGCAGTTCGAGACTCGCTGCGACACTAATGTCTTATTGCAAGACATTGTTCTGAATTTGCGACTCTCCTTAAAATTCCTTGAAAGCTTTGGCGCCTTAATGGCAGGTCAAATACAGCCGGAGTAATAATATAATACATTGTACCAAGTGCAGTAGAGTATAATGGTACATTGTTTTGTAGCTGCACTATAAAAATGGACCTATTATAATAAACTACACTATAAAAATATCGGGCAAAAAGTTGCCCAAATTTTACCCAACATGAGGGCGATTATGTGTCCAACCAACTGTTGGGTAAATTAAAGATTTTGCAAGATTTACCCAGCGTTGGATAACAAGAAAATACCCCATTTTTAACCAACAAAAGTTTACCCAATCAGAAATTTACCCAATTCTCACCATAATGGACAATTAAGTCGGATGAAATATTAAATGCAAAAGGACATTAGTGCCGCGGCGGGCCGCGAATTTTTTTCCCCTACGAACTTTGAGCTCGCGAGGGGAACCTGCGCATGCGCACTTGCGAAGGAAACCAGCGCATGCGCACGTGGAATCCGGTAGGGTGGCTAATAGGGTGATAGTAATTATACAAATCATTCTTTTGTCAACTCATCGCTAGCTCAATCGGTAAAGACCGCGTGATACTGATAGAACGATGGAGTTGACGTGAGGGTTCAAATGAGGGTTCAAATGAGTGTAAAAATGACGCCTGGCTGGAATGCTCCCCAGGGAGTGGAGAATGTGCATACATTGTGTGCGGGTAAGCCTGAATCCAATGACCGGGGTAATAATATACTTATCTGTAAAGCGCTTTGTGAGGGCCTCCGGTCCTGAAAAGCGCTATATAAGAACGAGCTATTATTATTATTATTATCTCAGTTTATTTAGTTTTTTGCCTTTATAAATAGTGAGGCAAAGCAATAAATAATCAAAGTCCAATTGTTTGTGACCTCTTTGCATGCGTCAAGTATAACAGTTCGTATGTGCGCATGCGCCAGGTATAAAAGTTCGTAGGGAAAAAATTTCGTCGACGGGCCTTGTCATCTACAGTCGTGTAACATCCACTCGACCACGACACCTCTAATATAAGAATATAACATTATTGTTGTGTAATAATGTTGCCTGACTTACGTTTGCCCAGTTACATCTGCCTAACTTATATTGAACATGTGTAATTGGGTAAATACATGTGGTTGGGAGAAAATAACCCAAATGTTGTACGAAATTGGCCCAACTCTAATTTGCCCAATAACATTACCAATTATTTCATCGGTTACTACATGGTGGGTAGAAAATAGCCCAATTACCGGACAAAATTTGCCCAACTTCGATTTACCAGTAATGTCTGCCCAACTTTTTTAACAGTGTCATGAAATCGTGGCATTGAATTTGATGTAAGCAAAATTGTTATAGAATCAAGGCCTTTGACCTTGATTTTAAACAAATGAAACAGCTATCTGTTACGGAATCCCCTTTTTTCTATTTTAACACAACAGCCTAGCCATGTTCGTCAAATGATGTCATACATGTGCTCACGCGAAAAGACACCATGGCATAGCTGAAATTAACGTATAAACAGATCATTTCCATTAGATAAGATACCTAAAACGACTATTACTTGTAAAATTCGGTGCATTTCATTGTCTACTTTTTAAAAATGGCAAAATGATTTGTTATCTATTGTCAGCCCGGAAAACGGATTTTTTTTTTTCTTTTTTTCTGTTTCTTTTTCTGTTTCTTTTTCTTTTTGTTCTTTCTTTTTTGTAATAGTTTTGTTTACAAAACAAATATCTTTACGTTGTCATTATCATCGACTCTCAATTCACCAAACGTTGGCTTAGAGATATTATTTTCTGCCGTTATACGAGAATTTAAAAATTCCCTCATTTAGTTATTTGCGACACAATCTTGGATGAAATGGGATCGATAGTGCAGTGGACGAGCTCGCTGATTGCATTTGACACATGGCTGCTTCAGCCAGTATACCCAAGAACGCACACATATAGAAACGAAACATAGGAAAGAAACGGAATAGACTTCATTACGACTAAGAAACAGAAGCACTAAGAAAAAGAGTTAAGAAGTTGTGCCGAGAGGTTTGCAAAAAAAATTTCGATAGACAATTGAGAAATACGTATACAAAGATCGTACATGCATTACCATTTGTCATTTTCTTGACTATTAATGTCATTATAAGTAATGTATAAATACATACTAGTACAATTATGTATATATATATGTAAGATGTTTCCATGTATCTTTCAAACGATTTTTCTATATTTAGAATTATTCTGCCTATATATTGTTAAAACTAAATAAAACGAACCATATAAATGAAGTTTTTTAATACAAAAACAAACCAAATGCAAACGTTTACATTGATGAATGGTACTTGTGACGTTTATGCTACAGTTTTACAAGATGACGGAGTTCTGTGAATGGATAATAAGGCCAGATAAATTGATTCTGAGTTTCTCTTCCCCTCATTCCTTAACAAAACTATTGTTTGCAATAGTACCATTATAATCCTTATGTTATTTGATACTTTTGTTTTTAAATGAAATAAATAGGAATCTGACGTCATTGATATATTGCAATTTCATCTAAATAAAACACCTCGGTAACAGGATAAGAAAAATAAAAAAAGATATTATAATTTCATCTTGTTTCGATCCTGTGTAGTGCGTAAACAAACGACTGTGAATTAACAACATTTGTCTTTTTAATTGGACCCAAATGGCATTTGTATTGTACAGAAACATATAATATATCAGATAAAATGAAACTCCTTCTCCTCCTCCTCATTTACAACAGAAAGGAAGAGAAATAATGAATTAAACTGACATGCCCTAGCCCTAATCCTATGTAATCAGATAAAGACGTATTGCATTTCATAGAGATATGATATATATTATGGGAGAAGATAATCATGATTAAGACTATCATAATATCTTTTTGACATGTGAAGAGCTTTTACGCAAAAGGCGCTAAATCCATTCCAGCAACTTTCGAGTAAATGTCATTTAGATCACAAAAACAGTAATTATACAAATCCTGCATAGATTAATTATTTTTTGATAAAATTAAATATTTTGAAAAAAACTCACCCCAAAAAATCATTATTTTACTTAATATTGCGATGTTTTGTCATTCCAATACTATACAAATTGGTATCGAAATGTTAGTAATAATGATAGCAATTCATGATTATATTCACAAGGGGGTTGTGTTAAGTTGTGTAAAAAAAAATACTCAACTTACACTGTAAATTCGTAGTGTAAAGTTCTGTAAAAAAAAAATTACAAAACTTAACACAACCCCTGTGTAAAGGAGCGAACCACCCAATGTTGTGGAAAGCCGTTACACAACGAATTTGCAGTGTAGGTACCCATTTATCTCCTGGGTATGGAGTGGCATATTTAATTTAATAATAATAATAATAATCTTTAATGGTCCACTCCAAATTTTATTAAACCGAAACGGAAATTTATTTTGCCCAATTGATCGTGAGCCCGGCAGCCACTGAGCAGCGCTAGATCGACGTTGCTCTATCCCTTATTGTTGAACGCCAAACAAGGTAGCAACAACTCCCGTCTTTTAACGTCTTTTGGTATGACGCGGCCGGGGTTCGAACCCACGACCTCCCGGTTGTGAGGCGGACGCTCTACTGACTGAGCCAACACTCCTTACAAAATTTTATTAGCAATGTGTCGGTGACCGAACCCACAACCGCTTTTTGCATTTAAAGTCAAATGCTCTAACCACTCGACTACGACACCCCTACTGTATACATGATGAAGCTACATATCCCGTCCCGCTTAACACCTCTCTATAACTCGTTGTTTCTTATGGCGAACGGAAATAACTCACTTACATGAATAGACTGCTGTAAAGGAAAAACGGAAACTCGTTATCGAGTTAATCACATAGCTCTGATGAACAAAGCTTCTACAACTCTTGATTGTGACGTCACTGTTTAAGGAGTACACTCTATTGTTCATATTTTCCTCTGTGACGTAGGTAAGAGAAAATTGAATTTTGGTAAAGATGAAACAATTTCATGTCGGTTTGTAAATATATCATTGAAGAATAATTGTCCTCTGGTAAACATCTGACGAGAAATAGTAAAAAGGTTTGGAACAAATTCTCATCCCATGTTAATGTAGTCACATATGAGTATTTCTGTGTATTTGAGGGAGATTATTGAGTTTATGCCTTTTCAATGTTATTACGACGAGACATGTTTGACTTATTATCCCTCCGACTCATGTCACACAACACACGGTTACTCAAAGCAGCAAAATATTAGCGTAAACCAACTAAGATTTACCTGAGACTGTGGTGGTTTATTAAATCTCCCATTCCCGAGAATCCGGATTCAGATTCATTCAGAAATCCACATTCGTTTCTTCCTTTTTTGAAAGACTGGTGTGAATGTGATTATGTGAGGCACATTGCCAATTAGCATAATACATGTAGTAATACATTTGTTGTATGCATTTTATGTTCATTCTGCATATGGCTTGGGCTCTGAGAGTTACTCAAAAAATTCTAGTTTCAAGACCTTTTTTTTTTTTACAGACGCCTCAAATAGGTAAATGGATAAAAAGAAAATACTAAAACTCGATAGAGAAAGAACTACACCCCAAATAATATTAATGATACTTGATAATGATGATAGTAATGATGATTATAATAATAATAGTAATAATAATAATAATGATAATAATAATATTGATAATTATAACAAAGATAATAATAATAATAAAATAATAATAATAACAATAATAATGATGATATTGATACTACTACTATTAATAATAATATTAATGATAAAATTAAATAACAACATTTGTGACGATGATAATAATGAAAATGATAATAGTATTATATTATTCTTTCAAATAATGCTTTGATAATCCGCTATACCTGTAGGGTAGCTCGCATGGTGTATATACATTCTTGGATCAGTCAAGGTTGAGTACTGATAAAATATTTAAAAAACCGTACCCCTAATTCTCGGTATATGACCTGAGGGGTGTTTCACAAAGATCCTAAGTTGAACTTAACTCTAAGTTGGACTTAAATATTATGGAGAGCCATTTGTAGCCTTATAATGAATTATATTCAAAAGCAACAATTCAAGTATTTTAGACTTTTCATAAATTCCACATCAAGAACTTGAAATCTTTCATGATAATAGAAAATATGAATGATTTGAATCAACATTTTAATATGCCTTTTAAAATAACTTGTACAAAATATTTTCAAGGATGCTTATGGCTTTCCATAACTGTTAAGTCCTAGTTAGAGATAAGTTAAACTTAGGATCTTTGTGAAACACCCACCTGGGATGTTTCACAAAGACTAATATCGACTTTAAGTTGGACTTAACAATGTTAGGCTGCCCATGGCACTGTTTGCTCTCACCATTCCTGGCATTGGTCTCTCCAGGGACGTACAAATCATGGTCACAAATCTACAGAATTTTCCTCTTTTTTTTGATAATTCATCCTTGAAGGAAAAGGAAATCTAAAGATCATAATGGTGAGAGCAAAAAGTGGCATGAACGGCTTGCCATAGTTAAGTCCAACTTAAAGTCAATCTTAGTCTTTGTGAAACACTCCCCTGGTGTTCTGGATGTTCTATTTCTACAGTCTCCTGTCTGTCCGTTATTATAGTCAGTATTTTCCAAGCTAAGTAATGGCATAACCATTATGTGCGTATGTATATATTAGTATGTGTCTTTAATGTAATGTGTTATGTAATTCATTATGTGATAAGCAAGATGTAATGACCAATTTCATTAACCGAATATAATTAAGGCAGTACATTACGGTTAAGGCCTTTAAGTTGAGTTTCTCGCTCGTAATGTGTTGTTGTATTTTCAAACGCATATCGCGCCCTCTCTATCCATTGATAATCCAAATCATATACGACTTAACAGTGTATCAGAAAAAGAAAATAGAAATTATTTGTGATCAAATCTCTTACCTATGATGTTGGACGTCAAATCAACCATAAATATAACCGCGGCTAACGAAATGAAACTTATGGCGACAAGACCAAACAAAATCTTTGATTTAGTCCATTTAATCCGTTTCAGGCTCATGATGGCTGACATCTTCTTGTCAAGAATAGAAATTAATCCCCTTTTCCCAAATAAATACGGCTCCAAGATGCTCACGAGACAATTAAATACCACGTCTGATGCGCGTCGACTGAAAATCTCGAATTCAGGGTCTCCCTTTGCCGCATTTTTACGCGCGATTTATCGAAGCGAAAAGTTGAAAAATTAGTCGCTTCGTCGCCTGATCGGAAACTCTGCGTGGATATGTCTACGTAGCGTGAATGTATACATGTGTTACTGCGTGCACTTGGCTTAGTATAGAGTGATGGTGTATGGCAGCAGAGTACTTGAGTGAAGGGTGAAACAGGAAACGAACCAGGGGTGGTGAGCTTGAGAAACTTTACTCACCCCTTCCTCATAGACACCATGATTCATGCGTATAGTCAAAGCAGCGCAACACTCAGCAATCCCTTCCCGACCGACCGACCGACCGACCGTCAATCAAAACATTACGTCATGAAAGCTATTTCGAGCACTTTCTTTAAAACTGTTATTTTAGAGGTATAGACGAATAACTGTCCAAATGTTCAGATTTTTTACGTGTGTTTTATTCAACATACTTACTGTTTTGTTGCAATACTAGAGATACAATAAAGAGTACTACTTCCTCCACTACTCACTATTACTACTACTACTACTACTACTACTACTACTACTTCTACTACTACTACTACTACTACTACTACTACTACTACTTCTACTACTACTACTACTACTACTACTACTACTAATAATAATAATAATAATAATAATAATAATAATAATAATAATAATAATAATAATAATAATAATAATAATAATAATAATAATAATAATACAAATACTACTACTGTCTACTACTTTACTAGTAGTAGTAGCAGTAGTAGTAGCAGCAGTAGTAGTAGTAGCAGCAGTAGTAAAGTTGTAGTAGCAGTAGTACAATTGTAGTAGCAGTAGTAGTAGTAGTAGTAGTAGTAGTAGTAGCAGCAGCAATATCAACATCAGCAGCAGTAGTAGTAGTAGTAGTAGTAGTAGTAGTAGTAGTAGTAGTAGTAGTAGTACAAGTAGTACTACTACTTGTACTTAATAATAATAATAATAATATCAATTGTAGTAGTAGAACTTATAGCAACAGCAGAGCAGAGCAGAGCAGAGCAGAGCAGAGCAGTGACTGTAGTTAAAGTAGCAGTAGTAGTAATAGTAGTAGTAGTAGTAGTAGCTGTAGTCCATGATTAATGCAAAAGAATTAGATAGTGATTTTTTGACAGTTATATACCCTGTGGTGAAAATCTCATAGGATAACGATTTTTTTTTTTTTTTTTTTTGTTCAATTGCGGAAATCCAATTCATGTTTTTAAAGCATGATATTACATTTATTTTTTTTTTAATTCGATTTCTACTGACAGTCAATCGAATAACAACTTTTAAAGGCAGGACAAAAACATTACTTGTACTTATTCCCCGTTGGGGGCGTAAACAAGTTAATAATTGACAACATTATCAACCCCTATTTATTACACATAATACAGTTTACATCTCCCTTTTATCTGTCCATGAGAATTTGAACTTAGTAACAATGGGCTAAAGACAAGGCTACTTGAAATATTTACTATAGCAATCATGAGAATATGCTATCAATTATGTTCGAAGAAATGATATTCATAAGATTATAGAAATATTATCATTTTCATCACCAGCAACCCGTCAGCATCATCAACATCATGATCAGCACAATCATCATCCCCATCATCATCATATTCATCACCATCATCATCATTATAATTATCATCTACGTAATCGTAGTCATTATCGTCAACTTTATCATCATCACCATCCCTTCATCATCAACATTATCATCAGCATCATCGTCATCATTATCATCATATTCATCACCATTATCATCTACGTAATCGTTGTCACTATCGTCATCATTATCATCCTTATCGTTATTATCATCATCAATAGCAGTATCATCATCATCCTAATCATCGTCATCATCACCACCATCACACCTTCATCATTATCACCATGGTCAATATCATCATCATCACCACCATCACCTGACCGGTAAATCCAACTGTTTTTTTAGGTGTCACATGACTGGTTGAAGTGATGATGATGATGACGATAATGAAAACAATAATAACAATAATAATAAAAATAATGATAATAATAACCATCATTATCATCATCATCAACAACGTCGTCACTGGGAAGATAAAATTAAAATGCTCAATATATCTTTATCAAATAATTTATTTCATTTTATTTTCCGGTTATACCTTCCAAACTTAAATCACGTAGCATAGAGTTAACATGTGTACATGATTATGTACAAAGCAAACAATGATTTTTTTTTTTTTGATTTTTTTTTTTTTTTGAATGCCCTGTTAAAATTTAAACACTTCATGAGACTATAATATCATTTTCATCAGATAAATATAAGATGATTATAGTAGAGAGAGGTTTAAGATAGTTTTGAATGTTGTTTACACATGAGTGTGAGTGTGCAAGAGAACAGATACTACGTATGAAACAAAGAAACGCGGAGAATCAATGGGAAAAGAGTAGGAGCGACAATATAAATATGGAGAGAGGGCGAAATGGAAGATAAACATGAGAGTGTTCAAATGAAGAAAATCTAACCTAACCATGTATAACCAGTTTAACGAGATTACCTGTGTATGTATATATATATATATATATATATCGGTAATGAAATTAATTTTGTCTGAGAGTATAATTTCAATGCCTTTGAATAATATACTATTATGAAATATCTACCGATGAAAAACATTTCAGAGTTCATATTTGCACATGTTAATACATAAATAGTTGAAAGTCATACATATCTGAGATGACTGGACTTTGCGAATGGCAACAAATAAATGAATAAAAATGCAACTGATAGTATGGATATATTATGTTGCTAAGTAAGTCATATAACGCCAAATGAGGTACATGAGGTTACGTTAGATTAAGTATGGCCAGTAGTCATAAAAGCATATTAACATTAGGTCCAGGCTAAAAGTGTACCAATCATCCCAAAAGGTAAAATTGTTTACAGATAGAATGTATGAACTCGAGCGAAAATATTCACCCGGCGCCAGGGTTGGCACTTGGCGCTCCTTTAATCATTGGCCTTGGCTTAAACCTTTTAAACAATTTTATGTTAGTCTTCCTTTAAGAACAGGCCTCCTATTGTCATTAAAACAATTAACTGATAATGCAGTAAAGTGTCAGGGTAACTTCGGGAGTCCTGTCGACTGACTTTTGTGCTTCCTCCTCTGTTCTTTCAGTTCTCTTAGTAGCCTGCCCTCTACGTTCACAGGTGGAAGACTAATAGAGGTTTGATCTCTTGATTTACGCACTTTGCGTCCATGACCCTTATCCGTGCGGACCTCGGGAAGGGTGATCCCGACTTTGGACCGCGCGAGCTGGAGGCGTGCAATAACCTCTACTTGGTGAATACTATTCAGGGCTTCATCGTGAGGGCTAATACTTCTCCTGTTGGCAATATCTTCCTTAGTTTTCACTGCCAGATCGGACAAACGCTTCTTCATCACTCGGTCCCGACGATGCGCGGACTCGGTTCTTGAGACGTGAGCGTCCGTTCCTTTGTGCATGCCTTTGGTAACGATTGTCCGTGCTTTCTGCGTTTTGATCTTCTTCGGTTTGGCTTTTACGGGAGTTTCGGGTATTTTCGGCGTCGCGCATTCGTTCACTTCCGGTACAGTCGGCAAGCTCTGGTCAGTGTCCTTACGGAGTCGCTTCTTTCGTTTTACTGTGATAGGATCTTCGGCGCTCTGCGCTGGAGAGGTTTCCAGGAGAGAAATGGCGGACGAAATTGGAATTAGAGGTTTTGATGGCGGACGACTGACTGGGCGTAACTGTTCATCTTTGCTTCCATTTTGTTTCGAAACTTCACCTGTAGGCTGAGATAATTCTGGAACCGTCTTTGAATGACCTGGTTTGGAATCGTTTGGCAAGGCTTTAATTGGTCCGGACATTTGCTCAATGCTTTCACTCTCGGCTTCCGTTGTTTGTGTGGTATCTTTAATCCCTGAGATGGACGCTCTCTTGAATTGTTTATGGACCATTTTTACCAGATTCGCAAATTCATTCCCAGCTGGTTTTGCTTCTTCAGATGACCCTGTAGCATCACCATTATCAGTAGAATCTTGATTCGCCTTAGACAAAGCCTTCAGAGGCGCTAACCATTTGCTTTTATACTTGGTCTCCCCGCGTAACGCCTCCTTCGTTGCTTTCGCTTCCACTGCCTTCAATTCGGTCGTCAGATTCGACGCGAGGAGTTTCGAGTTTGGGCCCTGCAGCTGCTCGCACAGTTTCCCCAACTCAACCTGCTTCTTCCTCAGTCGTCTGTACTCCATCTTAAAGATCGGGGATTGATTCCCGCTGCGAAGGCGACTCTCGAATTCCGATTCTTTGCTGCTGCACTGACGCTTGCTACGTGCAATGTCCACTAGAGCGACGCGCATTTCATTCTTGATGCGGAAGAGTTCTTTGAGTTGCGCGTCGCTCAATTCATTGATGTCTCTGTGCTTCTGGAGCAGGCGGTCCTCCTCGTACTTATTCCTGAGGTTGAGTCGATCAAAGGAGCGGCTGCTGTTTTGACGTAAGGAACTCCATCTCTCCACAGCCGTCTGAAACTGTCGGGATTTCCGCGTGATGATTGGTGTTCTGACCATGACGTCACCCGGTGTCTGCTGTACCGTCGTCGTAGTCATGGTGATGAGGTTGCTAGGTGGTCCCGTTGGCCACACCCAAAATCAACGAAGGCGATTCTGCACAGATTAAAAAGAAGAGAGACAAGAGTATTATGATTATGTTTGATAAACATGTTTCATTGGGGCTGGAATGGGAGGGTGGTGGAGGGAGAGTATCAAAAGACAGTGGGGAGGGGAGTACATGTATGAACCCTCCTCCCAGTCAACTTTGAATGTCCACGACAATGCCGAAATAACTTTATCCGGAAATTAGTAAATCATTTGACTTTATCATGTTTGCTGTAAAGCCTGTACATTTACAGCCCTCGAGACCGATATTTGCCAGTCTTGTGGCCTGGGCCTTCCTACAAATTTTTATGAGACCGAGTCATGGGATGTCGGTCTACTGGTCCGTTTCTTTCCAACATTACACTCATGAACAAAAACAAAAGATTCGTGGACCTCTGAAGTATAATGTAACTGACAATCACTTTTCAAGTCTGTTTTGAAGTTTTTTTTTCATAGTTAATGGCGATCAGCATTTCCACAAAATATGCTATTATCTCTTTTTTCCAATACCATGAAAACGGTGTTGGATTCACTACTGTGGTAGACTTCTGTTTGATAACAACTTCGTCTTCTTTCTTTTTTTAAATCTGTCATTGTAAGAATCGCTGAATGAAGGTTTTTTGATAAATGACGTATTAGTAATAGGCTAGAAGGCCACAAAATTCTTCAAAAATAGGATTACATGGTCCATAAAACACATTCAATACATTCCATTAGATGAAATGGGACAAAGTAAACAAAATGCCAATGTACTCCGTACATATATTTTATATATGTTAATGTGTACAGATGTATGAGCTACGTACAATACTAAACACTGCAAAAGTGCTCGGTATAAACAAACAAGGAAAAAACTGCCCAACATGAATGTGTCTGAATTGATTTGGGACAATTTTATTATATGCCCCAGCTTGGATAATTTCTGCTTATTTTTTTTTTGGTAAGAAGTGATCGTAACTGAGCAAACACATTGTCCAAGTTGGGCATATAGAGGCGGATCTGGGGGGGGGGGTGTTTCGGCGGTTTAACCCCCCCCCCCCCCCCCCCCCCCGGCAAAAAGCTAGATCCGCCCCTGGCTATAGTTGCCCCCAAAGATGGTCAGACACAATTATTATGCCCATGTAGCACATTTCTACCCGATATGTTTTATAGCAGGTTATAGCACATGCTTTCATACAAGATACAAAGTTTAGCCTGATTTACCAAATGGGATGATCATCATCGTTGAAGGATGGCAAAGAAAAGAAGAGACTAACTTAGCTTAATAAACTTGAAGATCTTCTACGCCCGAAAGTATACCACAACTCCACAAGAGGACACTGGTATATTTCACAAACGGCATAAAAATCCAATGAAAGACAACTGGCTGTTGCTTCGAATGTCGCTTAGCCACACTGGATTTATACAGCGGTGTCATATAGCATTTTGCAAGCTTGTGGTACAGTTGAGTTGGAATCCAGTCGACTCCGTGCCTACATTGTGAAGATCACAAAATCATCTTCCCGTCTTCAAAGCCGCTAGCATCCACTTCGAAATTATCACGAAATCACCTTCCCTCTCACAAAGTCAAGAAGATAAATGACAGATATAGACAGCATAAGCCTCGCATTATCATTAGTTCTCTATTTATGAATTGGTAGTCAAAACTCCACATAGCACTCCTGTCATATAAAGTTTGACAGCGAACTGGCTCGAGCATAAAACGTTGACCCGAGAATACCTTTTATGATTACCGCTGCTATGGCAACATAGTCCGTGGGTGGTGTCGTATTCTGAGGGTCCCATTCAGGTTTCAGGACATGCATCGCTATCTATGCTACTTTGGCATCGCGAAGAGTTTTATGGAATTGTATAGAATTTTGCCGGATTAGTAGAGATATTGAATAAGTAATATTCTCGGGTTAAGTAAAGAAGAGTAAAGTGACAAAAGCGATGTATTGAAAAATGACAGTGACCTTGGATTAACTATGAATATAACCCAAATTACCACTCCACAGGAATCTGAATTGGACGACAAGATCGTAAGGCGAAGACATGATGCTCTACATTTCGAATGGCATTGAAAAAATTGTCAAAATGGATAATGGTTAAGCACTACTCAAAATGATGATAAAGAAACTTGTGATAGGTTGATTTACTGCGATTATTGAAATTACAAATAGAGATCAGTTGCGATCACGTGATTGAACTAAGAATAATATTAATCTCATATCAGCAGACGACAAGCGTGATCGAATTAATGGGTATCGATTGCAAGTCAATCAAATTAATGGATTCGCCAATATATGCTTATCGGATAGATCTATAGATAAATGAGAATTCAATTATCATGTGATGAGAAATGGTGTTATTATCACGTACCTGTCGAGATTCCAAGATATCTATGTGATTAACCGAGATTGTTATCTTTCATCGTATGAGGATATTGGATATCAAAAACAAACTTAATGATGGGCGACCCCACGCCGTGATTTCAAAATATTAAATCAATGTAGAAAAGTCAATATCCATGATTAAAAAGTGTGCAGTGTGAAAAAATTATGTCGTAATAATTGAGATGATAATAGCCATGAGTTAGATACAAAATTCAGCAAAAGCGTATACAAACCCACAATTTTGCCTATTAAATTGTGTAGCATACGCATTCTGCTGAAGCATCATTTCGACATATTTTCATTGTAGTTCTTCGAATGAAGAAGAGCATTAAGAAATGTGACACTGAAATACAGTGATATTCATGGGAGGGAGTGTCCTGTACACGTTAATCTAGAAAACATCTTCTCGTTCGGTTGTTATTGATTACATAATTATGATTTAATCATAAACAGACGGCTAGTTAGTACGTGTCAAAATCTTCGCTTAGTCTTTAAATATCTTTCAGAACAACGAAAACAGACCATGGGGTGTTTCACAAAGATCCTAAGTCAAACTTAACTCTAAGTTGGAATTAAAAATTAAAAAATTATGAAAAGCCGTTAGCATCATTGAAAATATTTTGTAAAAGTTATTTTAAAAGGCATAAAATGTTGATTCGAATCATTCACATTGTCTATTATCAAGGAGATTTCATGTTCCTGACGTGGAATTTATAAAAAGTCTAAAATTCTTGAATTTTTGCTTTTGAATATAAATGGCTCTCCATAATATTCAAGTCAAACTTAAAGTTAAGTTCGACTTGGGATCTTTGTGAAACACCCCCAGGGCGTAAAATAGTTCAAGTCATTGAGAGGGGCACGGGGGTGGCATCAATCACCCGAGACATGCTGATAGATAGAAATGTGAAACAAAAAAGTCACCCGATTATGGGATGGGTGGGGAAGGGGTCGTACATGTAACAATCACATTCCTATCTCAAACTCCCCCCCCCCCCCCCCATCTCTCCCCCCTCTCTCTCTCTCTCTCTCTCTCTCTCTCTCTCTCTCTCTCTCTCTAGTTCTCTACTTCTTTCTCTGACCCTCTCTCTACCCTCTAATTTTTTCTCTCCCCCTTTCTTGTCCCTTTTCAGTTATTAAATGGTGGCGGGCACGAGCCCCCGCAACCCCTTTTCTCAGCAGGTGTTTGAGATGGTTGAATAAGGAAATATGGAAAGAGGAAAAAAGAGCAGTGTAGAGGTGGGTCATTCACTCGACCTTTGTCTGATTCCGACAGGTTGTATGATTTTAAAAATCGAAGCCTCGAGGTGTGTACGTGGTATGTGCTGTCAAAAGGAGGGATGGGTAAGAATTCGACAAGGATACAAGATGGTACGAAAGTTTAACCCCTACGCATGCGTGAATTCATCGCATCTTTTACAAATTCCACAAACTTTATTTTTTTAAAGGCCCACTGCACTACTGATAGCTTCTTGCGCCCTCTATATAGCAAACAATGGCTAATCGGTGCCTGTTGGTCCCCCATGATCCTCTTTTTCTTATGTTAATTGAGAGCTGATTTGATGAGATAACCATCTATCAGTGACATTGCAGGGTGGTCTAATCCCCCTGGCGAAATTTGTACTCATTGCCTTTAATATTCATTCAACTGCAATGACATCGAAATTTTACAATGACGAGGGGATAAATCGAAGGTTGTACGAAGAAAGATAAATTTTCAAAAGGATGATCAATAAATCAAATCAAATCAAAATCAAATCAAGTGTTTCTTTGTGAGATATGAGTGATTAAATATCAGCAATAGTGATTGAAGCATTCTTCATGCGTATACAGGCCTAATTCGTTTCTGCTACTACAGCCAGTTGGAGGTTGGGGGCACGACCCCCTCAGAAACCCGATTGGCATACCTAAAATAAAAATGAAATTATGCCCCTTTTGTACATAACATCTTGGATACACCATAGAATAAAACTCTAAAACCTTGAGACTAAGCATGAACAAAGTTCAGTCACATTATATATGCATGTATATAATGGTAGAACATAATAAAAATCAAATATTTGTTAAACAGAGTCCGAAACACACGCGGCAATTACATGTGTATTTATAGAACAATGCCGAAATATATATGTGTATATGCGACAACTATTGTGGGCAAACATATACAATAGCGACTGGGCCTAATGAATTTAAAACGGTATTGTTTGTTTTCCTGTAAAAAGTAAGCCAAATGAAAATGCATTATAGGGAAAGAAATATAAAACTGAGCTAGATCGAAAGCAGCCACTAGCAAGGATTTGCATGCATCACCACAGAGGCGTATCCACTTTACTTATGAGTCGGCAAACGCCCCCGCCCCCTCCCACCACCCTTTTTTAAACCTCAATCACTATGAATATGACTGACAAAGAAAGCGGACAAAATATACAGTTCCTCAGGTAGACAAAGGATCATCCCTTCACTGCTATAATCTAAAAATGTGTAGAACAGGTGTCACATGCATATTCACCTTTTTACATAATAACAGTGAAGGGATGTTCCTTTGTCTACCTGAGGAACTGTATATTTTGTCCGCTTTCTTTGTCCGTAATGTTCATAGTGAATATATTATAAAAGGAAATAATTAAATTAATACTCCAGCACAAGCATTATCATACATGTATGCTTCTGTGCATGTCGCCTCGCCCCTTCCGCTAAGAGAAGATTCCTCAGATATTTATACATTTCAGGATACGCCTCTGAACAAATTAAGCAATAAAAAACATATTCAATAATGAGGTAATAATAAAAGACACTAGTATCCAATTCTTACCGCGAAAGCTCCGAACCACCATGTCAGCCATTCAAACTGTGTCTGTATGCAAGCTAAAGGAGAAAAGCTTTTTGATTTTTCAAAGATAGTAATCGATTTTTGACCATCAAATCATTCTACGAATCTTCCTCTTCAAAAGTCCTCACAAACTCGGCCAAGTAACCCGGATCGGTAACCCTTCCAATACAGCTTCCCCGCATATAGTAGTAGAATTCACCCAAACAATTCCCTTCAAGGTAAGTACCCGCAAACAAAGCATCATATCTCCTTTACCAGCTCAAGTGGTCAATTAAGTGTTTTTTAATTGGGCTAAATGATTACAAAATTCGCTCTGGTCTACTTTCCGGTGAACTTTAGACAGACAGAGTCTGTCCCGTATCTCTGGCGTAGCTCGCTCAAGACAAAATATGTCAACGAAGTGTGTCGCTTTAGCTACTACTTTGACACGTTCGAGAAGAAAGATGAGACAAGAAGTTGCGTAGGCCTGAGCCTAGAGATGTTCACCGGTGGCCGAATGACGAACCCGCTGGGACGATTCGACGTGGAGGGCGTGATGGAATGCTTATAAACATCACAAACGCGGTCATGGGTCATGACAAAATCATTTTCAATCCTGTCACTCATAATAATGTCTGGCAGACTCTCCCACCCCCCCCCCCCCCCCCCCTCTCTCTCTCTCCCTCTCTCTCTCTCTCTCTCTCTCTCTGTCTCCCTCTCTCTCTATCTATCTTTCTTTCTGTCTCCCTCTCTCTGTCTCTCCTCCCAACTATGTTGTTCTCATATTTCTGTAAATGTATGTCACAGACCGAGATCACATCACTCATCACACATGTCATTCACCTTTCGATCCTAATATCATGTATATGCCTTTTGAAAAACATCGCTGATGAATAAAACCTAAAATGTTTCAAGGAATCTTCAGGGACCATCCCAATCGTACCCCGGCCCAAATAAACAAGATAATAAATCTTGCTCAAGAGGACACAGAATTTCATATCTTTCATGGAAACTGATTCAACGAATTGTGTTCGGTTATGTTGTTGTTTGCGAGGTGTGTGCGTGTGTGTGGTGTGTATACACCGTGCAAATAATATCATTGCCCTACTATACGATACTCCTCCTTTCAAAGAAATATTTTGAACATGAAAATATTATGTCAAGGATGCAAAATCGGAAGACACTTCTTTGCTAAAGTTCAGTCACAAAGCATAAAACTGGAGACCCGTTTGACTTGTTAGTAACCAACTTGATAGAATCATATCTCACTGTTACCAAGGAAACAAAACGCACGGTCGTGGTCGCGTTGAGTCGGCCAAACGAGTCAGCTTCGTACTGTTCGTGACGTATGATACGAATGTACCCAGAATACACCATTTAGGACAAACATTGTCAGTCATTTCTTGTCTTTGTTCAGCTTAACTCGGGACGGAATGTCGAGAGCTCTTCACAATTCTAAATTGAATTGGTTGCTATATGCATGGGAGGAGAGAGCTAGAGCGAGTCAAAATGTTTGTCCTGTGTCTCACCGAATTTGTTTCCTTCATTTGTTTTCCTCTGCCATTTTCTAAGAAAAAATACGAGTTTTTCTGCTCTATGGTCATCATTTTCCTCGCCCTGTTTGACTCATTGTCTCATCTCCATATCATTCTTTTTTTTTTTTTTTTTTGGGGGGGGGGGGGTCACCGTATAATTTCATTTTCTTCCCCCTCCTCTCCTTTTTACCTATTAATAATAATAATAATAATAATATTGGATATTTATATAGCGCACATATCCACCACTGCCCTTTAATTGACTTTCTTAACATTTTCTTTTAAATCAATATTTTTATTTTTTCTTCCAATTTTTCCTTGCTTCCCTTTTCATTTCTAGTCAGCCATTCATCCCCTGACCCATTTCCTCTCAAATTTGCTTTGTTTATTTGCCTAGAAAGTTGGCAAAACTGAAGGAATCGTTCATAACTCCCTTATGATAGTACGCGTTAGAAATGGGAAGAAAAAATGGCCGCGTTGAGCAATCGTCTACGTCATAAATTCAAATAACATAATTATTAAAGAGTCTTCTACCTTCTTGATCGTCCAAAATGGAAACTGGTTACGTATAGTAAGTTTAATTAAGTATCTATTTGGGCCTATAGTCGTGCTAATCAAATGTTATTTGAACGCAAATATTTGATCACGATAACGGCCGGTGGTGGCCGATCGATTCTCCCACTAGCTTTCTTAATCAAGCGCCTGGACAATTATCTATTGAGTTTATTCTAATGAATTAGCTGATGTAATTAACACCATGAAAAGGTAAATGTTATACAATAGTGATTTAACAGGCAGCGTGTTTTTCCTCACTGATATTTAGCCAAACTCTTTCCATTTATCAAGAGAGGACGATGAGAAATTGTGCTATGAAATATCTTCAGTTCAGCATTTTGACGTATTATACGATCATTTACTATATCAAATACACATTTGTTCCATAACTATTCAGCCAATTTAACGAAACATAAGCATGCTTGTAATTAATCCAATATTAACTTACTTTTCAAATCAAGTAATTATAATCTCGATCAAATATAAAAAAAACAATAAAAAAAATCTTTTCACGTACATTTATTTGAAGAAAATAGTAATCAATTTCTACTTACTTTCAAAAAAAAAATTAAATTTCTTCCAAATAGAAGTAGGCCTAAGCCTATACGTTTCCTCGCTTGAAGGACGCTGAGATTGGTATTCCGGTACATGTAGTAGACTCTTATACTAGGGTCGCCTTTAGCTTGAGATGCAACAGGAGTAATTAAAGCTATGACTTTCCTCTTTAAATGGATTTTGTTACTCCACGCACTTTTATATCAAAGAATAAGCCCCACCCAGAACTACAACCAATTTTTGAATGTTCACATGTAATGATGACGTCAATGCTGACTACGCCCTCTACCAGTCACATTTCTTAGAACAGTCGTGTATTCCAACATGAAAATGATGTAGTGTCCTTGGTTGAATGACCATTATGGCGGAGAGGGGTAAACATGACTGGTATCCAAAGCTCCTTTAGTCTCCAACTTTCCCCCTATGGCGGCAAAACAAGACCATTGATGGTGGCACCAAACTAAACTTTAAACACCAAATTCTTCGAGTGGTTGCGAAATGTATCTTTCATTTATATTAAAGGTATTTGTCTTGTCACGCCGATTGTCCTCGGACGTGTCACTCTGAAAAGCAAACGATGTATAGCATTTATTCAAACAAAAGACACCATTACTGCTACTCTTTTTATGATTACATGCAACGATTGCTTGATGCCTTGGGCTAATTATTTATCTGCTCAAAAAGGGCAAAGTTGGTAATGATTATTGTTTCTCTGAAATGAGAATAAAAGATTGACGTCACAAATAAGTAGATCGGGACCATTTCCATAGTGTCATTAATAAGGAAAGCGTTACGAAAGGGAAAGTGTTTTACAAAACAAATAAATAAATGGGTATGTCAATATTTCTGATTGTTTCTTGACTTGCATAAGATGGTGTTATGGTGTATTAGCGATTAACAATAGTCATGGATGGCAACGTTTACAGTCGATCGGATGTGAAGTAATACGTCACAGATAGAGTATTGTTTTAATGGATGACGTTCATGGGATTAACAAATACCAAGAATCATCTTGTTGTTGGTGTGTTTGTTTTTTGTCTGTCACTGTCTTTGTTTTCGTTATTGATCTTTCCATGGTTATTTTTGTATTTGTTTATCTCTCTCTCTCTCTCTCTCTCTCTCTCTCTCTCTGTATTGAATTCGTTCTGCTATGATTCTTCTTCTCTTAACATGTTTTTCTCTTTTTCAATCTACGCTCACCTATATCGGTGGGTCCACGAGGGGGTAGCACAGGTGGCACTTACCCCCCCCCCCCCAAAAAAAAAGGGCCAAAATTTGCATGTGATTAATATACCCTTTTTCCTTCAGTAGTCACGAAATTTCCTTTACAGTGCTTTTACTTTATCTTTATGTTCTTTAGTTTAATCCTATTTCTGAATTCTTCGAGAATTCTGTTTACAGTCATTTTGATTTTAGTTCCTCTAAACTCTTTTTTCCCCTTCGATGTTCAAGATATCTTGTTTACAATACTTTAACATTTCTCCTCGTTGCAGATTTTAATATTTTCTTCGGTTTTCAAGGATTTATGCTTGCAGTAATCCACTGGTCTTATTGTTTATCGTCTTGTTCACAGTTTTCTATATTGTCCTATTTCTCTTATTCGTTCGTTTTCAGTTTACTTCAAATTTCTTTATTACTGGCCGACGTCATTCAACAGGCTCTGGGCCCCTCGGACATCTCAGAATTGGTCCTTGGTTTCCGCTTTCAATTCGACCCATATAATGCTCTCTCAAACTAACAGCGTGTGTTCCAATTTAACACGATCATGACGAGGCTTAACATAAATTAAGGCTTGCGGTGTGTGTTGTTAGCACAATCACTAACATTTACAGAGCTACAATAAGGGTTTTCAAATATCCTGAAGAGGGACATGGAATAAGCTAAAAGATAATTTCTATTATTGGACAACACCGGCCTCAAAAACCGATCCTTTAGCGTTACAAATCCCCTATATAGGGATTACAAATTACTCATTGAGTATCTCTTTGTTATTGGGATTATTTTATTCTTGCTTGTACCAAGCTCTCAAGAATAGCTACAAAAGCGAGCAATCAGAGATCTCTCTCTCTCTCTCTTCTTCTTCCTCTATCCACGCTCTCTCTCCCTCTCTCTCTCTCTCTCTCTCTCTCTGCTTGTTTCTTTATTTAATTCTTTCTGTCTCTTTCTCTCTTCTTCTTCCTCTATCGACGCTCTCTCTCCCTCTCTCTCTCTCTCTCTCTCTCTCTGTTTGTTTCTTTATTTAATTCTTTCTTTCTCTTCCACCCTCCTCCTTCCTCTATCTCTCCATCTATTCATCCCGCACCTAAGTCAGATTAAGAAGTGTCACGAATTCTGGTATTTGCTTACCTTACGGATAAGTCGTTCCGCTATGTCGAGGGGATATGTCTTAAAACCCAGGATTATACGGTAGCCCCAACTACAAGGTGCATGGTGTTGCAAAGGGGAATTACTGTAATACCCTAGTATTCAGTTTTCCGAATTATTATTTTATTTTTGTAAACAGTAAGTATTAAATGCAAGGCACAAACACGAATTATCACTAGCTTTGTTTACTTACATTCACATCAAAGTAAATAACTCTATTTTAAGTTGGGAGGCAGTTGTAAAAAAAAATATATAGAATTAAACCCGAATTCGGTTTGAAATTCTTTTTGAACAAACGCCGATAATTTAAAAATCCGACCAAAATCGTATATGTTATAATGTATTACATTGTTGGGTTTCAAAGTAAATAAGTTGGTTAAATACTGGTATGTAGGCTTAATTTGTTTAGATTTTGTTTTCATTCTTCCTTTTTTTTAAAGAAATGAACATCTAAAATAAACGTGGAATATTGTAACGGAATACATTTTATATTTGCAAACTGAAAATGTAATCCCGTATATCAGTATACAATTAGAGAAGGTCATCTCATAATGATTAACATAAATTGAACTCATACGTGTTTGGTTGGTGCTGTCAATAATACTTATACTGCAAGATGGAGAAAAAACTACAAATATTTTCAAACCACACATAGAAAATATTTCTCATATCACAGTTGTTACTATCATGGCTATGATAACAATAATGTATTTATATAGCGCATTTGAACATATTTTCCATATACATGTTCAAATGCGCTTTATAATTATGTTAATAACAGAAGAGATGAGTTTTTAGATACTTATTTATCAATGAATATAAGATATACTTACAATATTATTTGAGTATGAAGAGACACGTTCTCGGAAATGACCGAAGAGACGATTGGCAAATCTTTGTAAGATCCTTAAAAAATCAATCAATTCAAGATAAATCAAAGGTTCCAGGGTTTATTAGTCCCAACTGATGTCCAATCTGCGAAGATCATCTAATGCTGATGTTGATGGTATCGACCGATACAATGATCTCAGTCAATCTGATTAGAAACTCACTGCGAAGAAGAGACCCCCAGAACTGTAAAGCGATCATATCTCACACTATATCTGTCAGAATTATTGCCGCTGTATGACTATGAAATAATTTCAATATCGCTCTTGGTAACACCGTAAACAACCTGCCAGCTTGGCTGTCCAAAATTACCACTGAATTCGACCCCCTTTCCTCATTTCTAAACCTCCCCCTCGCTTCACCACCCCCGCGTCAATCTCTTTGCAACTCGTCCTTTTCAAATTGCTCACCGAGGCGCGTCGCGGTCGACTCATCTCCGATAGCGCGCAAAACAATCGATACCAGTTCCTTTGTCGTCTGGGCATGTTCGACTTGTAACACTGGCATCATTGGGGGTCTTTCTTTTCTTTAGTCTTCTTTCACAAGATTTTCATTAGCATTGGATTTGACGTCAAGGATGTAAAGCTGATCATTTGGTCAGGAGACATAAATATTTAAGACGCAGGTCGATAATGTGATGTTTACATGTTTTCGCTCGTAGGTCGTCTTGTAATTGTCGTGTCCTAATTAATACATTATTTTCTCAAGTCAAATTAAATATAAATATTAGAGCGAGAATATGAACAAATTAAAGTTCGCCATTAGTTACATAACCTCACAACTTTTAACAATGTTTGACTTCTTAGTAGTGAATTTAACTATTTTTGTTACATAAATAATTTGCCACTTTAAGTTCGATTTAAAAGAAAATTGTTTTGTTTTATAACATTTCTCTTGAATCATGCATTTGTCATTATGATGTAAAAAAAGATTATCGGCAACTTTCAAACCGTTGCTTGGTAAAAGAGGATAGTCTTTTACTGCTTTCACGAAATTCAAACTTTAAAAAAGCAATGATACTAATGTGGACTTCAGTAAAGTCTTCGACACAATTTTAAAAGATGAATGGCACATTTTACACTAAAATAAACAGATTCGTCATAATCGTGTCAGATATGATAATGATTTTTGATGATTACTGCCTCATTAAGTGAAGAAAACGTAAACTATCAACCCTCAATAGGAAATGGGCATCTTTGTCGAATTTGGAAACCACAAATAAAGGTAAACTATAGTTTCATATTTTTTGTTTAATAATATATCATGGTACGATTTTTCCAAGCCCTAAGAAAATTTGATTGTTTCAAAGTTTGGTAATGTATTGACAAACTGTTATATGTATAGTCCACAGTTTTGGATTCTATTCATTTACATTGATTTGTGTTTAAATGGGTCTGATTTGTATCAACAAAGTTACGAGAAAGAAAAGACAGAGGCATTCGGACCCCTGCCTGCCTACAGCACACTCCAACCCCTCCTGAGCTAGCGACTTGAAAAGTATCTGTCTTTTCACTTTGATGTCTCGGATAGCTGACAACTTTGCTGGATAAATAGTCGATTAACAATTAAGTTGATTTCGTTGAATCTTGTGGGTGATATTTGATTAATCAGTGTGAATCAATATTATGGCCTCTAAAGCAAGGACATCACTCCCAACAAATTCAGGCTGAAAACTTGTCAGATGATGATAGATCAATAATGAATCAAGTGTGGCTGTTTAATGTTGTTATTGTGGTCAACATGTGTTGTCTGTAATCAAGAACTACAGGCAAACGTCTGTAAAGGAAGCAGGGGTTTGGTTAGGATGCATCAATATTTTCCGGTAATTCAAAACGGGTCCCGTTGTTAATATTATAGATAATCTCGTTCTTGGTATAATGAGAGGTCAATCAATGTTGGGGTTAAAAGTTGAAAATCAAACCAAACTGGTAGAAATGTCATGAATTTGATGAAAATGAAATTCTCTCTGTTTGTCAAGAATTTAATTATGGCAGCCTCTGTTCGTATTCGTTCGCTTGTTTATTTGTTTGTCTGTGTGTTTGTTTCTTTAGGGGAAAACAGAACTGGTCCTAACGTTGGGAAGGTCCACGATTTCATCTCGTTCCTGGTATAGTGGAAGGTTAGCTAAGTGTGGGGTAAAAAGGTCGGAAGTCAAACCAGTATAAAATGATAACATTTCTTTTCTTGGTATATCTAGAGTGTCTTCATGCTAGCTTCTATTTCTCATCTGGTTTAATTAGCCTTATGGTATAATTTTGCATTTAGTTTTACCATGACAGAACATTTACGAACAAAATACAAGTTACGACAACTTGGTGTAGAAATTATTTGCAAAACAATAATTGTCTTATTTTAATCTTTCACAATGACCTTTGTTTACTGCAATCTACCACTTCCATTGAAACCAGGAATGAATCTTCAAATCATTGAGTGATTAAATACATAAAATAGTGAAATTACAGAACACCATGGAGGAAGAGAATATATACACAAAATGATTGCCGAGTTGAAGTACAAAGTACCATAACAATAAAATGAATAGTGTTTCTTGAATAAATAAAAGTAAAATATGTTTGCACTTAATAAATTATAATTTTACACTTGTTTCGTTTGTTAAATTCAACTTATCGCATTGGTGGCCGCTGCAACGATGCTCTAATCTCTCATAATATAAAATATACATAAAAGTCCGTGCCTGCTATGTTTATTTTTGTTTCTAGGGGGGTGCCTGATTTTTTTTTCAAACCTCTGTTTGAGGATGTGACAGGGATCATATCATCGTCTTAATCCTCTTCATCTCCTGCCTTTCTTCCTTTTTGTTTTTTCAACATTTTTTTCTGTGGGTCAATAGATAGACGAGGTGCCCCATAAAGCTTTGCCATTGGTTACAATTTCTTTGAGGGGAAAAGGGGGAGCAATAGCTCAGTACAATTCATAAAGCTCAAGTCGTTCTTTAATAACATAATGCTATGATAATAACCATGGTAAATGGAATAATGAACTATTCAAATTCATTCGAAGAGGGAACACTTAAAAAAAAAAACTTAATCGATCACAGACCATTTAATCAAAGTTCCTTTAATGTCACTATGAACACTTGACATGGTATTTGATCTTCACCTACTAATCCCAGTACTCTGCGTAGCCTCTGTCTTGATGAATGCAGTTCTGACAATGAGAAAGTATAGTTACCAGTCTGTTCATAATAACGGCCACACTACTTAACCAGGAAAGGGACTTATAAAGTCAAAGTTAATGCATTGTATTCTCGACATCTATCCCTGTTCTGGACGACATTTAGCTCCTTTAGTCACAAAAAGCCGCTACGGTCACTCGGTAGACTGATTATTACGTCACAAGTCATTACGTCATACTTCTTCATCACGATGACGTCATCCGGAAAGTGTCCGGTTGAACGATGTCGACGATGAATATTCCCGGTAAGTCCCGGATGGTTTATAGGTCGTGCTCCCGCTGTTTGATCGGTTGTACGTGTCCCGCAGACTGGTACTCCTGCTTCGGATGTTGTCCAGGTCCGAGCTCTTGGCGGCCGAGCGTCGCTTGGGACGAATTGAAGATGGGCAAAGCTGTTTCTTCCACGCTCTCCTGAGCTCTGGCCTATTAAAACAATGGCAAAGGTATAAAGATATTTGTATAAATAACATGAAATTATGAATGAACTAAATACATATATAAATACGATATCTGATTAAAATTAGTACCTATTCTTCCAACAGGAGTGTTTTCATCAAGACAAGCTCCTTGATTCTACAATTTCTTCAAAGCACATGTATGATATTATTGCAACGCTATTGATGTATAGCCAATCTACCAATCACATATCATGTGAATACGTCCAGAATAGTTAATACGTTTAGTTAAGAAAGACAGATATACTGAAGCATTTCGTCATGCATTCGTCAGAGAAGATGAATTAAAGTGGTAAGATGACTGAAAGAAAATGAATTCATTCTGAACTCAACTTTCCGAAAAAATCACTCACTAATGCAAGCTGGATGCCATGAATGAATTATACTTTTAAAAGTCTGTAGAGGGCAAGAGGGCAAGTTATCAAAATTATTTTACAGATGAAGTACATCTGAGTTTCCGTAGTCTAGTGGTTATCACGTGAGTTTTACACACTCAAGGTCCCCGGTTCGAGCCCGGGCGGAAACTTGTTTTGCTTTTACTAAATCACACTGAAGCAGTACTTTTTCACTTAACTTTCTCAAGAGTAACTATTTACTCTCCTACTTTTTGCCTCGTTATCATCATTTTCCTTCCGCGTCTCATCTAAAGTTACACACTTTTCACAACTTTCATAGAACGTCAATATTTCTCGTAATAATCCTTTTGTTTTATGTCAGATTGACGAGGTCTAGAAATAGGTTTCAGAATTCCGTTACAAGTCATTTGTTGAACAAGTCATGAATGAACTATCGAGTGTACACAATTCACAATTCATATTTTACATTATTAGTTTGTAAATTGTAAGACATTGTTGAGTACTGATTCTTTTTTTTTTAAAGTATCGATTGTAAAAGTAAATTCATTATTTTTTGTTTTATTACGTTCTGTAAACTGATTTGTACAAAATACTTTGTTTAGCTGTTTAAGGGGTTAGGCTCGACTAGCACATGTGCTATCATCTGGCCCCTTCTACCAACCAATAGTTTCTCTTATTGTACATGTATATGTAAATTATTATATGAATTGTATTGCTGTTGGTAAATAAATCAAATCAAAATCAAATAACGCTGTCTTTCGTAGTCTTGTTCTCAAGACCTAGTCAAAATCTGTTCTCACCTTTACTTTTCCCTCTCGGAACTAGAAAGCGAAAAATGAAGAAAAATAACTTGTTTCCTCCCTGCCGACCAAACAGCTTTCTCTTTATGATTATTGTAAAGTGTAAAGTTGCACTACTCAAAAGATTCACTTATTTAGTTGCCTTTTGCATCCCTAAATTTTGTTTGAGAAATCGCACCTGAAGTCATCTGAGTTTCCGTAGTGTAGTGGTTATCACGTGAGTCTAACACACTCAAGGTCCCCGGTTCGAGCCCGGGCGGAAACTTGTTTTTGTAATTCATATCTTTAATTTTGTTTCAAAATGTATACATCTTATGCATACATTTTAAAGGAAAGTGGCATCTGATGACGACAAAAAAGGGTTACTTGCTGCTTTCAGAACAAAGCAGTTACTAATGCAACCTGGATGCCACGAATGAATTATATTTGTAAAGGCATTGTTTAACAATGTTTTCAGTTTTTACGAATCTGAGATGCGTGGCCGTCCTTGTTTTGAAATTTTGAATTTCGATAATAAATATCTTGATAATCAGACAGGCGATCGGCTTGTCAAAGTCATGGGAATTCTGACTGACCTAGGGATTTATAATCATGATTGCAGCATAAGCTAAATCCAAGATTTTGTTGAGAATCTGAGACAAAAATACGGAATCCTTTAAAAGTCTGCAGAGGGCAAGTTATCAAAATTATTTTACAATTGAAGTGTATCTGAGTTTCCGTAGTGTAGTGGTTATCACGTGAGTTTTACACACTCAAGGTCCCCGGTTCGAGCCCGGGCGGAAACTGGTTTTGCTTTAACTAAATCACACTGAAGCAGTACTTTTTCATTTAACTTTCTCAAGAGTAACTATTTACTCTCCTACTTTTTGTCTCTTTATCATCATTTTCCTTCCGCGTCTCATCTAAAGTACACACTTTCCACAACTTTCATAGAACGTCAATATTTCCCTTAATTATCCTTTTGTTTTTAATGGTTATTTTTCGTAGTCAAGTTCTTAAGACCTAGACAAAATCTTTTCTCAACTTTACCTTGCCTCTCGGAACTAGAAAGCGAATAAAAAGAAAATAACTTGTTTCCTCCCTGCCGACCAAATAGCTTTTTCTTTAAGATTATTTTGCATTAAAGTGTAAAGTGGTATGCACTACTAAAAGGATCACTTATTTAGGTGCTGTTTGGCATCTCTAATTGTTTTGTTTAAGACTGAATCGCTTCCAAAGTCATAAGAGTTTCCGTAGTGTAGTGGTTATCACGTGAGTCTAACACACTCAAGGTCCCCGGTTCGAGCCCGGGCGGAAACTAGTTTTTGTAATTCATATCTTTAATTTTGTTCCAAAATGTATACATCTTATGCAAACATTTTAAAGGAAAGTTGCTCTTGACGAACAAAAAGGTTGATAGCTGCTTTCCGAACAAGCACTAACTAAATAAGGCAAGCTGTGTGCCACGAATGAATTATATTTTTAAAAGTCTGTAGAGGGCAAGAGGGCAAGTTATGAAAATTATTTTACAGATGAAGTACATCTGAGTTTCCGTAGTGTAGTGGTTATCACGTGAGTTTTACACACTCAAGGTCCCCGGTTCGAGCCCGGGCGGAAACTTGTTTTGCTTTTACTAAATCACATTGAATCAGTACCTCTTCACTTTTCACAACTTTCATAGAACGTCAATATTTCTCCTAGTAATCATTTTGTTTTATATCGTTGTTTTTCGTAGTCATGCTCTCAAGACCTAGTCAAAATCTGTTTTCAACTTTACTTTTGCCTCTCGAAACTAGCAAGCAAATGAAAAGAAAAATAACTTGTTTCCCCCCTGCCGACCAAATAGCTTTTTCTTTAAGATTATTGTGCATTAAAGTGTAAATAATTTGGCATCAGTGTCTTTAGTTAAGTGCCCATTTCTATAATTGATATACTTTTTTGAAATAATTAATTTTTTAATTTCCTTTTGTCATCTTCTTCTTTTACAAATCGATTTGAGACCATCAACGTAAGCTGCTTCTAACGAGTTTCCGTAGTGTAGCGGTTATCACGTGTACTTCATAACATTTTAAGCTGTTCCAAATTCATACATCTTATGGATACATTTTCAAGGAAAGTTGCTCTTGACGAACAAAAAGGTTGCTTCCTGCTTTCCGAGCAAAGCATTAACTAATGTGCACTTATTCAGTTGCTGTTTGGCTTCCTTAGGGCAAATTATCAAAATTATTATATTAATGAAGTACATCTGAGTTTCCGTAGTGTAGTGGTTATCACGTGAGTCTAACACACTCAAGGTCCCCGGTTCGAGCCCGGGCGGAAACTTGTTTTGCTTTAATTAAATCATACTGAAGCAGTACTTTTTCACTTAACTTTCTCAAGAGTAACTATTTACTCTCTTAACTTTGCTTTCTTTATCATCATTTTCCTTCCGCGTCTTATCTAAAAGCAGGCGCGTACCCCGGGGGGGGGGTTAACCCCCCACCTGGAATTTTTATGTGTGTAAACCCCCCTAAACCCCCCCCCCCCTTGGTTTTTTTTAAATAAGAAAAAAAAAAAAAAAAAAAAAAATTATCCCCATGGCTGACCAAAAAAGGTGACCTTACCCCCCCCCCCCCCCCAACGGAGCAAAATGTCAAATTTTCAAATTTCGAGACCAAAAAAAAAAGGGTCCTCTTACCCCCCCCCCCCCCCCCCCCCCCCCCCCCTTGAAAAAATCCTGCGTACGCGCCTGTCCAAAATACTCACTTTCCACAATTTTCATAGAACATCAATTTTTCCCTTAGTAATCCTTTTGTTTTTAATGGTTGTTTTTCGTAGTCAAGTTCTTAAGACCTAGACAAAATCTTTTCTCAACTTTACCTTTGCCTCTCGGAACTAGCAAGCGAATAAAAAGAAAAATAACTTGTTTCCCCCCTGCCGACCAAATAGCTTTTTCTTTAAGATTATTTTGCATTAAAGTGTAAAGTGGTATGCACTACTAAAAGATGCACTAATTCAGTTGCTGTTTGGCATCCCTAGTTTTTTGTTTAAGAAATCGCTCCTGAAGTCATCTGAGTTTCCGTAGTGTAGTGGTTATCACGTGAGTCTAACACACTCAAGGTCCCCGGTTCGAGCCCGGGCGGAAACTTATTTTTGTCATTCATATCTTTAATTTTGTTCCAAAATGTATACATCTTATGCAAACATTTTAAAGGATAGTTGCTCTTGACGAACAAAAAGGTTGATAGCTGCTTTCCGAACAATGCACTAACTAAATAAGGCAAGCTGGGTGCCACGAATGAATTATATTTTTAAAAGTCTGTAGAGGGCAAGAGGGCAAGTTATGAAAATTATTTTACAAATGAAGTACATCTGAGTTTCCGTAGTGTAGTGGTTATCACGTGAGTTTTACACACTCAAGGTCCCCGGTTCGAGCCCGGGCGGAAACTTGTTTTGCTTTTACTAAATCACACTGAAGCAGTACTTTTTCACTTAACTTTCTCAAGAGTAACTATTTACTTTCCTACTTTTTGTCTCTTTGTCATCATTTTCCTTCTGCGTCTCATCTAAAAGTACACACTTTCCACAACTTTAATAGAACGTCAATATTTCCCTTAATAATCCTTTTGTTTTATGTCAGATTGACAAGGTCTAGAAATAGGTTTCGGAATACAGGCATGACTTTGAATTTTGAGCTTTTTTGTTTTTCAACTGAAATATCAAACATTGAGACAAATATATTTCTTTTAACTCAAGCTCATCATATAATTATGTCTTATCTATCAAAAGGCTTACTATATCTTTTATCAATATTTGTATTTTCTATGCATGTCTGTACATTTTCCTTACTCCATTGCTCTTCTTTATTTACACTATTCTTAGTATTTCTCCCTGTTTCTTTCGTGTCCTTTTGTTATTTTCACTAATCCTCTGGGTATCTTTTCCTTTATTTTTGCGGAATAGAATATGTCAGGAAATGATCAAGATAGCATTAAAATTGATACACTTGGAAGTTCCAAATAAGAATATTAACTACACACTTTTGTCTCAGTATTAAAGGCTTTAAAGTGACTCGGTAACATTGTTGAAGGTTGATGAAAAACTGCTTAATTTGTGTATGAAATATTACTTATTAATATTCCTGTTACTGTTCTAACCCTCTAACATGCAACAAATCCTGAAAATTGCAAACTAAAAAGATATTTATGGTTTTCTTTGAAGGCGTCATTGTGCGACATCCTCTCACAGTAAATTCTCTCAACCATTTTTGATAACTTTCCAAACCATTTTCCATGAAAATGAGACATAATGACAGGCTTTTAATGATCTTTCAACACTTAGATGGCTTGAATGGTACAGATATAGCCAATTCATTGCTTTGTGACGATGTACATTTACCTGAAATGTAATTCAATTGCAATAATATACGGTTAGGAGAATTAAGGAATCGATCAGATCAGTTTTTCCCCAATCTTTATCATTAATAATAACAATAAAGTTCTATTTACCCAGGGGAGCCACTTCAGTTATGAAACTGCTCTTCCAGCGGGCCGTGCATGGTTAATAATGGTGTGTTTTTTCACTCAAACTTTCAGATTATCTTTAATTGTACATCTAGCATTGAAGTCACTACCTTGGTCCCATTTTGTCTCATCTGAACAATGTTAACAAGTCCCTTTAAATACATCTTGACTTCTTCATAATGGCCTTGGAACTCAAAATACGAATTTGCATATTATGATTTTCTTCCTAATGTTGATATGTTATATCGTAGACAATTCGCTACAAGATCAGTTGATAAGAAAAAAGACTTTCCGTCAAGATAAGATCATGATTTGATTTTCACAAAATGGCGCCTTGATGACTTCACGATAACCTGATGAACTTGAAAAATGTTGCGGACACGTCTTATGACAATGACCTGTGTTCGGACTGTGCCATAATTGACAGAAAATGACTGAACCGATCTAAGAGTTATCGTCTGCACCAAAAAGTGGAGAAATAAATTAAAAGAAATAAAGAAGAAAAAAAAAATTCTGCCAAAATCAATAGGTGATTGGTCGATGAACGGTAGACAACCTAATTAACTTGTTTCCGCCCTGACGACCAATGCTATGCCCTTCTAAACCAGAGAGGCTCCTCCCATCTCCCTGACTACTACTATAGAAACGTAGTCCAGAATCTGGCCGTCTTCATTTCCTACACACTTACTTCAAGCCGCCGAAGATGGCGTCATCATGGTCACCAGCCCAGCCGTAGAGCCTTTTTCGCCGGGCTTCCTAATTTATTATGCCTTCTTCGGCTGGCAGCAAGTAAGTATGGGGGCCGCATATTGCGTTAGTGTGGTGAAGATCAAAATGAAATACACCAGATTCTGGTACGAAACGGTGCACTTATACAGTAATTGTTGTTTAGCATCGTATATTTATATACATTTAAAGATCCGAAATGAGGCATGTGGGTTTCCGTAGTGTAGTGGTTATCACGTGAGTCTAACACACTCAAGGTCCCCGGTTCGAGCCCGGGCGGAAACTATTTTTTTGTATTTCATAACTTTTCATTTTGTTCCAAATTTGTACATCTTATGCATACTTTTTAAAGGAAAGTTGCTCCTGACGATCTAAAAGCTTGCTTTACCGACATCGCAATATCGGATGCAAGGTTAATACCACTTAATGATGAGTTTTATTATGATTTTTTTTTCTAGAGGGCTAGAGGGCTATACTGTACAGTTTGTACAGGGGGTTGATGCTTAATAGATTTTGTATTCGTGTTGAAGCAACTATACCTCGGCTATTAGGACATAATCATTTCCTATAAAAAAAAAATCACGATGTATAAACGCTAAAAGACCGAAATAGTCTCACAATCAAAGTTTTCATTGATTTTCCTCCCCTATACATCAATTTCAATTCCCTTTAAATTTGAATAACAATTATTTGGCCTAATTCCATTTTCCGGTATAGGCCTATCTAACTTGTGCAATACGTCTCATTCATTCACGACAATCAGATGCACAGTTTACAATCTGTTTTATAGGTTCATCTACTTGCTATTCATGACTTTAATTTTCAATGTTTACTATTGTTTACATTTGTCATTGTAAACTTCTTTGTTATGTATATTTCTGATGTGATATGATGTGATGTGAAGCAATATTTCTGATGTGTTATTGTTCAAATATTTGGAAAAAGAATTTCTGTTATATGACAAATGAATCAATAAATTCAATTCAAATTCAAATTCAATTCAAATTTGGTTTATATATGGTTTCCATTGTCTATTGTAAACATGATTTCATTAGTCTTCGGACTACAAACATGTACCATATTTAATTTTGGTAATGTTAACAATACCTCAAATGAATGGAAACATTGAAATTGAAATTGAAATCCAACTACATTGTACCACATACATCTATGAATCTTGATGTACGACCCCCCCCCCCTCTTTCTTTTTCTTTTTTTCTCTCTCTCTCTCTCTCTCTCTCTCTCTTTCTACTTTTACCAATATTTGTTCCTCCTTATTCGTATTATTGTGTATCCATTGAGGGTAGATATGCTATCAAGCTTTGCTTACTTTGTCAACCCTCCTGTTTGATGTTTTCGATTACTTACAGCCAGCATTACTTTATTCGACATTATATTCTTTTGAAATGTGTAAAATTTGCAATGTTTTGTTTGTTATATATTTGTAAAAATGCTAAAGAAAACGAGAATCAAATCAAATCAATTACAAAATGTATTTCACTGACCTAAAAACGCAGAAAAGCAGAAAGATGCATAAGCCCTGGAGTGAATTACAGATACAGAACAGCCATGTGAATACGGCTGACATTCGCCCGATGGCGAAGAAACCAAAGAGCCAGGTAAGCCCGGTCAGTAGCCCGATGGCTAGGGCTTGCTGGAGCCTTGTTGCTAGGTCGTGTAGCTTACCCTTCTCGATCTTCGTGACACGGATTTTCATCCTATAAAGTGAGGGATAAGAGCGGAATATGTTCGAAATTTGTTTCGGTTTATGAGCAGGAATGTGCATAAATTGATGCATGTAGATAAAAGAACATGTTGACAAAATTTTACAAAATATCGAAATAAAAAGTGACAATGAAAGGGAAAACATTTAGGCCAAAGCCTCTACTACATAAAGGAGGGTCCTAACATTTGATTTGCCCATAAGAATAATACGCATTTTCCGATAATAGAATCACCAGTCCCCATCAAAGTGATTTTGTCTTCTTTGACGAGGAATTAAATGAAAATTGTGGCGTAAACTTAATCATTTGTAGCTTATGTGTAAGTTGACATATGAATATAGAAAGTGAAAATGAAATTGAAATTTGAAATATGAAATTTGAAATTAGAAATGTTAAATTGAAATTTGAATTTTGAAATTAGAGATGTTAAATTTAAATTTGAATTTTGGAATTAAAAATGTTAAATTGAAATTTGAATTTTGAAATTAGAAATGTTAAATTAAAATTTGAAATTTGGAATATAAAAATCAAAATTTTGAAATGTATTTACCTTGAGCACGTGAGTGTCTTCATAACGAGTATGTAGCAGACGACATTGAGTAGGAGTACGGCAGCCAGCGGAAATAGGAGAGCATAGATGAAATGAGGACCACGTGATAAGAAGCAACTGACAACAACAACAACAACAAACAGAGGTAGCACGTTAATGCAAGCAATCACAGTGGTGGATATAAGGGGCAAGGGAAGAAATGTGCCCTCCTCCCTCCCCGCTAAACCAAATTTGTTAGACTATAAGTATATATTAAGTACACAAAAATGTGCCCCCCTAAAACTGTGCCCCCAAAGAATTTTAGACCCCCCCCCCCCCCTCTCCCCGCCCCCACCAAACCCCTAAGGCACCTGTCAAATAATATGCCTTCCCTTCTGCTCTTTTGTCATAGAATTTTGAATCAGAGATTTGTTTGCTCTCCTGGGCGTGTTTCACAAAACTTGTCATCAGTGATAAATAACAATTTTTGTTATAAGCTACTGAAATCCTTGCTTCTGATTGGTTATCAACAGATTTGTCACTGACATTTGTCATTTGTTATTGAAAAAAGGCTTTGTGAAACGGTCTCCTGGTCCCGTCACTTCATGTCACCGGGAATATGCTTTATGAAAACATATATTGTTCATGTTGTTCGCAAATGACTGAGTGGTGTTGCAAAATGAGAATTTTTTATTTAGAAAAAAGGGGAAAAGGAATAAATAATCATTACTTACAAGCTTTCTTCTCGGTACTTATCAGGCCCGATTTGGAACAAGCCCGTTAGAACAAAACCAATCGGGAGACCTAAAAAGAAGATAAAGAAAGAGTCAGAAAGTCGAAACTAACTTTGACCGTAGACATCACAATTATGTTTTATGAATATACTTACATGAGTATGCAACTTTATCTGATACTACATAATATCGTATTTGTGTAGATTATGTTGCGATGTAACATAAATTATACACGTATGTTATAAGTTACTTAATATGATAAAAGTGTGAATACGTAATGCCGGTGCTCCTGGTAAATTGTGATAAATTTCAAATAGCGCCTAGGGCCGTACAATGGTAGCTGCGACTATGAAAATCTCAGAATATGTAGTTGTGATATATAATTTCCAAACGGGAATAGCTAAGTGGTCGATTTTGGTCAAGAAAGATCGTTTTATAGTTTAATTAATATCGTGACCTTGAGAGGGAGCTATACAACATAAAGAGTTTATTATTTACAATTTCATATTTTTAGACTTGATTTCGACCGCGACAATGATCACTGTATATTGTAGGATCGCATATGCTTCCAATATGTTCATTTGAGCCAAATTTATGACCCCATACCAAAACTTTGTTATAACCTTTAAAGTAGGAGAAGGAGAGGAAGAAAATAGAAGAAGAAGACGATAAAGAAGAATAAGGGGAAGACAGAGAAGAAGAAGAAGGCGTATAAAAAGACGAAGAAGAAGAAGAAGAAGAAGAAGAAGAAGAGAAGAAGAAGAAGAAGAAGAAGTAGGAGAAGAAATAGAAAAAAAGAAGAAGAAGGAGAAGAAGAAGAAGAAGAAGAAGAAGAAGAAGAAGAAGTAGGAGAAGAAATAGAAAAAAGAAGAAGAAGGAGAAGAAGTGGTTTTAGATATATTACCCCAAGCGACGAGACAAGCGATGGGCATAAACCGCCTTGTTCGGGGAACATCCATAACGCGAACCAGCAAGATATACAGGTTGACGCCCTCTATGCCCATCCACAGAACAGACGAGAGCGTGAAATAATGAAGAAGGGCGGCCACAGCCGTGCAGGCAGTCGGTGATTGTGTCTGGTCGATTCCTATGACGAACACGATGTAGAGAAGGAGAAGGGACACACACCATTGGATCATGATAAGGCGAGGAGTCTGGCCCATCTGTTTACTGGTCGAGGGAAAAGGAGAATGAAGAAGAAAAAAAAAGATGAAATTAATCAGCAATTTAAAACGCAAATCATCAAGGTGAAAGCAAAGATTTTATCATCGATTGGACTGCACCTTGACATAACAATATGGACTTTTAGGTTCTGCACGACGAGAACGCGGACTGCCATTTAAAGGCAATGTGACGTCCTTTTAAGGCACTGGCAGTGACGTCACATTGCCTTAAAAGGGCAGTCCTTATTCTCGTCGTGCAGAATCTAAAAGTCCCTAATGTAAATCAATTCTTACCCGAACATGATGTAAGTAATGATGGTTAGGATCAGACCCAGGGTTGATACGACACAACCAAACTGACTGATGACGTCAAGAGCATATGGGTAACAACCGTAACTAGGGGCCTGGAATGAGATCAAGATCAAGAAAAGATTATTTTCTTTATGTGAGTGGAAAACAAAATTAATCAAGGTTACATGAAATTATAGCAATTTCACTATGCCCCCCTCCTCCCCCTTCTTAAAATCCATTCTCCTCCTCATTACAGTTCCCTTCTTCACCTTGACATTTTTTCTGTTATTGTTATTATTTCTATTTCTTTATTTTCATTCATTCATTCATTCATAGTTCATTTTTCTTCTTCTTCCTCCTTTTCTTCTTCTTCTTCTTCTTCTTCTTCTTCTTCTTCTTCTTCTTCTTCTTCTTCTTCTTCTTCTTCTTCTTTTACTTCCTCCTCATATTCTACATATTCTGAAAAAAATGAACATAAACGTATAACGAGGTTTCTGTAGTGTAGCGGTTATCACGTGAGTCTCACACACTCAAGGTCCCCGGTTCGAACCCGGGCGGAAACATTTTTGTTTTCTCCGTCAGTGAATTGAAGCTTTGTTTTACCCAAGAACCTTGTCAGTTGTTTCATTTTGCTGTGTGCATTTTTTATCAATCTTTCGTCGTTTTCCATTCTTCTTCTTTTCTCCTTCTTCATTTTCAATTTCTCCCTTATCTTTTTATGCTTTTAATCCTATTTAGATCTTCAAATGTATTTTACAGATTAGACTATTTCATAAAATAACTAAGTTTCCGTAGTGTAGCGGTTATCACGTGAGTCTAACACACTCAAGGTCCCCGGTTCGAGCCCGGGCGGAAACTAGTTCCATTTTTTGCCTACATTTGAAACACCTCAACTGCACGAGGTTTAACATTTTGTTTTATACGGTAAATGCCTCGTCCTCTCCCTTCCCCTTCTTTCGTCCCCTCTTTTCCTCTTCTTCCAGATATCTATCTACTTCTTATTTCTTTTTCCTATGTGTTCTTTAATCTGCATCTTTTCCCCTTCCTTCTTCTTCTTTCTTTTTCTTTTTTCCCCTTATATATATATATATATTTTCACACGAAAGAAAACAAATCCCGGAGCAATTTTCATCGGGGCAAATGTTGGATTACCTTATGGCTCGTTCAGATTCAATGCCGTAAACCGCCGCGAAAAAGCAGTGTAAATGAATGACAACTGCGCGCAACAAGGGTCGTACGTGCGCGTATTCACTGAGCTCTGTGTTATAAGATACAGAAATCCAACGCGTATTGCACTTAACGTCATCATAAACAAATTCCACCGCGGTAAAAACAGCGTCAGATCTCAACGTCCGCGAGGCTACCTACCATGAGCACTGCGAAGTTGGTGAGATGATCACAGCTACAGACTGCCTGGACGTCGGTCTCGTCCACCAGATCGCAGCCGAGAGTTGACCAGTCACCTTCTCCATCGTTCACGTCAAAGTCCCAGTATGTACACGTCGGGGTGTACGACGGGTTAGTCTGGAAACGAATTAAAAGAACATAATACTAATCACAACACAATTATAATTATTTTTTTGTAAAATGAAAATAAGCAACTATTTTACAGTTTAAAGAATGAACACACAAAGGTAATTCACTTTGTGATATAAGTACAATTCAGGTGTTTTTCTTTGTAATCAAAATGATGATGTGTTTCTTATGTATGTATTATTTAATTAATAAATGATGGAAAAAAGAAAAGAATACTCATTGGTTGAAAACTCTGTCGGACTGTGTTCATGGCTACACTATGGTTCAAATGAACACGAAAATCAATGAAGACATGATTTTTACGTAAATTTGGTATAATTGACCTGATTCAAGAATTATTAGTCTGCTACAAATTTGGGGGTTCGAAGTTAAAGATAAAGTTGAGTTCTGGTCATGCGATTACATTGTGAAAGAAACTGTGTGGAATCGATCAGAAAAGGTTGATCATCTATAGCATAAACGTTTTGGTGTGTACTGCAAGGTTCTGGAATCATCAAAATTATGACAAATTTGGCTCAGTCTTTGTAAAGTTACAAGCACTGTATACAGACAGATGTATATGGGACTACACGAAAATGTGGCATAAAAATCCGTCCCGATTTGTATGATGTTACATGCCATATTTAAAACATATTAAGGCATTTGAAGAGCCATACTTTTCAGGGAATATTGTGTATCTGATGTTCTTCCATACTTGCATCATCCAATGATAACGCTCACACACTATTTTTCACCTCTTCCCAGAACTCAACCTTCTCTTTAAAAATGATATTTAAAAAAATAATATTATCCTCTTCTGATGTATATGATCTGCCCCGGATCAATACACAAAAACCTTTAGGAGTTAACTTTGCAGAAAGCTAAGCAGGCTAGGGGTACAAGCTAATCTCAGATCAGCTAGTACAAGCATGATTAGTCTAAATGATCGTAATATTTCAAAAGAATATTACATTTTATACATAGCACAAAAACTTTCGAAAAATATAACCAAGACTATATAAATATTTGTTTGCGTCAACTACGTGCAAACGATCAAATGTTACATAAAATGAGCACAATATTTGTCTTTGTATTCTGTTGTGTTTTTCTCAAGAGAGCTTAGGGACATGTTTTATTACTATGTGTTATGCGCTATACAAGAACGGCTAATTATTATTATTATTAATATTTCTAAAGGAAGTGCAATATGGTATTGAAAATGCGCTTCTGAAGTAGATTTCTCGAAAGCCTTTGTGATCGTGTTTCAATATGTTGACACGGATGTCACCTCTGAGAGCAAGGATTTATCTGCGGTGATTGCAAGTCCTTCAATCAATATAAACTTACAATAACTATAAGCTCTTCAATACAGAGTTGCAATGGATATCAAATAGTGACAGATTTGAATCAATCGAAACTGTCTATTAGACGAAGCCATTTTGCGTTTTTATTTTCTATTCATTGTTTTCTTGGCGGAGTACGATAGGGCATATTGTCTATGTCATTAAAACAAATCTTGTTTCAGTTGCGGGAGTGGTTTGGATGAACATTTCTACACTTTTTTCTCTCTTCATGCCTCTATACACAATGCGTATAAACAGCATTTCACTTCCGGGTTAATAATCATAAAACTGTCGTTAAAAAAAAACAACCAAAACAAAACAAAACACACAAGCATATTCAATGACCACTCAACTGATCAAATGGTAGTTAAGTAAAGGTGATTTTTACTTCTAGTTTCAATGACGTCTATAACTCTATATTTCTCATTCAAATCGTGAAATGTAGTTTAGATCAACATTGACTGACCCTGATTCAACGTTGATAATTATGTTAACTGAAAGAGGACAAGGAAATGAATGATCTTGTACTCTAAAGTCGAGTTGAAAAGCTTTCTCGGTTGTTGAGAGTGTAAATATTATTCGCAACAATATCGGTTTTAGTAAGATAGTCGGAAAGAGACTCGTGTTATATTTCCCTGGAATAATTTTACATTGCAACAGGATTATAGTGTATATATAATCCGACAATTGCTCTAGCAGATATTCGTCAAAGACATTTGGTTATATCTTGTGTTGCGATAGGGAATTATGTCATGTTTATGGTTAGATTAAACATTCATAATAATTGGCCAGGGCACAAGTTAATTCTGATGAACTGACTGCACAACAATAATTGTCGCCGAAGAATAAATAAGTCGTACAATCCTACTACCCCTCCGTTTATTATCCCGAACTTCTCTTTCGCTCCACCCCCTATACTCCCTCAAAAGCATCCGACCAGCCATCACTAACCTTCTGTATCTTAAATGTCATATTGATCGGTGCCGCCAGTCTCTTCATCTCCTCATCGTTCCGCCGCATGGTAACCGAGAGAACCTTGCTCCGTATACTACACCCCTTGCTGCCCCGGTCGCTGGATGAGGGGTTGCCAGGGTAACCACCCGTGGACGTTGATGCGGCGCTCTTGAAGAGCGTATCGTTACGGTAGACGATCAGGTCGATTCGCAAGTTGCTTGTCGAATCGATAGCTAACGTAGGAGAAAACATCATAGTTTCAGTTTATTAGATTTGTAAAATATATAAACAAACTCACAGTTTGGAGGACCTAAAATCAGCATTCTTTCCAGACTATAGTTTGAATACAGCCATGAGGGATAGGCTCTTCGGAGAAAAATTGAGATTAACAATATTAAAAGACGTCCTAAATTATCATGATTACGACACAGTTGATCGACTGATTCGCCAGTTTGATATTCCAGAACGTGCAGCGATGCCAACTTTTTAAAACATTAACTTTCTTAACCAACTTAGTTGAACTTTGAAGAATCCGTTCTACGATTCGTTGTTGTTTCTAAATTCATGTTCACCCAAAGCAAGATTAGATTGCCCTGGTCCATGCGATACATATGAAGATCGAAAAGACTTACGAAAAATCAACATAACGCAATCTCAGTAGCCAAGTCCACCATTATTAAAATGTGGTATCATTGTAATAACGTGGTTTATGTGAGATATACAAAAGGGAGTTGAGATTGCACTAGAGATGGTGTCTCTCAAATCTTTGCGATCGTTTTAGAAAATACCTGAATTAAGTAGCTTCCCTGTCTCGATCTCCACGACGACATCCGCATCGTTTACCCCTTCACCCGTCTTCCTGACCTTCTCGAAGACTACCTTCCCCACATTAGCGCTCTCGTTCTCGACATCGAACTCCTCTTTGACGTAAATCTGCAGGACATCGTCGACAAAGAACAGATCTTCGTTGCGGTCATCGGCGACGAGATTGAAGGCCGCCATGGCGAGATTGACGCCCGATTTGGAGAAGTTTGACGTCGTGTTTTTAGGGAGTTTGACATTCGTGAGTAGGCGTTCGACGCTTTGGACGATTTGCGTTGAGGAGGATGCGCTGTAAATGTCGGGATTATTTTGCGAAGTCGATGACGATGATGTTTCGATGCTGATGATACGGTCGACGACCTCTACGAAATTGCTAGCGACCTGGAGATTGAGTTATAAAAGAGGTTGAGAAGATATATATATATCATGGATCAATTATATCCCAAAGAACATTCATGACGCAAGAGAATCATTCGAAATTATGATCACCCTGTAACCATAACAAATCAATGAATAGTGTATAAAGATTCGTATCATACTGTCTTGATAATGAACTCCATATTTAATCATGATTATGATTCTTTTCTTCAATGGGAATGAAAAGAGTGAGAAAGTTTAATTAAAAAATATTTGCTCTTTTTTACTAGGACTCTACCTTCTATTCTCTTTATCTCAGCCTGTACGTGCTTCAAAAGTCAGTTTCAAAATATAATAAAACGGCTCAAACTCTCTAAGAGTTTATATGCTAATTATATATATATCTTATCGTTGAATTAGTTGTGAAGTTCCGGATGAAAGTTGCACTATCAAAACATTATAAGTGCAGCGGCGCTTGGTAGGTTTTGATAAATAACAAAACCTAAACGTTCAGTCAAAGCTTTGTTAAACAGAAGAGGGAAAGAGAGACTGGGAGAGAGAGAGAGATAGAGCAAAAAAAGGGGGAAGAGAGAGAGGGGGCGGTATAGAGAATATCATTTGTTGATATGAATCTAAACACAGCGTGCATTAATAATGGAATTTAAATATTTGTATCATAAAATCTATAACCAAAAACCAACAAAATGACATTCTATACCGAGAGGCTAATCTATTTTATAAATTAAAGAGTTTTTATTGCAGTCTAAGTTCCTCAATTTTTCAACCATACTTCCGCGTTTAAAATTTTAAGAGACTTTTGAAGTAGACTTTCTTACCACTTCTGAAACGTGCTCAATGCGTGAAATCTTCTCCAGGACACGCCCCGTCATCCTAAGCTCCGCCTTACTGACATCATCAATCTCCTCCGTCCAATCAGCGAGTTCGGCTGAGATGGACTCCGCCGATTGGTCCGCGCTGGGCTGCTGCGCGACGTCACTGTCAATGACGCCCTCGAGCCATTGGTAGAAAGTTGGTGAAGTAACAGCCTCTTGAGATATCGTTGTGGGAGCAGGTACAACTATAGGCGCACGAGAGAGAGACACACACACACACATACACATAGAGAGAGAGAATAAGAAAGAAAGAAAGAAAGAAAGACGCAGGGGGGGAAGAGCAAAATAATGATTAATCAACATAAAAAGGGTAAAATAACACTGACCGCTATAATTTATTATATTACCTCTCTCTCATACTCCCATGCCGAATTTCAAACTCTTTTATCACCGAGTACCAAGACACTTTTTGTGGTGGCCAATGACACAGTTAACCGCAGAGCAGAATTGGGTCGTTTAAAATAATTCTAGAACATAATTATAACGAATGAATCATGTGTATAACTCTTATACTCCATATGGAAACACCAATGAGTCTTAAATAACACTAAATTATCAGCTGTTGCCCTTTAAATGCACTTATAAAAATCCCTTTCCTTGCCAAAAATTCAAATAGTGCACTATTATCATGTGGGCTAAGAATAGCATATTTTCCTCGTATAACAAAAACAGATACAATCATTGACAGATTTTTTTTCCAGTGGAACAGAATTCACGCAAATATTTAAGTAGAGAAGTAAACTCTAATTGAACGCTCTAAATGTAATGTTTCTCCATAATATTAATTGTATGGCAAGTGGCATAGAAACTGTAAACATATGATCAGCGTTTCACGATTTTTAGGAAGCTCTGCTTTGGAGACACGGTGGCGTAACTATGGGTGAAAACGGGCACGTCCCCCATACAATGGTGAAAAGAGAGGAAAAATAAAGAGTAAAAGGTGACAAGAAAAGGTAAAAGAGAACATAATCACGGTGATAAATCTGTGCAATTTAAACGTTAGCAGTGTCCTATTCTTCAAATTATGCAAGGAAATCCGTTTACTTTCTAGACTTCACTGTCAGACACTATTGAGTAACTGGCTGATAACACACATAAAATGAGCTGTAAAGGGTATATGGGTATTTGTCCACATCAATAACCCACTTCTTTTAATGGCCAAAATTAAGCAAATTGAATCTTTGCGCAGCCCAAAACGTATGACCATTTGGTACAAGGGTTTGAAAATCAGACTTCCGGACCAAGTTCTTGAACCATGCCGCAACTGGGTAGCCCAAACGCAAGAAAATCATGATACATAGAAACGTTTACTGATATGGATGTCGATTTTTTTTAAATTTTTTTTAAATTGTTTTATTGTAGTATATAACATTTATATCGCGAATTTGGTAATTGATTTTCAAGGGAAAGTGTATAAATGCTAACAACAAACCTGCAGCCGTCGGTGAAAGCGACATCGTAGACGTAGTTGAGATTCTTTCTGAGGTGGTTGAAGGATGAGTCGAAGATGATCTCATACTAGTATCCATTGTGACGTCACAATCTATCTCGCCTTCTCGACATGGACGGGAAGTATTGGTGTAAAACTCTGTGACGACTTTGGTGTGAGAATAAAAGAAAGATGAATTAGAAAAATTATATAATTAGAAGCAGCGAGAGGGGGTAGAATAAAGGGGTGAAGCGGGAAGAAGAGACATGAAGGACGAAAGGTTGTGAAAAGAGGCGGGGAGAGGTGGAGAATGAGAAAGACAGAGTGGGCCAGAGAGGGAGAGAGAGAGAGAGAGAGAGAAAGAGAGAGAGAGAGAGAGAGAGAGAGAGAGATAGAATTAGGGGTGGGGGTGGAGAGGGTCAGGATTGAGAGAGAGGGGGGGGGGGTTACGACATTTACCCGAGCGACCATTGCTCTGCATGATCGCACCAATGTCCTACATTAACCGAATGATTAACATCAACCTGGGACCCAACATTATACCCAGTCATAACCCTAAACCTAAACCTAACCTAAAATTCCAACTACAACCCTAAAACCCGGAGTAATTGCCGCAGGAGCAATTGCCAAATCACAGGGGGGGGGGGGGTACTATAGAGGAGGGAACGATGAGGCCCACAGGAGAACATCGATGAAAGATTATCACATTTTATAGTGGGACTCATGTTTAGGACAAACGTTATATACTTTGCTGTCTACATGACTTAAAGCCCGTATGTACTAGTTTACAGGAGGGATTAGACCTCCCTGCAAGGTCACTGACAGGTGGTGTTCTCATCAAATCAGCTCTCACTTAACATAAGAAAAAGACGATCATGGAGGACCAATGGTTACCGATTAGGCATTGTTTGCTATATAGAGGGCGCAAGTAGCTACAAGTAGTGCAGTGGGAATTTAAATGTAGATAAACGGGAATGTCAAAATCAAATATTCTTTGAATGTGAAGCCTTAATTATATAAACCCAAATATTGAAAAATTGAAAAATTAAGACCTACATATTTCTGTCTCTTCCAGACAGTTGGGAGCCTGGACGCATTTCGTTCTGACGGACGCGTTTGGTCTGCTAAGTAGCTCATACGTTCCGTTTTGACCGCGTCTAAACCGCACACAGATCAACTCGGCTTGTTCACACGTAATGTTTCTCATATCCAGCTCATACTCGACGTCCGCAAAGCGGAATTCTTCCCCGTTGATCAGTGATTGGTCGGCCTGGGGTTGCGTCAGAGCCTGTTCGACCAATGACAGCCGGCTAGACGAGTCGTTGTGATCGCCCTCCTGACCACATGACCAAATCATGAGCTGCCATTGGTCGTTGCCCGTAACGTCACTGGTCAGGTTTCGGTCGTACATGATAGTGACATTGATGCGGAATAAAGTCAGATTTCCAGCTTCGATTTCAATTGATCTATCCATAGATATATCCAGGGCATTGACGACAACTCCATCTTCAGATTAAAAATGACATTAAAAACATTCAAACATGTGTCGCCCTATCTAATCAGGCTAATCAGGTAAAGATTAATGACACATTACATTGTAAACTTAAGTTATATCTAATACTTGGACTTATCCTACGATAGGTGATGTATGCCCTTTACAAATCTTGAACCAGATGTAAAATAAGAGGAAAAAACTTTTGATCTTTAGATAATATTTGTTCCCTCAATAATTTTCCTTCAACTATAACAAATTTAAAAAAGTAAATTATGTAGTGTTGTAACGTCCCTTGAGAGGCCAATGCAGGGAATGGTGAGAGCAACCAGTGGCATGAACGGTCTGCCATAGTTCAAGTCCGACTTAAGTCGATCTTAGTCTTTGTGAAACACTCCCCAGGTCTGCATCTACTGATCTCGATAAAAAGGAAACTAAATATTTGCCAGTAAGCCTGGGAAAGTTTGTGTCTCTGGCTTGATTTTGTTTGCAATAATCAAACAAACAACGCAGGAAATCAAAGAAAATCAAGCCACCACCATCATAATGTTCTCTTTTCTTCCCCGACTACTCTCGGTATAAAATAAAATCCACTTTGGATACAAAAAGCCCTGGGAAACATGAGTGTCTTTACTTCCTCTCCCTTGTATGGCTTCAAGTGGAAGAAATATCTTTATGAAGTGGCATAGCGTGGGTTCAGTCACGGGGGGGGGGGGGTGCAGTGATCGCATAAAGTGAAGGAAACGCGAGGGACTGGGGACGAGACTATGAGAAGTTGTCAAGGATAAGGATTTCAATGTTATTCTTCTCGTTTTCTTTCATTTTTGTCTCCCTTTTTACGTTCGTTCCACCCCCCCCCCCCTTTTTTCCTTTTTTTTTTGGGGGGGGGGCGTGCATCTTGGTTCTACGCCACTTCAGGGATGTCAGGAAACCAATGTTCTCGAACCATTTTACAACCGGAAATCAATAATAATACCATCAAGTTGATGGGTAAAGGCTATAGTCAGACTAATAATACGTAATTTGGCAGGAATATCCAAGCATCAATTAATTCTAATTTTCCCCGAAAATGAAAGGACCTAGACAAGTTTGATATACATTCGGGACAGGGTGGTTGTGTTGTAAGAACAGAAAATGCATAAGTCATTGGAACTTTTGAACGAGATGATAATTATTATATTTTGTGTTGAAACAATTTTGTATTTAATGTCCTTCTGTCTAGCATATATACAAAACGTGGGTAAATCACAAGAAAATAGTTTTCCATATCCTCACTTTTACTTCCGTGTAAGTCAAATAAGCAAGTATCCAACGAAAGGGTAATAAAGATAAAAGAAGGAGAGATAGAATGAGTTATATCAAAGGAGAGTTTGTTGACCAGAAATTCAAAATTATTGAAGGGGTGAACCCTTTAACCAAAAAAGTGCGAGATATTGCTCTCTATAAGCCATTCGTTGCCCCCTCCCCCTCCCCAATACATGTTATAATAATAATAATAACAAACAGATGATTACAAAATAAGAGAGAGAGAGAAAGAGAGAGAGAGGGAGGAGGGGAGAAAAAAATCACGGTGTCTTCGGTCCTACCTTTACAAGACGGTCCAGGAATGCAGGTTTGAAGCTCGGCTGTCGAGGTGAAGCTGGTGGAATTTTTCCTGAGCAGCGATGCACAGATAAACCGAGCTCCCTGGCCGCAGGACGCCCGACGGAGATCGAGCTTGTACTCGACCACCGGATGGAAGACCAGTGGGAAGCCAGGATGGAAGGATTGGGTTCTCTGGTCGACGTTGAGGACCTGCATGGTGTCGGGATTGAGACGGATGTGTGTTATTCTATGCTGGTTTAGTTTGTATCGTTTATAATAAGCTTTCAATGTCCTTCCGTATAATTATGCAGATGTAATACATAGCTTAGTGTTTGAATCTTACTTTTTCGTCCTTTCTCTCATTTTCCCCCTACACATCTACCACATTTACAATAAATAAGTGTGCTGTTCTTTCTTTAACCTCTCACTCTCACTCCCTTTCTTTCTCCCTCTCTTTCCTATTTCTATCCCGCCCTCTCTTGATATGTTTATTGTACATTTATCTTATGACACCGACAAATTCTACATAATTCATTACAACAATAACGTTTTGCAAAATTAATTCAACTTTAAAAGTATTTTCAAGATGAATTATTTACAAATATGAAGGTTAGCTTCAACCAAAAAATCATTTAAAAACAAATTATGAGCTTCCGGACAATATTTTATAATATCTGAGTTTTGAAAATGTAAGCGATTATCATTTTCAACTAACTAACTGAAAGGGTCTTATATCTATGGCGTTGCTAACATGGCTTCTAAACGTAATGATCCCTATTCATAATTAAGTGTTTGTAATATACCCCCGTTTACTAATGAATTTCAATTTGTGCATGCTTCTCTCCCAAAGCCCTTTGTAAACATTACTTGTTGCTATACCGGGCAAGCCTCTAGCTAGCTTTTTAGTCGTCCAGAGAAAATATATTCAAAATGTAGTAAACAGTTCCATTGAATCTGTGGGTACAGATATAATCTGAACACAACGGTATAGGGGCATTTTTATGACATTCCGCCGCCCCCCCCCCCTGAAAAGAAATTCTTCCATCTTCGTCTTGTTACCTCCCTCTGAAGTCAGGCAATGTATCCTGCTCTGATAATTTAATAGACGATTAAACAAATATTCGTTGGCTGCCCAAAGAAGGCCCATGTGACAAAATTCATTCTAAGATTTGATCCACAAATTTAATGTGATTTCCTGACACAGTGAGATTTATCCCTGCTACCCTTAACACCTCTTTTCGTATTAAATTCGACATCGAATTTATCTAAAATACAAACTTAAAAATAGGCCCCGATTGATAAAACGGTTTTAAGCTCTTCTCAATAACATCAATTTCATTTTTCGACGATCGGGCATGATTGCGCAATTTCACGAATTTATACGCGATCAAAATACTGTCTTGTCCCCATCCGGTGTACATTACATCTCTCGTAATATTATACGGACAAACTTTTCCCTGTCGGTGTGTCTATGCTCAAATGTCGTTACATAGACATGTCGAAAACATTTATAGTTTCACTTTGGTGCACTTATATTACTTTCTCACGGATATGATCATGTTGGTAACGATATTATTTAGCGGGGTTATCGAAAGGGGGGAGGAGACACGGGCAGTTGCTCTCAAGTGTACACCATTATGTAGTAAACAACAACAACCCCCCCCCCCCCCCAACCCATACCCTTGGAGTTGGACTGACGGCGCCTGCATTTTTTCTAGAACAATAATTATTGTTGCATTGGTTTGGGGTAGGGTGCATGGCTTAATTTGTAATTGTAAAGGTGTTATTAGACTTTTAAAACATGTTGACATTTTTATGAATCTGTTATAATTATGGCTCAAATTTTACATCATTATATAATTTATTGTTTTTAATTTTAGCAGCTGGTTGGCCTTTCGAAAATAATATCATAGCTTTTAATTAGTGTTCAAGTAATACTATCTTCCCCATTTTAAATCACGTCGATCATGGCTATACGAATAATTTGTGTTTTCATTCAATATTTGAGAAAATCCATTTGCGACAATATAGCCCTTTGGACGAACAAATTGTATACTACTATGCCATCTGATAGGCTATATTTACTCCTTTGAAAAAGATTATAATAATTTCACATATCAAAAAGAAGGGTATCTCATTTAGTATAAAATCTGACCTTTCACGAAGTCTTGTAAAACAATACATGAACAGAACAAAAAAATGAACATTTTACAAAATCAAACAACGACAACATCATCATCAACAAAACATTATAATTAAAGATATATTTAGCGCGCTAAAATATTAGAGCATGATGAAGCTCATATCGAATCATCTTATCAGTGTCTATGATACGGGCTGATAACACTCGGAACTCATGTCCGGATTAAATAATTAACGTTAAACATCATCAGAGTTTCCGTAGTGTAGTGGTTATCACGTGAGTCTAACACACTCAAGGTCCCCGGTTCGAGCCCGGGCGGAAACTATTTTTTTTGTTTCGGTAACAAATAGGGGGAAATAGTTCGGCGCTTACTTATGAGCATTCTTTAGTTAATATTTATACATTTACCTTACTTTTAATACCAACTGTACCTGCCCTTTCTCCTCAAGAAGTTTTATTCTCCCTTCTTCCTAAATCATATACTGATATATTAATTTGTCTCCCTCTTCATTCTACCACAAAATTTCTCTCTACTTCTTGTAATAATAATAATAATAATAATAATAATAATAATAATATCCTAATAGTCCACTCCAAATTTTATTAAACCGAAACGGAAATTCTTTTTGCCCATTTGATCGTGAGCCCGGCAGCCACTGAGCAGCGCCAGATAATGATGAAATGATGAAATGCGACTAGGAACAACTCAACGACAGAGAGTCAGGGACTAAAGGATGTGATATCTGAGATCAGTTAATCGGAAAAGAAAGGTAATCCATTTCGCTCAATTAAATCAACATACATCAGGTGCGAATGATTGGCTACACGTACTATATATCCGCGCAAAATCAGAAACCTATAATTACGGGAAATTGACAATGAATTTATTTTTGGCGCGAACAATACAATGAGTACGTCATCCACAAATGAAAACCATACCTCTCCGTTAATACCACCCCCTAATAGTAAAAACTGTCAAGATTAATCAAAAATTGACAAACGGGAAATGTTTAATCAAATCAAAGCATGAGTAATGTTCACACGACTGTAAGTTAACTTTAAGTTAAGGTTGTGATTTTAAACGTCGAAGTTATCTTGCAGTTAGGGACCGTGCGGACGCAGTCGTCGTTACAAATATCTGAATTTCATCCGAATTTATAAACCGCGAGCGATCTTGAAGCCCCACTGTCCTATTTGTAGCTACTTACTCCCTCTATATAGAAAACATTGCCTAATCGGAGACAATTAGTCCCCCATTATCCTTTTTTTTTTCTTATGTTAATTGAGAGCTGAGTTGATGAGATAGCCACCTGTCATTAACCATACTGTGTGGTCTAATCCCTCCCGGCCAAATTAGTACAGCCGGCCTTTAAAGTTAGCGCGATAACTACAAGCAGCGGATGTCCTCACTCGAAGTTATGTGTCGTGTGGACACAATCAGCTTCGAGGTTACGCTAGCTTAAAGTTAAAATGACTGATTACTCTTAAGGTTCAAAACATGGAGTACTCGTTGTGTCGGTCTTGTGTGAACCTCGTCGTTGTTAGTGGATCAAGGTTTCCTAAACTTGAAATTTAAAACTACGTCGATCCCGGGTGAACCTAGCCATTGTTATGAGTATCAAAATGGATTTTGGAGAAAGCGGTGGACAAAATGGCCGTTTGGAAAATCCCGATAGTGACACCTGTTCTGCCTAGTCCAAGAGAGGATTTAGGAATTGAAAAGGTGTATTCTGATTCATGGCAGGCTTAAATCATCATGGCCCGACCGAATTTAGTTCATCACGTCGGTGGCTTGTGTACAGGTCTATAAATATATCCATTCTATATATTGTATTTTCGGGTCGAAAATCCATTTAATTGGAATTATTGTGCAGGTCAGCGATGGTAATTGGGACCGTATGGTATACAACTGTACTTTTGTGTATAAGTACTATATACATCATGCACATGTCGAAAGTTAAAACCTCTCACAAATATTTTCATTTCATAAAACACAATTCGTTAAAGGTACTATGTCCCTTTTGCAGCCAACCTCAAATGTTGTAGAACTTTGCAGGAATTATGAATATGTCATGTATGTCCTATCTCTGAAATTTAAACGTTAGCAGTGTCCTCATATTCAAATTATGCAAGGAAACCCGTTTACTTGCTAGACTTCACTGTCAGACACTATTGAATGACTGACTGGCTTTTTTTTCTTCTTTGGTAATAACCCCGGCCCCCCCCCCCCCCCCCACTCAGTGTTATTTAGGGTACGCATATGCTCGTTCCCTATTTTTTAAAGCACCCCCTATCTGAGGACTGCCAACATTTTCGAACCCCCCTTTCGCGGGTTTTTCGCGGCCTTTTCCTGCTTTGGAGACCCCCCTAAATCAGGAAAAATGCTCAATGTACCCCCTAAATTCGGAATAATTTCCCAGGAGTCCAAAGAGATGAGAAAAAAGAAGAAGAAACACCCCTTTTTTGAAGAAATCTCCGGGTGAAAGTCAAATACACCCCTTTTTTTACAATTCTCGGGCCGGACTTTGTCGCACGAAAAGTACCCCTTTACCGGACATTTTGGCAACACGCATGCGGTCATTCCGACCCCTGAGTGGGGGGGGGGGGGGCCGGGGTAATAACATACATGAAAAGAGTTGTAAAGGGTACATGAGCATTTGTCTACATCAATAACCCACTTCTTGTGGTGGCCAAGATTAAACTGATTGAATCTTTGCGCAGCATAAAACGTATGACCAAGGCGGTACAATTTATTGTCTGACAATCAAGACTATTACTTTTGGGCTCTATAGCCCTAAAGTCGATTTGACAACTAATAGTCGTTATTTTCCCACTTGAAGACATTTTCAAGCCCCACGTTTTTTAGGGAAGTTCAAAATTAGTATTATCTTTCAAATGTAGTTGGAATTTAACTTTTTCATTTTTTTGGCCTGCAAATGGGACATAGTACCTTTAAGGGATAATTTGTACAATATAATTCCGATCATGGAGATATATATATTTATAATAAAGCATGTACTGAAAGCCTATTAGAAAAATATGACTAGCTGAGGCACGCTTCTTTACGTCCAACGTTTACTTGAAAGATTGATGTTTTGCCTTATATTTAAAGCCCTTACAACAATATTATTATGGAAATTTGGTCCACGTGTTGGCTTATTATAATTAGAAAAAAATAATCCGTAGAAATCCCCCGCTTTAGACAGTCAACTATGCAAAAAATAATATTTCGGAAGACGAATCCTCCTTTTTTCAAATTAACTCCCTGATAGGACGACACTGTATATTGCCAATCATTGAAAGTCTAATTGTATTGTACATATCGTATAGGCTGCAGGGATTTTGTTTTTCCTTTCATGTTTTTTGATTGACCAGCAAATGTGTTATTTGACAATTTTAGTGGTATAAATTAAGCGATGTGAAACACCTGTTCATTTGTAAGAGCGCTATATTTTAAAATATGATGAAAAACAAAGGTAGGGTGATGATAGAGATGGCAGTGGTGGTGGTGGTTGATGACGGTGATGATGAGGATGATCATGATCATGATGTGGATGATGATGATAATGATGATGATGGTGAAGATGATGATGGTGATTGATGACGGTGATGATGATGATTATGGTAATGGAGATGATGGAGATGGTGATGGTGATGATGATGATAACGAGATGATGATGATGGTGGTGGTGGTGGTGGTGGTGATGATGATGAAGGAAAAGTTATATCGTGATGATTATGATGTTGATGATAATGATGATGATGGTGGTGATGATGGTGATAAACATTGATCATAATAATAAAAACGTGATGTTGATAACGATGATAATGACAATGCGGAGTGCTTTAGCTTCTTTGTTAGAAATGAAACTGAAACGAAAGCCTACATGAGATTCATAGCAAAAATATCCGACCTCTAAGCCCTCCACTCCAAAGCCACCTACAATAGGGACTTTTAGATTCTGCACGACGAGAACGTGGACTGCCCTTTTAAGGCAATGTGACGTCACTGCCAGTGCCTTAAAAGGACGTCACATTGAGTTAAAAGGGGAGTCCACGTTCTCCGTCGTGCAAATCTAAAAGTCCCTAATATAAAAGATAAACTAACCTGTCCTTGAAATGATATTTGTGTTCCGTTCCATTCTAGCTCACTACTCCCCCACATTGAAAGCTTCCACTGAATATCTGTGACGTTTTCAGGAGCTGTTGTCTGATTGGACGAAACCGAAACTGAAACGTTCAACTTGAGCGGGTTTAAGAGGCCGAGAACGACCACCGCTGGCGGCAGCATTGCGATGTCGAGACGCTCTAGCGTGACACCTATGTTAATGGATTGAGAAGACAAATGAGAAGTGATTAGAGACTTCAGAGGTATGATATAAGGGGCGGACGCAGGATTTTGTTTGGAGAGGGGGACAAAAGAAGAAAAAAGAGAAATTTTTAACTTCCAAATGAGGGGAGGAGGTTATTAAACTCTCCCGGTGTCTTTTGGGGTCAAACTTTAGGGGTACAGTATGTGTAGACTTATGTGCCCACTTAAACCCTCCCCCCCCCCCCCGATCCGCATTTATTATGGTTCATATTCGAGCATACATTAGTGTGATTTGCATTTGTCTTTGAATTGGATAATATATATATACCAAACATGCTTACTTATGAAAATAGTCTATAATTATGCATATGTATGTACCCCTTATAATGGAATGCTATAAAAATGAAAATATATTGTACATCTATCGTATATTCATACAGTTTATTTCATAGATATTTAAAAAGTTATTGTATATTTATGTTTTATGATTATTAATAGAATTATATACAGTATACATAATTGGGTTGAACACTTTGAAAATATATCTCTCCACTGGGGCTAGTGGCTCTTTATTAAAATAATAATATACATGTAATAATATCAGCAGAAAGGGTCTTAAAATGAAATCAATGATGAGGGAATCTCTGGTCCCAAATACAGAACAGAGCGCATAGTCAATGTGAGTGATGTCTAGAAAAAATATATAACGAAATATATGTTATAAACTGTTTTATAAAACAGCTTTAAACAAAGAAGATCATTGACAATAAATCTGAAATCTAAAATTAACAAGTATGGTCGAAACGAGACCTCCATCAAAGAACTTCATTAAATAATACACGAAAGCCCTATGTTATTTCAACGTCCGCGGTGTTCTTTATTATGATGTAAATTATAGCACACAGTCTCCCATTAATATGACTAGATTACAGTGACATATTTAATAGGTCTATCTCACCTTTCGTGCTCAGATATAGAATTTCAATATATTTTGTTTAAATTCAAAGGCGGTCTGTGCATTTTATTGCCTTATTTTCACGTAATAAACCATACATCGTGTAATAATGAAACCGACTATAACCTAGCTTTACAATGTCTTTGAAATCTGATTCTTCAAAAAAGTAGTAAATGTCTTAAATGATCTCGGCATTAACAGATGGAATATGTAACATGAGAAACCAACAGATGGCCAATGTAGAGACAGAGTCGTCACTCTCGGCTTGGGGGGGGGGGGGGGGTATATAACTTATGTTTCCTTTGCGTATGTGGTGTTTCATAAAGCTTTTCGTAAAGTTACGCATGACTTTACGAACAACTTGAATATGAAGTGCCAGATAGGATGTCCAAAGTTTTTCCTGATGTTTTAATAAATTGTGACTATATTTCCAATAACCTAAATTGAATTATGGCAAAAAATAAACTTTGCATTACAAATATTTGTTATAATAAGAAATGATAATCTATATCTGCAAAGTTCAACTTTAGTCGATGCAGTTTAACAATTATTTGAGCACCCCATTTTGCTAGTCATATTTAAGTCATTCGTAAAGTCATGCGTAACTTTACGAACAGCTTTATGAAACACCCCCAAGGAGTATATTTTATCAGAGGTAAGGGCAGGGGGCAATTTCACCAAAAAATTTCGGAACAAATTTCCAATTATGTCTTTTACCCAACCCCTAGGTGGCTTGACATCGTGGTATGTTTTAATGAATTACATCGTATTGGTTATTAGAGTATTCAACGAGATGGTTGGATTCTGGTAGTGGTGAAAACTAATTGTTGGCTTCTTATTTCCTTTTTTTTTCCCCTGAGAAAATAAAGTAGTAGTCGCTGTCAGATGAAAAAGTTTGCTATACATTCTTGAAATGGTCTCATATTTCAAACTTGACGATAAAGAGCTCACAAGGTTGTGCCACATCGTGTCAATATACATTCACAAATTACATAACCAGCACTCAACGTGGGCACGAGAAAGAGATGCCTGTCTGGAGCTATCCCGAACATTACTTTTTTTCGAGAATTCTTCGAAAAAACCATGCATATACCTAAATGCTTCTTGGAGATAATTTGGGTTGTTGAGGGAAAGTGGGAGTAACCTGTAAAGATTGATACCAATTTAATGAATGCATATATAGTGGAGAGAAGTGTTTATGTGATACTATAGGGACAATGGACATTGATTAATGACACTTAATGACAACTTTCAGTATCTGTTCACGAACGATACGAGAGGTTCACATACTACCGTGGGACAATAAGAGTGTTTGTTGAATTTTTTTTTAAAGGCATGGCGGTTGGTCTATTTTCATAGGAGGGGACAAATGTATTTATAATTTGAAATAATAAAAGAAACAACATTTTACTGTAGCTGTCTTCTGAATGTAACAGTTGGCTGCCGGAAATCAGAAATTGTCATTCTAACAAACCAGTTATTGAAGTCAGAAGACCGGTCAAAATGATGGTCCAACTTAAAACTACAACAATTGAAGGAGATACAAAATAGAATAGGTAAGATAGTGATTATAGTTAAACACCTCATAGGATACACAGTTGCATGCTGAATACGAAATGTAATAGACTCATCGTTTCTTATCATCTCACTAATCGATAACAGCACATACAGAAATATTGGTGTGATATTGAGAATGTGAGCTGACATTTTTCTCATGGATATTTTGTGATTTTGTTTTCCTTTAATCCATTGAACTTTCTTTGTAACATTGACAAAGATCACAACCTGTATCAGGACATTTACCCCCTGGACAATCACCCTCCGGAAAATTACTCCCCGGAAAACTACCCCCAAGGAAATAACCCCCAGAAAAATACCCCCCCCCCCCCTCCTAAGGACAACCACCCCCTCCCTGAGTACCATTACCCCCGGAAAAATTACCCCAAGGACAATTACCCCCAACCCCTGTTCATTAATGGGGAAGCCTACCATAATAATAAATTGGTTTTAATAAAAGATGAGGTTTGCGGGGGGGGGGGGTAATTTTCCTCGGGGAGGGGGGGGGCTAATCGTCCTCGGGGGGGGGGGGTTGTCCTCGGGGGTAGTTTTCCAGGGGGTACTTGTCCATGGTCCCGCTGGCAATTGCCCGGTGTGATTGTTCCAGGGGTGACTTGTCCTAGAGTTGTTTCATAAGAGTAAGTTAGAATTTCTTAAGTGGTTCTATGTTATCCACCTTATCGATTACGAAAAACATGCATAATTTCCGTTATAAAGCATACACCCCTAATGTTCGCCTTTCATTTTAAAGATAGGAAATATTTTAAGGGTATATTTAATTGAGATACCAGATCCACACCGGAAAGCATTGTGCTAGAGATAACATTTGTCTCAGTTTGACAAGCCACGGGAAACGTAATTAAGAAGACAAAACAATACATTGAAAATGAACTGTTTTTATGCATAGTATTCCCCGCATTTAACCTTAATGTACACAGTTTGAAATGAAAATATTTCGTTCTAGGTATTCTACATTGGAATTTGCAAGTATATTATGTATCGTCTGTTCAACATAGATATAACACGAATAACGCACTTCTGGCTCAATGGTTGTGTAAGGTATGAATAAAAATAGCGCAATTTGAAATAACATTGATTAACAGATTATTTATTCCACTATTCTTCCAATTTTGCATTCCAAAACTTTACTTATTCGTTTTTTTTTAGCATAAAGCACACATGTTGTGTAGAGATGGTGGATGATACGTAACATACGTAACGAATTGATGACAACCACACTTTATCGAAATAAAGAGTCAGAATTTACATTTGCTCCCTTTGCCGATCGCAAAATATGTGTAAAGAGAACGTTTGGATTCGGATAAGAGATGTCACCCCGTCAAAATATTTATTGTGGTCGTAGTATTATGATCATGAGTCACATATATATATTGTGTCCATCATATTCTCATTATCTTCTTATAAAAATATTAGTTGATTTTCTATTGTAGTTACGCATTCAAGTTACCAAAATTACGTTTGCGATGGTTTGTATGAGAGCAAAATAGATTCAGATAGATTTCTTAGTTTTCTCGTTATTAATTAATACTCCTTTTAAAGACAAATAGGCCTATATCCCAAGGATTATACAAGCATCTAGACCAGGGTAAAATGTCAAATAAGGAAAGACACTTTCATGACCTTCTGACTATTGTGCGGATAAACGGGATGGGGAGGACACAACAAGCCAAGTACCCCTTTTAGAACCCAGATGGTATTCCTAAGGTTCAAAAGGAAAAAATATGTAAATATATAAATATATATATACAAATATATAAAATATATAAAAATATTTTTAAAAATATAATATAATTTGTGTAGGCCTATCTCCTTTCAATAAACTCAATAGATAACTGGACATTACTTGTGATATTCATTTTTGTTTATTTTCTGCTTGTCACGAATTGTTCGGATTTGTCCACCCTTTTTCAGAATCCTGGACCTCCCAATATATACAATTTTCACAACAATTCAGACAAATAAAACTGTTCCAATATATGTTGTTTATCGTAAAACAAGGAGGGGTGCTATTTCTCCTCATACTGTCGTTTGCTTCCAAATTAACATTTATTCTCGCAGCAATAAATGTCGGTAAACATGGTTTAACATGATTTATACTCTGTTTATAGTTTATAAATATTATATCCGACCCAGGAGCTAATCCAACCTCCTTGACTTGACTTCATAGGTTGACCAGTGTGTATGCTGCAGCCGCATTTGATGTATTAGAAATTTATCTTTACTAATAAAGGAAACCCGAGTAGAGCGAGAGAAAATCTGTAAATATATGGCATCTAGTAAAACCTTACACTTTCAATATCATGATGTAATAATCATGAAGAAGTACTGTGGCGCGTTGAAAGGGGCCCTTGTCTCTCATATAAAAGGTCATATAAAAGGTCATGGGTTCGATCCTTGCTGGGTCCTTACATCCTTGGATAAAAGCACTGTTTCGACATTTGTCCCTCTCTACCCAGGTGTACATGTATGTAATTGGTATCTGCAATTCAGGGGTAATAGTAATAACAGGACCCTAAGGAAGAACAGTATCATTTATACTGATTATGCTGACGATGAGGCTTAATTCCCTTGGAAAATAGAGAGTTAACAACATTTTAATCAAAATATAAGGTCTATGTGAAGCTAGGAGCTAGGAACTGGTAACTGCTCGACAATCGGATAAGTGCAGTGGACGGAAATACAACATTCGAATCTAGTTCCATGATTTGCCGTAAATTTGAGGAAAACAATCCCCGTCACCTATACTGGAAGACTATCAACAAATGTCATCTGATGTCAAATGTTGTATCATATGTGCATCATTGACTGTAAACCTAACTGATCAATTCTCATCATTCTTTTCTTACGGAGCAGTAGAATCAGAAATCATTTCATGAAATATATTTCTTCAATCTCGCACTTTACAAAAGCTCACGACATATGACTCCATCATACAAATGAAGTACTTCCGTGAAGTAAATGTTGATTTTTGATGAAACGCCAACCAAAATATTTCCAATTGGAAGCGCTATGATAATACCACTTCAGAGTTTAGCCTATAAGAAAAGCATGGCTCTAACTTGTCATTTGTATGCAAAGTAGTGTTCATAATAATTTGTGTATAGGCTCGCGATGCGGGAGCTACTCCCACCCCTGAACATTTTTTTAGGGGGAAATGGGGGTGGGGGTGGGAGTCGTCTCCCCGTATTCGGTATTCGGTAACGTCATTTGGGTCTACTTGTAATTTGTATGAACCACTTCTTATGTTCCTAAGCAAATAGCATTTGCACCATTAGAAAAAGTATATTTGGTATTTGTCAGAGAAGTCAACCCCTAGCGAAACTTATGCTTATATGCCCATTGCTGTATGTGATTTTAAAGGTGCATTCACCTCAAGTGAGGACGGAAACACGATTTTAAATTTGAGAGGTTTCTGAGTGAAAAAACAAGGAAATCCTGGGGTGAGAAACCTTCTTCTTCTTTTTCTACTTCTTCCTTGTTCTTCGTGTTCTTCTTGTTCTGCTTGTCTCCTCCTCTTATTCCTCATCCTCCTCCTTCTTCTTCTTCTTCTTCTTCTTCTTCTTCTTCTTCTTCTTCTTCTTCTTCTTCTTCCTCTTCTTCTTCTTCTTCGCTGTAGTAGTAAGGATTCCTTGCTCATTAGAGAATTCAGATCGATGGAGGTCTATCTTTGCCAAGATGTAAACAAATGGACGTTTAAGTTCAATGTTATTGTAAACAATACTTGAAGAAAGGGCCGTGAACTCGCTTAAAAACCCAATTTATGAACTTGAATTTCACCAATGACATTGTTTCAAAACATGAACTACCTCGGTACTGAGTATAATGGCAACTGTGCGTGTATTTTAGTTAAACACTTAGAAGGCTCTTTGAAACGTGTGTTTTACATTTTAATATCAACAATAATAAATAAATCCTTCCACAAGGCCAGAAATTAAGCTCTGTCAAAAATTTCGAGAACAAAAATTGGGGCAAATATTAATTTGGCTTTAAATTAAAAACCAGATAAGCAATGAATGCCAATCCCCAGTAACGGAACTAAACCGCATGTTCCATATGTGGTTTCAGGATAGGAAACATATAAAGAAACTGTTCCCATGCATGCTTTGTAAAGATTCTCTAAAACTAGCAAAAAATACTTGAGAATCGTTTGTCTGATTAATTGGTTTAGGTTTTGTATTTACAGTTTGCTGCATTCACCACTGGGATGAATAAAGCGAGTGTTCATCCTGTAATTTTAGAAACATAATCCTCGTCCCATTTAAACGGTCATCTAAAGGTACTATGTCCCTTTTGCAGCCAACATCAAATTATGTCGGATTTTGCAGGAATTATGAATATGTCATGTATGTCCTATATGTGAAATTTAAGCATTAGCAGTGTCCTAGTATTCAAATTATGCAAGGAAACTCGTTTACTTCTAGACTTCCCTGTCAGACTCTATTGAGTGACTGACTGACATCTTTTTTTCTTTGGTAATAACATAGACAGACATACAATGAGTTGTATTAAGTACATGAGCATTTGTCTACATCAATAACCTACTACTTGTAATGGCTAAAATTAAACTGATTGAATCTTTGTGCAGCACGAAACGTACGCCCATTCTGTACAAGGGTATATGAAATCAGAATATTACTTAGGTAAATTTTCATAAATGAATGATACACGACCATAAAAACTAAAACAACAACAACGCAATCACCTGTGTCGATTCGACAACTAATGGTCGTATTTTCCCACAAAAAGCCATTTTCAAACCCTTTCGTTTTGAGGGAAGTTCTAAATAAGCATTGTCTTTCAAATGCCGTTGGAATTTAACCTTTTCATTTGTTTGACCTGCAAATGGGACATAGTACCTTTCTCACTGAAATTATACCAATGTAGGATATTCTTATATAAAATTGAAATACACCTTTTGAATTGGTCAATTGGAAAACTTGCAATTGGATACAACTTTGAGTTCAATGTGCTACCCATCATCAGTCTATCGGCGGTAGTATGGCAACACGGATCTTGTTACTTCAAATAAACACATTAACTAATTTCCTTGTTAATAGAAGAGCTATCACAAACTTGAGATTGAATAGGGAACCACAGCAAGTGGTCTCAATGACTGAATGATTTATTTATGCATTGCGTATTTTATAGGGCTATCACATCTTAGTGTCGAGTTTCTTTGAAGGAATGCAGAAACACATAATTTTACAAAGAAACAGGATTTTAAAAAAGGAACATTTAGAATTTGTAAATTTAAAATTACTTTGCTATCCTTGTGTATGGGTGAAAATTCCATCGGCGTATCGATCATGTCGATATAGTGCTCGTCATCTCTGCCATTTGTTCGAACAAAGAATATGACTAAAAATCAAGTCTCCTTTCAAAAGTCTCCTCTAAAAAAGTATGATCTCTTCTTTATTTGGGGGCATGATTATAAAAACATGCTATTCAAAATATTCATTGAGCGCCACCCCACTATGCAGAGGACAAGTATGAATAAATTATAAACTACCATTCATCGAGGGAACTTAGGAAAGAAAGGGAAATTTTCTGAACATGAAAGTAATGTGTACAAGAAATAAATAGGAATCAACAAGTTTCCACTCATTAAACCTAAGTCACTTACACCCTTTGTCATTGTTTGCATTCGACTAATAATATGAATATATTTTGATACAAATGAAACATAAACATTTCTTTGAAAATTGCAAATTTGCAAGATTGCTCCATTTTTCATAAGTAGAGCCTAGACAGAGAAGCAGGAAATATAAATGCAGGGCTTAAGACCCCTGGAGAAGGCATGGTGGACAAGCGGCCCCTGAATTAAAAATGCATCTCAAATATCAACAGTTATGGAACTACAATACAAATAAAACATCATGATTTTTTTTTTAAATTAACTGCCCCTGCCCCCCCCCCCCCCCCCCCCCACCCCGCACTCTAAGATGAAGATGTGGAACACGATGAATCAATACAGTGTGCTCTCTATATACATCTCTAACTTGAAATGTGATTTTCAAAATATATATATATATATATATTCTCTACAATCTGAGATATGATAATTACCGTTCTCCATCTGTATCTCCTCCCCGGTTGTCATGGCAACAAGGTAGACTGCAGCTAGGATGATAGTAGGCATTATAAATCTATCCATGATGTTTAAAATGTATCTCGGTATAAAATGCAAATAAGTTTAATCATCTCACAGCATTTTTCCAGCGCGGGATGGTATTCCGAAAATGGCTTTTCCCAGTATGCGGATTCAGTCCTAAACTCACTTTCAAGAATATAGCAAGAAGATTCTGTGTAAGGTTTGTGTCAGGATGAGCACTGGATAATTCGTCTCAAAATCGTGGAATTTATCAAGATCAGTTTCATTTGATTAGCCCTACAGTAGCAGACGATGTAAAGATCTTAGAACCGACAGCCTCTTGCTTCGCGCACTTATCGCTACTCGGAATCAGGATGCTTGGCTTACGGGCGCGCCCGGTTGCGGCGATTCACGGGTTTAGCCACAGCTCTTTCAGCTTAAATCCCTCAGCCTGTGAATTAACCAAGGAGTTTACACACAAACGATAGAACTCGTCCGGCCTTGCTGGATCAAACCCGAGTTATGACCTGACTGCTGCTGGCCTTGAGCATGGACTACAAACTGACAAGCTCAAAGTCATGATCATACATCGCCGTGCGGAAGCTCGGGCTGGCTGACAAGACTGATTTGTCAAACCCCAAATTCTGTCAAGATTCGTTAGGGTGGCACAGTTGTCAACTGACGGACGCGCGATCGCGAGGAATATTCTTGTTATCCACCCCAATTGTGAAAGCAGACGACACAGTAATAATTTTAAGTACTCAAGAGCACGCGAAATAGTCGCGAAACCTCAAGACTTTCATTTTATTGAAATTTCAGATCCGCCAGGCGTGGGAAGATTATCAAGTTCAATATTGTTCCATAGCAACTAGTCAGTAGTAAGTGCATACCGCTATAATGGTGAGATAGAGGGGTCGTAATCGAGTGGTTTCGAGCACTTGACTGGGAGGTCGTAGGTTCGAGCCACAGCATTGCACACACAAAAATCACGATCGAAATTTTGTGATTTGTCTATTACCCCACAATTTCATTTGTGGAAAGTTGACTTGGTAATTCTTCAAACATAAGCAATGTTCATGATATTGTAGCTTGTTATCATTCCGAATCCATATGATTATCCCCGTGATCTATATTTCAGCAACAGCATGATTTGAGATTTAATCATACTGGGGTCTCGATTTAGGTAAAACTGGAATGATATTCTCTGTCTATTTTCGGCTTTAGAAATTGGAAGCGTAAGCCTATGTTTGTATTTCGGAACGCCTTAGATTTAATAAGCGAATTAATTGAGGGGTGGATCAATAGGTGCCAAGGCTTTTTTAAAACGATATGCCGATATAGCGGAGTAGTAGAATGAATGAGTGAATGGACAAACTTTAAACAATGAAAGAATAATGATATCTAATATTCTGAGTTTATGTAGCGCTTAATTAAATACATCGACGATGTCTCTAAGCGCTTTACATAAATAGTATTACTACAATGACTTTCGCAACCTACCGGGTATACCCATTTAACACCTGGGTGGAGAGAGGCAAATGTAGATTTATGTCTTGCCAACGGGCATTTTATTATGATTTCCAACACTTCAATTCGGTTCTTAGTTGCTTTCACGCAGTCTTTTATATCACAATGTAAATGAATGACCACTACTCAATTTCATCTTTAACAATGGCATATCCATACATATTGATAATCAGGGTATAAAAGGCCCGGATAAAAGGGTGCATGGTGAGTGGCGTAAGCCAGCTCCACCCTGTGTGTTAAATAGGCCATGTTTTAACAACATGAATCTGATAAATCCACGGTCAGTAAAGCCTAATTCTTGCTAGGGGACAATGATTATTGCTTTGTTAGACACGCCTATGGCAAGCTTTACAAAGTCACAGTGAAGGTCAGAGTCGAGTAATGATAATGATAATAATGATGGAGATAATGATGATGGTATGATGATTATGATGATGATGATAATAACAATGATAAGCAATAAAAAACATTACAATAATAATGATGATGATAATAATGATGGAGATAATGATGAGGTATGATGATTATGATGATGATTATAATCAATAAAATACATTACTATAATAATGATGATGATGATGATAAAAATTATTACGATGATAATAATGATCATAATAATGTTAATGATTATAATAATTATAATATCATTTTGAATTTATGCAGTGCACATAATTATCCGAGACTTTCGATCAAGGAGCGACAAAAAACGCAAATGCAAATTACACTAGAAAAATAGCTCAGCAGATAATGCACAGGTAGCCTGGAAACTCAATTCTAGATACATAGATACGTTTTCGGCTGTGTTTTGAATTGTTCTGTGGAATACAGTTTTCTCAGAGAAGAAATAAATGAGTTTCATAGAACAGCTTTGGCGAAGGATCTGTCTCCAATAAATGGGACCACACAAACACAATGTCCAAAGTTTAAATTCTCTCTAGTAAATTGGGAATGTGGGAGAAATGTAAGAACATTAATTGCCATTGCTACTATAATACTTATCCTTTCATAAACCAAACATGAGAAAACTTGCAAATTATTTCAAACTTTACCAGAACTCAGCCTTCTCTCTACAATGTCTAAAACCTAATCAAGGAGTAACCAAAAATCTTAAACTTTTCGCTTTAACGACCTTTAGTGTTTGTTAAGTTCGAGGGGGGTCTGACGTAAAAATCTCCTCTGGTAGACCACGACAACACATCGAGTCCTATAAGCTCTTTCCGGTATGAATATCAAAATATGTGGATCAATTTCGGATACTCATCGATTGTTTTTTGACAACCAAGCAGCTAAAACTTACACAACACACATGACACAGGAAGGATGGGAATATTGAATTCTGATTGTGGAGGTTGGTGGAGTGAAACCAGAGGACACTTTATATCATATTGGACAATGCTGATTTACCAATCATTTGTTGTTTTAGTGATCACTGTTTCCTTAACTTGCGATCATCATTATTGTCTCTTTGTAATTCTGTTGTTTTCTGATTTAGCGGTAGTGATTCATTGGTGTATCTGGTGTCCAAAGATCGAAAGGACTAATGAATAAGTGGATGGATGGCAGCGATTTATCATTATATATATTTTTTTTAATCAAGGAGTTGCTAGACAGGCTTCTGTTTTTAACCTTCTGTTAATATTGTGATTGTGACTGATTTGTATATATTATAATATTTTGTTTATGCTTGAGAAAAATTAATAAATTGAACTTAACTGAACTGATTTGTTTGAATAAATACATAAATTGCAAAACAATTGTAAGGAGAAAGTAGGATCATGTTAATGATGACGGTAGGGTATACTATGGTTGAGGTCATATTTATTTTGTTCTTATTCGTATTCATTTCAGTTTTAAAGGTTGTATCATAAAATAGTCCATAAAGTACATTCAACATTCGTTGCATTTGATCAGGTATGATAAATTAATACAAGGTAGGCGCTACCCGATATATAGACCGAAACTGAGGGAAGAGGGAGGAGAGAGAGAGAGAGAGAGAGAGAGAGAGAGAAAGAGAAAAAGTGAGAGGGAGAGAGAGAGAGAGAGAGACAGACAGAGACAGATAGAGGGTGGAAGGGAGAGAGACAGAGACAGAGACAGAGACAGACAGAAGGTGGAAGGGAGAGAGAGAGAGAGGAGAAATAGAGAGAGAAAGAGGATGGAAGGGAGAGAGAGAGAGAAAGAGAGAGACAGAGAGAGACAGAGAAAGAGAGAGAGAGTGAAAGGGGAGGTAGAAAGAGAGGGTGAGAGGGAGAGGGAGAGACAGACACAGACAGAAAAATAAAGGCAAACATATAATAATTAAAAAAGAGAGACAGAGAGATACAGACAGGGCGGAAGTTGTTACACAGACAGGATGCTCCCTCCAACTAAAATGGAAAGATATTTGGATTTTGAACTAGATGTTCCACACGATCGAACAAAAAAAATAATACTAGCATTGAGTATTTTGCACCCTCTAGGAATGACCATGGCTTGCCTAAACTTAATAGCAAGTAATGTATGCAATTTGCATTCTGACTAATATAATGCAATCATTTTTTATCCGTAACAGGTGAATGAAATAATTCCTAAAGAAGCACTTCACAAAAACGAATATGATTACATTTCTAAAATGACCTTCTGATATACACCGAACCGCTCCAGAATAATTCCTTACAGTAAGCCCGTGCCCCACCATCATCAAATCTATCAAATGGGGTATCTTGGTGTGTATGATTTGTCGATGAACACATAAAGTAACAAGACAGGTAACGACAGAGGGCGCTCGTACCCTCTCATCAGATCGAGACATGGAGGCGAATTGTTTTGAAGAAATTGATATCTTGGAAAATGTCGGTCTTACTCTTTTTTTGTCGTACATGCTCGTTTGTTCGTTTTATAAAAAAAAAGCTCGATGCTTCAGTGTTTGGATGTGGTGTTTTTACAATCAGTCCTAAGATCGTCAATGACGTCAGCATATATGTGTAAACCCTAAACCTCTCAACTAAAATTGGATGCAGTATAATTATGTAAAGTGGTGTATGTATGTGGCGGCTCAGTAAATTGTTTGAGCCCGTAAAACGAGGGGGGGGGGGGGGTTATTGGGACTCTGTGACGAGGTTATGCATCTACATGTATGTTCCAGCCCAAGTTGGATACACTATTGCCGATATCACTTCAAGTCACGGGCATTTGACTTCTTTTTCTTGAAAGTATACATTGCGTTGTTATTGGGATGATGACTTCCTTTTCAAGTATTCTTATACTTATTTTGTTTACACATATCATATTTTAAAAAATCCATCACGTTTTTATTTCACTGAGAATGAGTACGTATCGACGAGACGCGTCAGGTCAATCTTCGCGACCTACATTTTTGAGTAGGTTCAATATGACGTCACACAGACTTGCGCGTACGCTTCATCAAGGGGAATCCCCACAGTTTGTTGTTCGACGTCACAATATGACGGCAGTGATGACGTCATAATGAGTTAAGACAATGGGTACGCGCAGTGTTTTACATGAAGTACACGCGATGAAAAAAGGCTCATCCATTTATTTATTGCATTGGAAGTACTAAAGATTATTCATGCGCTCAGGACTCATGGCAACTTTACGTAGTAGGTCTAGATATAAGTAAAATGTTGGGTTTAATTCTTAGCGATAAGGCGGTGTCACACAGAGGCCAAAAATCCGGATTTTAGTTATCAGGATTTTAGTTAATATCCTCTTAATTGCTGTCTGTCATCAATTATCCCATTCAAAATCCTCTAACGAAGCAAGAAAATTCTACCTTGAAAGGGTTTTTCGAGGGATTTTTTAAAGGATTTTTCTGTTTCAATTACTTACTTATTCATATTTATTTATTCACAATTATCTTTTCTTTGATACTGGGAAAATAATGTGCCGTTGGGGGTAATTAGGTATACATCCAATTTTAAGCATCTTTATGAAATCCAACTTGTTTAATATTTGCCCAATTTAAAGTAATTATTTTTTATTTTGACCGTAATTGGACAATATATTTTTCAAGTAGGGATAATTAAAGTACCAAGAGTCAGTTTGGTACATTATTAATCTCGTGCTGGGAAAAATGTGTACCCAATATTTTGAAGAATGTAAAGCATCAGGGGGGATGGTAAATGCACAATATGAAGTTCTTAACAACGTTTAAACGAATTAGCCCCCCTCCCTCTCATCCTAAAGAGGAGGGGAGAGCCCTTGAATCACAGCCGACAATGCGTGAATAAAGCGCTGATGTTTATGATTTTTGTTAAAATGTTGGTGTAATATATTTTGATTGTTTTCAGTGTTGCAAAACATATAGTCTTTTCACGCGACCCTCATAAGATGACATTTTTTTCATCGGGCCAAGTGCATGGAAATCGATTTTCAACAGCGACCTCTATGTTTATGATATCCCGTTTCCTTTCATGATTATTTATGTGACCCAGTGATCTGATTTTTGTACAAATAAGAAATTCTAAAACAGCTAATTATTCTATCAGTCGAAGAAAAAAAATTATTTCATGAATATGTCAATTCAGAATTTCAGAATTTCTGCTCCAATATTTCTGAAAACGTATTTGTTCAGTGTTTAGATGACCCTTAAACATTTTTAATTGAACCAATGCAAATTTATTACAGGATACACGAGTATAAACATAAACTGTAGCGTACGTGCATCGGTCGACAGATGCGGGGTGGGGTGGTTCCTAAATTACAAGATGAATATACTTCAAGATGAGTGAAGGGGAGTTGGAGTGTTTACTCCATATGATATTGTTCATTTCCCAATCTATCTTTCTCTCAATTTCACTCTGTTTTTTGTTACTAATCGATTGGGGGCAGTTCCTACTGGATGCGCCCCTTTTAGGACACGTGCATTGTCTATATAGCTGGGCAAATTGGCATTATTTGTTTTTGTTTTCCTCTCAAACTTCCGTTCATAATTCTATTAAAGTATTTAAAAAGCTAGACTGTCCGGAATTACATAATCCCGCAGGAGAAGACAACTCGAATAGAAACAGTAGTGGCAATGTGGCATAGTCAAATTCTGTTTCGTGCTGAAAAGAGCCCGCGGTAGAATGAAATTCATAAACCGATTAGTACTATACATTAGTTATGTCTCTTTTTATAATGTTTATGGGACACATCCAACTAAATGCGAGAAAAAAACACCCCCCCCCCCCTGTCTAATATCATCTTTTCAGGCAGTTTATAATATATCCTTATTTACAAACACCACCTACATACTGCCTTAAATATTCAAGTGCTAGGAAAGAACGCATGAGTCAATATCTGCGAATATTGCAATTACATGTACGTACACACGCAGGGAGGTAATTAATTAACGAGAGAATTAAACGAGCAGAGTTAATTAGAGCATTCAGAGACAAAATGAGAGTCCGGCATTGAGATTATACTGACGGACATTGTCAACCCCGGAAATGAAAGACGACATCTCGGTCACAAAGCTATTTACTTCTTCCAGGGGCCAAGGGGATTAATGTTTGCCGGTTGGACGACTTGCATTCAGCAACGACATCTTTTCGATTAGAAAATCAAGCTGAATAACGTAACTTTGATTTTAATCAAGAAAATTAATTGTATACAATATTTTGTTTTTTATTAAGTATTCCTGACTACATTATATTTTGCATTTTGTTTGAATAATTTTGAACAGAAGCCGATATTTTGACCAGTCCAAAATTGTAATCACTGTTCGCGCGACCCGTACGATGACGTAAGAAGGAAGCCGCTGCCATGGCAGTCTTCGCAGGGGGTCCAGAGCTGGAAAAGTAGTGAAGTGGCGCTGTATGGCTGACGTACTTCCGCATCTGAAATTAGGACCTAAATCCGGGTATAATTGAAGACTAAAATCAGGTTACACCCCGTTAGAGGAAGTCATTTCGACAAATCTTCAACATCGCCTTTCAAATTTAGACATTTTCCTCTGCTTGCCGCGAAAAATAGCTTGAAAATTGCGTGGAATATTTATGCGCCGAATGTAATGCGGTTCGGACTACTATTGACTAAACAAGCAAGATGGCGGAACCTAACTTGGGAAACAGCCTAACTTCCATGGAATGGCTGGGTCAACTGAATATACCAGCATCTTTGAATGGAAATTCTCCAAATGGTAAGAATGGACCTGGATCTACCAATTCGTTGGACCCATCAAAAGGGACGATTCCCATGCGAAAATCACCAAGTTCACCGCTGGATACATCAGCGACATGGGACGAACAGCAGCCCGTGAAGGACGGGAAGCCGCCGTACAGCTACGCGAACCTAATCACGTTCGCTATCAACAGTTCACCGAAGAAAAAAATGACTCTTAGTGAGATATACCAATGGATTTGTGAGAATTTTCCGTACTACAGAGAAGCAGGAAATGGATGGAAGGTTTGTATTATGCCTGTCATGAACTGTCATCCAATAATTTAATGTCTAATTAAGTCTTTACGAATCAATGAATCTCACTGCACTGGACAGCTTGGCCACTGCTATGCTATGCGCATGCTACACGGTCTGCTACACAGTGCTGTGCCAATGCATTGGCATTGCCATTGACATTCTATTGCCAGGCCAACTTTGAAATTAGCATTGTTATTGACTGATGCTTGCATTTTCCAAAGTTGGCAGTAGGGGTGCTGGGCTGAGAATAAGGATCGTCCGCATAAACGAGGATCGTCTTCATAAACGCGGACAGACGCGTCCTAAATAATTAGGATTGTTATTTCTGATCTGCACGTTGGCAATGCGAAATATGGGTTCCGCGATGATGCTCCTTTGTGCATTTCACATAGAATTTGCAATGAGACCTACAAGTTAATATCAACAATAAATCGTTTTGAAGACGGACAACCCATAAAAGTAGACGGTGAACTGGGGGTATTTTATGACGCAGAATCTGTTTTTCGCATTGCTAGAGCTCGGATTGGGAACCCTACACCAGTAGAGTGCCAAAAACAAAAACGTCTGCGACCCATTTTGTCTGTGTTTACGAGGATATCGTTGTTTACGCGGACGATCCTCATTCTCGGATCAGCGCCCCTAGTACCGTATTTGCCAGCGATAAGGCCGCAGCGCCTTCATTTAAAAAATATAACACATAGTAGGGTGTCTGATCGCGCACCCGATGTTGTGCGCTAAAATACTTCCCATAGAGATTGCACGCATCCCTATGCAGTCTACGTGCATTGCGCGACCATGAAAATTGGTCAATGATTTTATGAAAAAAAATTGAAATTCAAACCTTTGGGGCTTGTGATCCTGAAGGTAAAACTCAATAAATGAGGTGTCATATGAAAGAGCAGGTTTTTCTCCATATTCCCCAAAGGGGCGCACCCCCGAAATTCTAAAAATATCTTGGTCAAAACAGCGATTTAAATGTTGTTTGCATCCTAGCTCCAAAATTTGCCACTTTCCTGAGCTGCGCCCCCCGGGCTTATGTCCGGCTAGACGTAAGGAAAATATGTATGCACTTATTTTTTCGCTAGCCCCAAGAGATCACTCGCCCCAACAGTTTAAAAATACCCTTCCCACATTTTTGGAATCAGCTAATTAGGGAGGCGTGAGCTCCGCTCAGTCCAAACCATGGCTACATCGCGTAACATGTGCGCTTATAGTGAATGAAAGTATGGATGGCCGTTCCCACCATAAACCCCGGAAGTGAATACACGTTATAGTCAATGGCAATATCGCGGAGACATATTGCCATTGACTATAACGTGCATTCACTTCCGGGTTTTTTGTGCGACGAACGCTAACCATACTAGTCAATGGCACGTGTCGCGGAGACAGCGTAGCTCAAGCTTGCAAGTCGCGCATTGGCTTAGCAGCATGCGTACGATATGCATACGCTTGCATATCGCGCGATACAGCTGTTTGGCTAAATTTAGCAAAACAACATCACTCTGCGTGGACGTCTTTTTCGTCGATGTTGACCAAAATGATATGAATATACCAGCATTTTGGAGGGGCTGTATCTTTTGATTGAAACATCGGTGAAGCTTCAAATTTGAAATGTATTATTCTGATTACACTTTTTATTCAAATATCAAACAAAAATGGTGAAAAACGATCCCAAATTGAAAATTGAAAAATCGTTCAGACACCCTACACATAGGTCTAATTGTTAGTAAGACATGTGTTATTCTAGACAGTTATTCTAGAAATGTCCATGACCTTTTATTGTTGTCCCATATGTACAAATTCGTGCTGCTTTTCATGGTTTTGACTTGCGTTTTTTTTTTGTTTTTTGTACTCTTTCGCCGCAAAGGCAGCACCCCAACTTTTTGATATTTTCTCTTCCAAAAATACTGCGGCCTTTACGTCTTCAAATACGGTACTTGTTAGTCCTGTAAAAAACATGGGCAACATTTTATGAATGTATCATAAGCTTAAGTTCACTGACATCCTGTGTGTTAACTTTATAACACTCATTTCAACACTTACAGTTTCAACAAATGAGATGTCGGCAAACTTGTGGCTTTGTGCTTCATCATTCATACCATCAGGCACATAGCCTTGGGTGTTTGATGGTTTTGTTTAACGCTGTCATGGTTATGAATTTGGAAAGAGATGAAGGGAATAGGGAATCAGTGTTGGGTAGAAATTGTGATGGAAAGAACTATAATTCTTTCAACAGACAATATCGATCATGCAATCTTATAAAGTTAGAAAAGTCTAGGGCTTCCAGGGGCAGGTAGACTAAGCTTCACTTCTGTATGCAAACATTTGCTTGAAAGTTCTGGACATTGATGCCAGAAAGAGACCTCTGGTATAATATCCTGACATACCGGTACATGTACATGTAGGTAACCCTGTATTAATTCCATAGGCATAGGTAGTGCTTATTTTGTCAAAGCCAGGCCTTATTGACTCCTTGTTGTCTCCATAGACTTTGCACACAAATGTGTTCGGGCCCACAATGAGTGGTCTCCTATTTCACAATAGAATCAAAAGCTGAGTACTCTTATGCAAGATCTGCTGGTAAAACAGGCTGTCACCCAAAAAGGCTATTCCAATAAATCAGTCATTGATTAAAAAACACAAAATGATGGCTATGGCCAAAATATTAAAGTAACAATTTAGTAATGCACTATAGGTGTAGAGACTAGGAATTAATCTGTAATGTATTACCTTTACCTTTACCCGAGATTCTGGAAGAATGCTGTGTTCCCAGCAGTCAGGCTTCCAGTTCAATTTCATTTTTTTCCTTCTCGTAGTTGGGTGTCTTCAATTTTTTCAATTGATTGACCAAGCTATTGCAGTATTGTTTTTGTGCAGCTTTTTATTAGAAGTATTATTAGTAAAATTGAAACATACAAGTAAGTATAGATTTTCAGACCTCTACATGTACATATAATAATAATAATAATCTGTTGAGATTCAGAAATGACAACAGCTAGGGAGTCCAACGTAAACTTTAGTCTTGCATTTATTCACCAAAGAAAACACAGCCCCTGTACAAGAACAAAATTTGAACGAAATATAATTAGCATATAGCCTCTGGAGCAAAATGTAATAACAAACAATTCATGGTTTCATTTGCTTTCTTCCATTAAACAGAACAAATTAAAGTGTAAACATTGCAATAGTTTCCAACTCAACACGAGTCATCAATTAATACATTATTCAATTTTCAATAATAATTCTTATTATGTGCAATATCATGAAAGGTAGCTTAACTGTTTTAATTGTCTGTAGCAGTATAGTTGCCATAATTAATTAGAACATATATAGGACAGAAGAATATTGTACATTTTACATCATTTCGTGCAATAATCGGTTTACAATTGCATGTATATTAGGTCATATATATATCTATACACAATAGAGCCAAACTCCACTCACCGGCCAATACTATAACGACGAAGCAACACTAACGCTATATGCTGTCGTCCGACCCCTGATCATAAACAAAGCTTCCACCTTATTGTAGAAAGTGTAGTTCATCAAAATAAGGAGATTTCACCACATGCAGCCCTAAAGGTAACAACAATAAAATAACAATTCTTACTTCACAATAATGACTTTGTGAAAACTGCATGACACAATGTAATTACATTCAAATATATATATATATATATAAATCCTCTTTGGTAGTCATTCTTTTAATTGACTTTGTTTAACAGAAACATGTTTCAATCTATATAAAGACAAACTTAAAATTAATTTAATTTGTCAGAGTAATTATCATTTCATCATTATCAGAAATTCAAGCATAATAATCTACTTTATAAAGCATGATACATATAATGCAAATGAAATAAGTTAATCACATTTATCATAAAGTGTCATTATATCAGTGTACATACAACATGGTTCAACAATCCTCAACTTTCACTATCTTATCTTCAGCAATTCATAAAATGTGACATCCATTAATAATATGAAATATATATAATAATCATCAGTTCCAACAGTATAAATCAACTTACATGAATTGTGATCTGCCAGAAGTAAATAACAATCTCCATTAGCAGGCACAAATTAGTGCTTCTCTCCTCTCTCTCCAATCTACAATGTCTCTCTGTCCCTGCTATAGCAGCTCTGGGTGCACAGACCCCGAACAAAAGAAAATCACTCATCCACTAAAACTTACAATAGGATCCCCAATCATGCCTATAGGGTATCAGTACATTGGGCAATACAGGTACCCCCAAAAAGGCGGGAAAGTAAGGCTATTGTCTGATGAGGAAGGGGGGGTAGCTTACATTGTAGACTGCTCCACCTACAATTCCTTATGCACTAATGCACCAATACACTATAATACATTATGGCATAATTACCTCAACATTCCATATTACAACAAATCTTTTTAAAGTCCACTCCAAATTTTATTAAACCGAAAATGGAAATTCTTTTTGCCTAATTGATCGTGAGCCCGGCAGCCATTGAGCAGCGCCAGATCGACGTTGCCATATTAAAACAAAGTACCGGTAGTGATATTTCAGTGTTCAAAAGAGTCGTCCCCACTCCCCAGTCATATCATGTACAGTATGTCTACATGTAGTTGAATGACCAACTTTTCTTTTTGAGATCCCATACATGTAGTGATATCATTTTGCATCCATAAGTTTATTATTGTTCCTATCCATTCTGTTCAAATGTTCACCAGTTCATGGCTCTGATTTGTCTGCTTTGCACCAAAGGAAATTGCAGTCAGGGCTGGATTCCCATTCTAGTTCTGATACACAACGCTCACGTTACAGATGTTTCAATGCACACTGTTGTTTTAGACAATTTAATTTGTAATTTGGTATTAATGCCACCACCATGGAAATAGACTAATAGTGAATCGTTTAATCCTGATTGAAGTCTCCTTTCATGTCTTCCAAATTATTAATTATGTTTCAGTTTAGATTTACGGTTTATCATAATATGTGATTAAGTGTGATAGATTAATTTGACAAAGTGAATAAGGCATACATGTACAGTACTTACTATTCAGCATAATTGTGTAGTCCTTCACTACCACCTACAATGTACAATATACATGAGCTTCATAAATTGAAAACTGTATATTGAATAGGAAAGAAAAAGTGTCTTGAAAACTTGGTGATACATGTAGTGAGCAAATAATTACCGTTGGTGAAGGTGATGGGACAAACTATCATTTCCGAGGCGATCTGGATGTAGCTATCTTTGCAAAGCGAAGCTGAGGAAAGATAGCGTATACATTCAGATCGCTGAGGAAGTGATAGTTTGCCATCGCCTGAAACCAAAAAGTGATTATTTGCTTTATATTCCACATCAGAAACATTTCACTTATGCCGTCATTTTAGAGCAACAAATCGTCAATCAACAGCTAGCAATTGGTGTATGATACGTACAGTGCATGCAGTACTTACATACGTACGTAAACGCAACGTATACAAAAAAGTGTGTTGCATTGTGTAGATAGTACTACTATCTTCACAGTGCAACAAACTTTTCTTCTCCCATCAATGATGGGCGAACTATATTTCATCACATGATTTACTTTTGACCAATCGTAGCGCAAGATTCTTTGTATGTGGATTGGAATATAATAAGTTGTATCACAGTGCTCATGTCTTTGGTTAGCAGTGAATGTACTGTCTATTTTTAAATTCAATTAAATTTGTTTATTTCCATTCCAGCAAATACATTGAAAATACATAGGTAAATACAGGTGGGTAAATACATGAATTATATACAAATATACAGTATATAATACAAGTATTATATACTTGTATTACAAGTTTTACAAAACAGTATAATTGGAATTAGGATGGCCATAAAAAACCAAGTGGGGTTTTGTTGAGGTGGCCACATGAACAAAGCATAAATGAAGTGTATTGCAATATTAATGGTTGACATTATTTTTAATTTTGAATAAGAATTGGTGTAAAATATAACTTTAAAATTTATATCATAACATAACAAAGAACAAAAACTAAATAACACAAACAAACAAAGGAACATAATATACACAAGCCCTACACAACATACACAATGTTAAGAATAACATTGTTGAGCAGAAATGAATTATTCAGGAATTTTCTGAAAGATCTTTCTGAATTTACTTCTGTTAATGGTCTCCTGTGGATTACTAACCCAGGGAATAATGAAAGTGGTTGAAGGAATTGTAACAGTATATTCTTTTTTCACCTCTTTTGAACTTTTCCATTAATATCTATAATTCATATTTTGCATACCGGTATTTGAATTGTAATAGAAACATTTTTTTCTCTCTTTTATGTTTGCAGAACTCCATCAGGCATAATCTCTCATTAAACAAATGTTTCATGAAGGTTCCGAGGTCAAAAGATGATCCAGGAAAGGTGAGTCTTTTTTTTTTCTTTTCCTTGTTATGAATATACCCCAGCCATACCAATGAGATTGACACCAGACCAAGAACAGACCAAATGAAAAATGACATTATGGCCGAGAATCGGTCAGTGTTTGGAGTCTGTTTGGTGTGTGACGTACAATGTACAGTACTCATCTTCTTAACTTGTACAGTGTGTATCCATTTGTAAAAATGCTGATGTACAGTACTCTTTCCTGCAATGTTTTTTTTTTTAAACTTATTAATTAAAACTCTTTTATACCTACCGTATTTGCCGGCGATAAGGCCGCAGCGCCGTATAGGCTGCACCCCCGATTTTGACATTTAAAAACATGACTAAAATCACCGCCTTAAACCGGGCGGCCATCCCGCGCTGATACCATACACTGCTGTTTTCTGTGATGTAGTCATTGAAATGGATTGAAAATGGCGACTTCGCGTGCTGGATGCTTCGCGGCGGCTCCGTTAAACGGGCCCTTCTTTTACTTTTGCAATGCATTGGCACGAACTTAGATCAAAATCTATCGTCAGATGTTGTTTTTGGAATTTTATTTTCTTCTTCATGTCAACAATGCAAGACAAAATTGTCGGTAAGATGTGTGGAAATGTATAGTTATTGTACCGTTTGTAGATCTAGTCCCATATGTACAAATTTGTGCTGGTTTTGACTTTTTTTTTTTCTTTCTGTTTCGCCGTAAAGGCCACACCCCGACTTTTTGATGTTTTCTCTTAAAAAAATACTGCGGCCTTTACGCCGGCAAATACGGTACTAGTACTTTGTGAGTCAATAGTACACACATACTATGGAAAGCAATACCTGTAGTACTAGTCCCTTTGTTTCACTGCTGCTGTACTGTAGCTGCAAGTTTGTTGATTAATGACTGTAAAGTTGAAATGTAAAACTATGTGCTATCTCTAACAAACACACACACAATATGTTGCATTCATAATAATAATAATAATAGTTATGATGATGATGAAGACGACGACGATGATATTAATAATTATAATGATGATAATAAGGATGATAATATTGTTATGTGATATTTGTTTTCTTTGCAACTACCATACATGTATGTATTGAATTATGGTCAAGTTTGTATTAAAAGACAATGTGTACAGTAGTACAGTACAGTATGTACAAGTACCAATACCATGTCTGCACACAGAGCCTTGTATTATAACTGTATTATACATGTACTGTTTATCAGCTTTGTGCTCCATATTTGTGGGATGACAAAATAATCAAAATAATCATCAAAATTTTCTTGAACAAAAAGTTAAAAATCGACATCAGTGCATGCCTTGGTACATTTGCTAGTAGATCAACCATGAAGTCATCAAATTAATTCCATACTCTGACTTCTGAAGTATGTAAATAACAAAGTGTCCTTTACAAAATAACTTGCAGTGATATTTTGAGATTTTGTGCATTTCATTTGCTTGGATTCAGGGCCATTCAGCAAGTAAAGACTGCCTCTGTTGACATTTATTCCCGTTATCATTTAGGCCATGTTTGCTCAGTTTGTACAGCCTTGTGTACTCCCCCTATGTAGTTGCATAACAAGGCGATTAATCCTCGTGTACTTACACATTTCGCCAAGCAAAAAAAACAACTCTATCCAAATCCCTGACAAAGCAAAGAAGTTGAAACATTCTCATCGCAAATTCTGAATGACAGTGCAATGTCAAGTTTGTTCTCTTGTCTCCTTGCTGATTGGTTATGAACAAGTGGTGGATTTCAGGGCGGGGTCGATTTGTCCCCCTTGACTTGAGGCTGGGTAAATTTGCACACCTACATGTATGAGCTTTTATTATTGACTATGTTAGGATCTGCTCAAATTGATAGGACAATGTTATCCATTCTGAACAAATAAAGGGAGTGTTAGCACAATCGGGACATCTTTATCGACATGTGATAGCTGTCATTTTTATAGAGGTTTTATAGTATATTTGTTTTCTTTGACGAGTCCTTATCTTATGAAGTGTGTGGGTGTACATGTTTTAATTTATATTGTTCAGCAAGTCTTTGTTTTTTCGAGTATTTTGTAATATTTTTTTAAAGACAGCATTGTTCTCAGAAATAATGTGTGACATATATTGTTTGAAAAAAAAATTATATCGTCTAAACTTAGGTAGGCCTACATTTCTACACTATGTATGTTCATAAGGAGGAAAAGGAAATAGACATAAATAACCTTCAATGAAAAGAAGATGACCTGTATTTGGTAATTCAAGGGTACATATCAAAGGTCTGTTGCCATTTGTACGTTGTTTTATAAGAAAAATTATGCATATTACATTTTCTATGTACTTGTAATATCAAGCCCAAGAATCATGTACATTGTGAAAAAGTGTGTCAAAGGAATATCAAAATAGAGTATCCGATGTTGATTTGAATGTGTTGTACTCTAAACTCTTGATAAAGTTTTATATGTGCATGTACAGTACACACAGTTTTCATTAAAGTTTATGTGAAGTCATGTACACTGTAAAGTACTTTTTGTTCTTCTTTCTTTTACCCCAATTTTTTAAACACAATTACAGATGTACAGGTACAATGTACATGTACGTGTATGTAGTAAAATATTTCTATTTCGTTATTATACACATGAAGATTATGATTTTTTTCTCCCCATAATTGTGCACTCTGCAGTATCCTGATGTACATTTAGGATGTACAGTGTACATATAGATTATACATCAGGAAGAAGAAAAAAAAAAGAGTATAGAATTCCCTGAGTAGTACGTTCTGTTGACAGACACAGTGGTATATTATGCAAGGCAAATGGGTGGCCCCTCAGGACCCGGCCATGGCCCTATGACCATAATGCCTATGACCTTTGATTCCTACTCCTAGATCTCTGTTTTTGATCACTTCAGAGTGCACTCTTTCCTGTTCTCGTTGGTTGGTCGTTGTTCCCTTTCGTTTTATACTGTCACATGCTCTAGCTGGCTTGGCTACACGTGAACAGTATACGACATGTACTTGGTTCTCTACTGTATACAATATAATTCACACGTACAATAGATTATGTGAATGCAGGCTTATTGTATGGGTCATGCAAATGCTTTGTATGGAACTTTAGCAAAAAATATTTTGTCAACAGAACAAGGGCTCTATAAGTATGTATGTAACACAAAGATAGGTTTATAGTAAATGATTGCTATTTTGCAATTGACAACGTTTGATGTGTTGTATAATCAGTTGAATGCACGATCAATCAATCGATCGTAAAAATCAATTGCAAAGCTTTGTGTAACAGGGTCAAGGTCTTCTCTACTCTCTGTATGTTTGTAGACCATTTTAGCTAGCATTTTAGTTGTAAGGCCTGTCATCATCAGCTTGAGTTTGCCAAATCGCAAATTATCCAGCTCATTTGCGTCTTTGCCTGCAGTTACAATCAGCGGGATATTTGGTCCAGAAAATATCCTGATAAATCTTGGTCTTGTTTCCTAAATATCCTGCGATTTGGGAAATTTAGTGGGCTAATTTGCGCCTGTCCGAGCTACATGTAGTTTGTGATGAGAGTATCCATCTGATAAAGACACAATTTTAAGGCTTCAGGATAATATCCCGAGTCTGAAAATAGCGGGTTATTTGGCAAACTTGAGCTGATGAAAACAGGCCTATATAGTGAGCGATTTACATCAGATCTTGAAAGCATGGAAGAGCTCTGGAAACTTAAAAATGAGCTCTGCTAAATAAACAAATGAATGAAACCCCCAAACCAACCAACCATCCAAGAAACAAATACAAAAGCATAGGAATTACGTGAGGAAATCTCTCTCTTTTAAAAATGCCAGTTATTGAAAAATAGTTCTTGTGAACAAAAAGTAAACTGTTAATTGGTCTGCAGAATGGCAGATGTTAGTTTAACACTTTAGGCCTAGTATGATGATCTAGATACTTTCAGTTGTAGGCCTGAAGGCTACTTTTATACAGCCAATTTGTGCCTGTAGATCCGCAATGTTGTTTTCTATCGTCGTTTTCTATCATGAACAACAACACAATGTGTATGAACATTTGAGGAAGTAATGTTTAGGGAATAGCAATTGGAGATGTATTGTACAGTAAGCTTGGCATTTACACTCTACCACAACAACTAGTGTATGAAGTTAAACTAGAAAGTAAAAAGTGTAACTACAAATGGCAATGAAATATGATTGATTTGAGAAGAATACTATGATACAAATGTACATGTATGATACAAATGTACATGTATACATACAGGTACATGCATATTTATTCCTGCATACATGTACAACACTGTTGTACATTCATTAAAGTGGCCTTAACATTTTTTCTCTCACTTACATTTTACATATCATTGAGCAATATCGCAACTGTTTCAAAAAATCTACTCAAGGGCAATTTCAATACCATATTGTACGATACATGTATATTCAATAGAAATTACTTTGTGAACTTCAAATAATGTGCTACCTCATTGCCATTGTTGTGAAGGCTATTGAAGTTGCCTTGGGATTCATTATCAAAAGCAGTTGCTACTAACGGGGAAAAAAAAGTTCAGTGTTGTTCAAGATTTAATTAAAACTTTAATCCTTAACTTGGACTTCATGTACACTGTACATGGGCATTTGTTAAGTGCAAAATAAATGCTGCTGTGCTGTGGATGTCTATAGAAAAACAGCTACAATGTAGCATCATAATTAGAGTAAAGAAAATCAGTCAGAGTCAACTGGAGAAAAGTGCAAAATTGAACACATTTGATTCCTACTCCTAGATCTCTGTTTTTGATCACTTCAGAGTGCACTCTTTCCTGTTCTCGTTGGTTGGTCGTTGTTCCCTTTCGTTTTATACTGTCACATGCTCTAGCTGGCTTGGCTACACGTGAACAGTATACGACATGTACTTGGTTCTCTACTGTATACAATATAATTCACACGTACAATAGATTATGTGAATGCAGGCTTATTGTATGGGTCATGCAAATGCTTTGTATGGAACTTTAGCAAAAAATATTTTGT